GGTAACCCCTATCAACTCTAGCTTATATATCTGGTCATAAGGGATTATGGGTGATGCATATCAAAAACAGCGAGGCAACCTCAGTTCCCAATTTCTTCTGGATTGATTATGTGAATTGGGCAGATTTGTTTGAAAACTCAGGGCACATCTATACTGATCACTTTATCCATGGAGTAACCAGCATAGAAGGAAGAGGTTTCAGTGTGCAGATGATTACATTGGAAACCCCGGAACTGGTTTGTGGCCTGAATGGTGCTTAGTGGTTGGTCTGAAACTGATTAGTACACAACCTCTGGCCCTCCAGGTATTTGGATCTCCAACTCCTAGAAGCCAATGGTCAGGAATTATAGAAGCTGATTGCACGATTGGTGGGGACGAGGGACAGGGCCTTCTCGGTGGTGGCTCCTCGACTCTGGAACTCTCTCCCTAAGGACATCAGGCATGCCCCAACGCTGGCAGTTTTTAGGAGGAGCTTGAAAACGTGGTTGTTCCAGTGTGCCTTCCCAGAATAAGGAAACTCCAAGCAATATGTCCCCAAATGCACTTTACTAGAGATCTAGGATATCTGCACGTCCCATCCCGCTCCAAACCCTTTTCACCTGGTCATGCTCAGCATATTTTCTTTAAATTTTAATTATTACATTTGGCCCTGCTATAGATTTTAATGTTATTAATGTTTATTGCTTTGTTTTGAGTTCATTTATTGTTGTATTGTTGTTGTTGTTTTTACTGATGTATTTGGGCTCGGCCTCTTGTAAGCCGCACCGAGTCCTCTGGGAGATGGTAGCGGGGTATAAATAAAGGATTATTATTATTATTATTATTATTATTATTATTAGTACAATACACCTGGAGGACAAAAGTTGTGCACCACTGGGTGATAGGATCCACATTGCCCTTAGCTTGACAGGCGTTTTTCTTTTTAGCTTCCCTGACAGTATGAGTCTGTGCATATCAACATAGCCATTTGGATATCTGCACAGCAATTTGTATTCTGCAGAGTTGCTTTCACCCTGCAATGTGGTTTAGACTTCAACATACTAATATGCATTAAAGGCTCTATTTTGGAATACTCTCCAACTCTGCTTGTCTCAGTTTAAAGCACACTGCAGCATACATTTCTGGTTTCAAATATATAGCTACAAGATTCTCAAGCTGCTTCCAAACTGTGTTAAATGATCAGTATAGATGTGCCCACAGATTGAAATGAATTCTTCCCCCAACACGGTTCATAATTCAGCACCGGGATTGTGGCGCAGTTGGCTGAGTGTCAGCTGCAGTAAGATCACTCTGACCAAAAGGTCATGAGTTCGAAGCCAGCCCGGGTTGGAGTGGGTTTCTAACCAATTGTGTAGCCTGTTGTCGACCTTTGCAACCCAAAAGACAGTTGCATCTGTCAAGTAGGAAAATAAGGTACCACCTTAATGTGTGGGGAGGCTAAATTAACTGATTTATGAGGCCATAAAGAAGACTCCAGGAAAGCATTCCAGCGGGGAAGCATGCGGGGAATGCGGAAGTGCTTCATCAGGGTCGCAGATGGACGATGAAAGCGTCAGCTCCCCTGGTGGCCAGAAAAAGTTAAATAGCCTCTGTGTATGTCTGTATATGTTTGTATGTCAAAAATTGGCATTGAATGTTTGCCATATATGTGTACACTGTAATCCACCCTGAGTCCCCTGCGGGGTGAGAAGGGCGGAATATAAAAGCTGTAAATAAATAAATAAATAAATAAATAAATAAATAATATTGTCTTCCAAAAATGTTTAAATTGTTTAAACTGTCTAGGTTTTAATGTAATTATTTTGTCTTTGAACTTCTGTAAAATAAAATTTTAGCTGGACTTTGCTTTAATTTTTTGTAAGCTACTCTATGGATTGAATTTTTCACTAACTTCCTTCTTAAAGGAAACAATTAACAATTTTAGAAACTGCTATGAGGAAGCCTTTAAAAATGTGCACTGTTCAAGGCATATTTGTAATTCTTAACTTACTTTGCACAAAAATAACATGGGGGTTTACATAAAAGGGTATTTAATATAGGGAAACATTATTTCCCTATATTAAATTATTATAAGATCACTCATTATTATAAGATCACTCTGACCAAAAGGTCATGACTTCGAAGCCAGCCCGGGTTGGAGTGGGTTTCTAACCAATTGTGTAGCCTGTTGTCGACCTTTGCAACCCGAAAGACAGTTGCATCTGTCAAGTAGGAAAATTAGGTACCACCTTAAAGTGTGGGGAGGCTAAATTAACTGATTTATGAGGCCATAAAGAAGACTCCAGCAAAGCATTCCAGCGGGGAAGCATGCGGGGAATGCGGAAGTGCTTCATCAGCATTGCAGATGGACGATGAAAGTGACAGCTCCCCTGGTGGCCAGAAAAAGTTAAATAGCCTCTGTCTATGTCTGTATATGTTGTATGTCAAAATTGGCATTGAATGTTTGCCATATATGTGTACACTGTAATCCGCCCTGAGTCCCTTGCGGGGTGAGAAGGGCGGAATATAAAAGCTGTAAATAAATAAATAATAAATATTTTCCTGCACAGAAAATAATATTTCTACATAAAGTCATTACATTTTATGCATAAAACTGTTTCATTTTCAAGGAATTTCCTTTTCTGTGCAAATCAACCAAATGCAATTTTTGTGCAAAATGAGTCCCCAGTGACAGCATCCCATAGTGGAGCCAGCTTTTCTGCACAGAAAACCATATTCCTGCAATTCTTCTATATACTGTATATAAAAAAGCTGTGCCTTGTGTAGAAAATACTGTTATAGGTAAAAACATGCACACATTTTGTGCACAATAAGTCTCAAACTGCAAAAAAGATCCTGATTAATTCAGGATTTCGAAATATATTTTGAAATATTTATTTCATCCCTAGCTTTAGAGATCCTTGCTGGGTGAAAATCAGTAAACAGTCTTTCAAATGAAATATATACATAACAATAATAATGTAAATAAATACAATTATTTAAGTTAATATTGTATTGTCGAAGGCTTTCATGGCCGGAATCACTGGGTTGTTGTAGGTTTTTTCGGGCTATATGGCCATTGTCTAGAGGCATTCTCTCCTGACATTTCGCCTGCATCTATGGCAAGCATCCTCAGAGGTAGTGAGGACTGTTGAAAGCCCTTTTCCTAGTTCCAACAGACCTCACTACCTCTGAAGATGCTTGCCATAGATGCAGGCGAAACGTCAGGAGAGAATGCCTCTAGACCATGGCCATATAGCCCGAAAAAACCTACAACAACTAAGTTAATATTGTCCAATTAGGGAAATTACTGAGTGTCTGCATCCCTTACTGAATTAAGAGACTGAGGGGAAAGTGAAATCCAAACACGGCATAGAAGTTTTCCAAAGGGGCCTGCAAAACTCCGTATTTCAAAGAATGAAAGACCATTCTTCCTTTTCCCTGGGCTTAATTTTCAAAGAGTTTATCTCTCAAAGCCATAATATCTATGGTAGAAAGGACATACACTCTGTTTCTTTGAGGAAAGGAAAGATTTTTATTCAATCACTAAAATCAAGGGGACATGTTCATTTTATTGCATCCCAACTTGATTTTTGCTCCTGAAAATTCTAACAAAAAAGGTTGGAACTAAGCTACTGTTTTAGTTTGGCTGTGTTAGAGTAACCAGGCTTTAGTAAGAAATGTTTGCTCCAAAATAGCATGGGTGAAAATATATATCCTGATAAATAGGATTCAGGGTATTTTTGAGAATTTTTTTTGCAATGGTATGGATACTTTCCCTTATACGAACTGGACTTTTCTATGGCAGAGTTAGAAAAGGAAGGTCACATGCAGTAGCCTTTACATGAGTAGCCATTACTCAGAGATTTTAACAAAATATATACCATAGGATGACTTTTAGACCTGGCTTTTTGCCTCTGCTACAGTGGAATTTAACCTCAAGGCAATTTTTCTGCCTACAAGTTAAAAATAAATTGAAGCCATGACCTGAATAGCATAGTGATCTTTTTAAAATGTGCTGAGCTTTATGCATATATCACATCCAAAAGGAAGGAAAAGAAACTGACAAGAAGTCTATGCGTCTTGGGGTGTGTGTGCCTGTGTATTATCATAGAATCATAGAATCAAAGAGTCGGAAGAGACCTCATGGGCCATCCAGTGCAACCCCCTGCCAAGAAGCAGGAATACTGCATTCAAATCACCCCTGACAGATGGCCACCCAGCCTCTGTTCAAAAGCTTCCAAAGAAGGAGCCTCCACCACACTCCGGGGCAGAGAGTTCCACTGCTGAACGGCTCTCACAGTCAGGAAGTTCTTCCTCATGTTCAGATGGAATCTCCTTTCTTGTAGTTTGAAGCCATTGTTTCGCGTCCTAGTCTCCAGGGAAGCAGAAAACAAGCTTGCTCCTTCCTCGCCGTGGCTTCCTTTTACATATTTATACATGGCTATCGTATCGCCTCTCAGCCTTCTCTTCTTCAGACTAAACATGCCCAGCTCCTTAAGCCACTCCTCATAGGGCTTGTTCTCCAGACCCTTTTAGTCGCCCTCCTCTGGACACATTCCAGCTTGTCAATATCTCTCTTGAATTGTGGTGCCCAGAATTGGACACAATATTCCAGGTGTGGTCTAACCAGAGCAGAATAGAGAGGTAGAATGACTTCCCTAGATCTAGACACTATGCTCCTATTGATGCAGGCCAAAATCCCATTGGATTTTTTTGCCGCCACATTTCATTGTTGGCTCATGTTTAACTTGATGTCCATGAGGACTCTAAGATCTTTTTCACACGAGCCAGGCATTGTCCCCCATTCTGTATCTTTGCATTTCGTTTTTCCTACCAAAGTGGAATATTAATTACAATAATTCTAAATTAAAATCTGTTACACTTACACAACATTTATATTATGATCACTATTAAAACAAGTTCAAGACAAAACTGCATGTCACATCATCTGAGGCAGTCTTAAAGCTGCCTTTGATCACACAAGTTCTTACATTATTTTAAAGAGAAAAAGCACTTACCAAGTCATAAATGAAGTTAGTCACCCAATAGCTTTTCACACCCATGCCTGAGATATGTTGTAGCTGTTTTGCCTTGTTCTGATGCTCCTTTACCACATAAAGCACAAAGCTAGATGTGGTGATGGAGTAGCCAATAAGGACACACATAGACACGATGAGATCCAGAAGACCGCTAAGCCTGAGAGAGGAAAATGTAAACAAAAGGATTGCTTTTCCAAATGAATATGCAGCTGGGACTGGGTAAAGGTTCAACAATGTCCAGGGCAAAATGTCATCTTGGGTGACTTTCCTCTCAGTCACTGGACCCTAGCTGGTTTACCTGACTGTGATAACACCCTCTAAGCCAGTGGTTCCCAACCTTTTGTCCTCCAGGTGTTTTAGACTTCGGCTCCAGGAATTCCTGACAATTGGCCAAGATGGCTGGGGATTCTTGAAGTTGAAGTCTCAAAAACCTGGATGACCAAAGGTTGGCAACCACTACTGAAACCAAAACTAGCTGCCCATGTGTAGCCACTACCCAAAGCTTAAGAATGGCAGCAACTTAAGACATTATTAATATGACAGTTAGAAAAGTCTAATTTTAGTTTTGAATGTTTTATGGATTTTAACTGAATCTTTTAATACAAATTATATTTAATTCTGTTTTAATGATATATTGGTATCATATATAGAGAGAGAGAGAGAGGGGGGGGATTTTAAATTGTATGAAAGTGCTTTTAATGTAAGCTGCTTTGAGTCTCCTGGTGGAGTGAAAAAGCAGAGTATAAATAAACATAATAAACATAATAATAATAATAATAATAATAATAATAATAATAATAATAATCAGATCCAACCAAATATCCAACTCCGGCCCAATTTACCTGTCCGAACAGATTCTCCCCTATGAACCATCAAGGTTATTAAGATCTTCTGGAGGGGCTCTGCTCGCCTTCCCACCTCCTTCGCAATCGCGATTGGTGGGGACGAGGGACAGGGCCTTCTCGGTGGTGGCCCCTCGGCTCTGGAACTCCCTCCCGATGGAGATTAGATCTGCCCCTTCCCTCCTGACTTTTAGAAAGCTTTTAGAGATAGGGCCTTCTCGGTGGTGGCTCCTCGGCTGTGGAACGCCCTTCCTACGGACATTAGACTAGCACCATCTCTAATGGTATTCCGCAAAAAGGTGAAGACCTGGATGTTTGTGCAGGCGTTTGAGTAAGTTAGTGCAATCTGGTAATGGAACATAGGAATGGAACAATGGACGACGAACCTGGACTACGCTTGGATGATGAGAAGATTGGGTACGGTTGTTTTTTGTAATAATTGTGCAATGTAACTGCTTATTGGTAATTTATGGATAATGTGTTAAGTCAATTGTTATATGTTGTATGGAACCACTGCTGTTTCTACTGTTTTTACTGTTTGTGAACCGCCGTGAGTCGCCTTCGGGCTTGAGATACAGCGGTATATAAGCAAAGTAAATAAATAAATAAATAAATAAAGCTGGTAAAAACATGGCTTTGGAATACTGCATTTGCAGAATGATGACTGAGTCAATAACTGCTGACCACACAGGCGGTTAGCAATGAATTTATGATTTATTCTGACGAACTGACCTTTTGTAAGTTGTATAATTGTATTTTAAGGTATTTTTGTACTATTGTATTATGATGCTTACTGTGGTTTATCTTATTGTATTTTAACCCTCTGCTGTTAGCCGGCCTGAGTCCCTCTTCGGAGGTCGAGAAGACCAGGTTAGAAAAGCTCGAAATAATAAATAAACTGAACAGTAATGTTTTATAGGAAGACTACCAACAAAGCTGTCACATGAGATTTCCACTGTTCCTGGGTCTCGACCAGTTCCTAAGAAAGTTTTTCTTAGGACCGTATCAAATGTACATTACACTAGGTAACATAATTTTGTTCCTGGGTTACAGATTTCATTTCCTAATTTCCTAATTCTATCATAAAACCATGAAAAAAGTTTATTAAACTGAAAAAATCTTGTTCCTGCTGAACATCCTGCGGCACATTTTACTCAAATTTTTCACTGAATATCTTAAAGAGTCTCAACCAATTCAAAATAGTTTGTGGCAGCCAGAAAAATGAGATTTCTGTAGTATAACCACACGATCTCTCCGTTCATCTGGAGAGGCCCTGCTCGCGATCCCACCTGTATTGCAGGCGCGATTGGTGGGGATGAGAGAGAGGGCCTTTTCGATGGTGGTCCCCTGACTCTGGAACTCACTTCCTAAGGACATCAGGCAGGCCCCAACTCTGGCAGTCTTTAGGAGGAGCTTGAAGACATGGCTGTTCCAGTGTGCCTTCCCAGAATAATGATCCCATAGCATTTTCTCCTCCAAAGCACTTTACATTTTTAGTTCTGCTTGTATGTTTTCTACAAACACCCCATCACTTTTTCGTCCATGTTCCAGCATTACTTTCAATTTTAATTTTACATTTGGCCTTCCCATAGTTTTTAATCATGTGGTCTTATTGTTAATGTTGCATTATTGTATTATCCATGTTTTATTTTTAATTGCTTGTATTGTTACTGTTTGTATTGTTGTATTTGGGCTCGGCCTCATGTAAGCCGCACCAAGTCCCTTGGGGAGATGGTAGCAGGGTACAAATAAAGTATTATTATTATTATTATTATTATTATTATTATTATTATTACTTTCAAAGTAAGTACTGCACAATTAAACAGCAAATAATACTTTTAAGCCGGGAACATTTTTTTTCCAAATTTTGTTACATGGTATTATATTTTGGTGGACACACAGAATTTTTCAAATATGTCAACAGCAGGGCAGATATGTATGAAAGAAGCAGCATGATCATAAAACCTTAAGCTATTTATGATTTTATATATGATGAACAGTTAGGGATGAAATTCGCAATTTTCCTCATTCGAATGTTGGGAAAAATAATCTATTTCCCCCAACATTCTTATGCCGTTGGGAGATGTGGGATCCCACCCTACTTGCCACCAAAATGACAGGAAGCTGCACAGCTTTCACTAAAAACTGCAAACCTTTTACAGCTATGTAGGGGATACTGTTTTTCCACTTTCACTCCTTCCCTTCACCCAACAGCAAAGTTGTGATTGACAGCGGGGAGATGCAGCCTATAGACAGGACTTCTGTGAAAGAATGATGAGGAAGAGTTGTGCATGGAGGTTTCAGGGGGGAGAAGGTATAGATCAGTGGTTCTCAACCTGGGGTCCCCAGATGTTTTTGGCCTTCAACTCCCAGAAATCCTAACAGCTGGTAAACTGGCTGGGATTTCTGGGAGTTGTAGGACAAAACACCTGGGGACACACAGGTTGAGAACCACTGGTATAGATGTTTGGCAGCTGTCTATTCTGTTTCTACTTTTCCTGCAACTTTTGTCCCTCCCAACACTGACAGGAAGCTGTGAAAAGATGGTTCAGCTGTGAAAGAGCTCTTGGAAGATGAAACTTAAGTATATTTTCACAGCCTCTAGTCACTATTTAACAGAAATCCTGACTAGAGGCTTTGAAAAGACATTTCAGCTATCAAACTAGCAAAGAATAGGTTGGGGGGTGGTACATGAAGTGTCTTTTCACAGCCTCTAGTCAAGATTTCTATGAAAGACATGGAGTTGGGAGAAGGTGAAGAAAAAACAGAAACCTGACTAGCAACCTTCAAACTTCTGCAACTCCCCTTTCTCAATTTTCATAGAAATCCCAAAAGTAATACTGCTTTGGGCTAGAGGGGGGAAAGTCTCTGCAAAACTGCTGTTACTTTGGCCCTTCCTACACTGCCATATACTCCATATTATCAAAACAGATAATCCACATTATCTGCTTTGAACTGAATTATATGAGTCTGCTTTGTCATATTAGCAAAGAAGATAATCTGGATTTTATATGGCAATGTAGAAGGGACCTTTGTGGAGTGTTTTTCTTCCTGCATCAATTTTCAAATATGATGCGAACTCCAGTATTGATCATGTTCAGGAAACTGATGTAATGAGATGTTGTGAAAAAGAAAAAAAATGTGAGAGTTTTTCACATCCCTTAGAAATTCAAAATCTTACATGACTTGTTCTTGGCTCTCTCCACCAGGATAAGGATGTGCAACGATGGAAATGCCTACAACAACAACAGAAGCAAATTTAAGGATTTTCTATAAACAGCAGCACATTTAAGGATTTTTTAAATCAATTCTGACTAAAGTCCAAGAGAAAAGAAGTCAATAGAAGACTGATTAGCACCATGATATTACATCCTGAGCAAACATAAATGGATAGAGCTTAAAGCCTTTCACACTATACAATTACACCACTACAATTATACCTTAATCATCATAGTTGGATTCTGTGGAATCCTAGGAATAGCAGCTGAGGAGGGGACCTTTGCAATCTTCAACCATGGGGCTTTTTGATGCTTGCAGACAACCACAAATCCCAGGAAATAGTGAAAGTGGAATCATAGTGCTATAATTGCTTAGTATGAAAAGGCCTTATCAACCTAATTCCCCCTCCCTAGCATAACAATATAATAATGCCTCAGAGGTAGTGAGATCTGTTGGAAGTAGGAAAATGGGTTTATATATCTGTGGAATGACCAGGGTGGGACAAAGGACTTTTGTCTGCTGGAGCTAGGTGTGAATGTTTCAACTGACCAGTTGAAACATTCACTGAGTATCACCGTGGATTGTGGTGACCTTATGGCCCCATGATTGTGATGAGCCTCACTGAGTATCGCTGTGGATTGTGGTGACCCTATGGCCCCGTGCCCACACCGTCCCGGCTTTCCCCACCTCATCACATGGGAGGGGGAAGCCTCTTTAAACTGGCTCAACCCATCTTTCCCAATGGAAAGACAGGAAGCTTCCCAGGTATTTTGAGGCGGCGGCAGAGTTTTTGTGCCAGTTTCTCCACAGAGCCGCCTTGGAAATACTTATCCAGGGAGTGATGGGAGCCACCGGGCTCTGTGGTACAAGTTCAAAAAACCCGTCACTGCTGCCAAATTTCAGCCCCTGTGAAGAGCCCCAGTACTTGCATTGTGACAGATCTTGAAAAAGCAATATTGGGAGGGAAGGAATGGGATGTTTGAAACCTAGTTGGTTCTTTGAGTTTATACCAAGAATAGAAACTATAAAATGAGGGGAAAACATATGTTTTTTGTTTTTTGTTGTTCATTCATTCAGTCGTTTCCGACTCTTCGTGACTTCATGGACCAGTCCACGCCAGAGCTCTCTGTCAGTCGTCACCAACCCCAGCTTCTTCAAGGTCAATCCAGTCACTTCAAGGATACCATCCATTCATCTTGCCCTTGGTCTTCCTTTTTCCTTCCATTTTCCCCAGCATCATTGTCTTCTCTAAGCTTTCCTGTCTTCTCATGATGTGACCAAAGTACTTCATCTTTGCCACTACTATTCTTCCCTCCAATGAGCAGTCAGGCTTTATTTCCTGAAGTATGGACTGGTTGGATCTTCTCGCTGTCCAAGGTGCTCTCAGAAGTTTCCTCCAACACCACAGTTCAAAAGCATCTATCTTCCTTCACTCAGCCTTCCTTATGGTCCAGCTCTCACATCCATAGGTGATTACGGGGAATACCATTGCTATGACTATGCGGATCTTGGTTGCCAGTGTGATATCTCTACTCTTCACTATTTTATCAAGATTGGTCGTTGCTCTCCTCCCAAGAAGTAATATTTTTTTTGTTAAAGATTTCAAAATCCTTCTAATGATTATTGCAACTTGGAAGGAAAGAGTTCCAATTACATTATATACCAATAACAACATATTGTAGTTATAGGAAAGAAGTGAGTTCAACATTAATTCTGTTGGTGTAGTAACATGTCCTAGCTGCTGTTTTAGTTATAAACGGGCATTTGTATAGGCCAGGCATGTAGCCGGGGGGGGGGGCCTTGGGGGGCTTTAGCCCCCCCCCTGAAATTCCCATGGTGGTCTGTGAGAAGGCCTTACTGGTATACTATTTAAACTGTTATGTTTATTCATATCATGATCTGATCACCATGCTCAATATATCCCATATGCATGGGGGTATTGGGGTAACAATACAAAAGGTTTGCTAGGGTAGACCCTCTTTCACTCAGACTCAGCCCCCCCCCCCCCCGAAACCAAACTCAGCTCCCCCTGAAACAAAATCTTGGCTACGGACCTGGTATAGGCATTTTTCACAAATTATTCACATATTAGATTGTGTTATCAATTCTTAATTTTTTTAAAAAATGAAAGCATCAAAAATGGCAACAAATTATGTTCCAACTTTGTGGAAGAAAGAATAAAGTTTTCCATTTCTGTTTTTTAATGTTTTATTCATGGCACTGGCACCAGTCTTGGCTGAAATTTTTTCCATTTCCTCTCTAGGCTTTTTGTTTTCTCTTCTTGAGAAGATTTTTGGAACTAGGATGTCAATCTAATATTAGGTTTTAATAATACGTATATGGAAAGAGTGACATTGAAAATGAAGGAAGTGAGAGGTGTTGTTTGTAAACAAACAAAACCCATCTACTTATCAGGCTTCCTCCCTCCTTAGTTTATATGAATGAGGTACAATAACTAGAAAGCATTTTTCCATCTATCAGAAATAAAGGAGATACAGTTTGACTAAGCTGTTAATGCTCCTTCCCTGTAAAACCATTTTCTCTTTACTGCAGCTTAGGCTAGAAGTCAAAATTTCCATTTCAATACATATTTTTCAAGACTTGGAAGAAGAGGCTGCGCAATATACATAAGTCGAAAGCCATTATGATTTGCTTAGTGACAGCATAAAAAGTTCTTTTTATGTGCCTCTTTAAATACACCAAGCCTAAGTCAAACCTCAAAAGCAGGATTGCCACCTATTTCAAATTGTGAAAATGACAGCAAACCTTTTATCTGGCCATTTCACTGGTTCTTAAGCTGTCATTTATTTGTCAAAGCAACAAATGGCCTTGGCTGCTGAAGACGTTCACTGGAAAAAGTTCCATCAATTCTGCCTCCAACCAGTTTACAAGAAGTCTGTCCTCTCTAGATTTACAAGTTTGTTGCATTTCCCAGCTCCTGAGTGCATTTGAGTGAGAAGCCAGAAAATATTTTTTGCTTGATTGTTGGATTTGAGTTTTAAAAGAATGTTTGTTAATTAGTTTTGTCTCTGACTGCAGAGAACAGAACCAGGAGCATGAAAAAGAAACGTCTAATTGATGCCCTAAAAGTCTGAGAATTGGATCAGCCATTCTACAGTTTTACGCTGATCATTCTTAACGGGAAGAAATAAAAGTGTTGTGCTTCATTGTGTCACAGCGAATTAGGCACAGCTGAAAGCAAAAGCCTCTCAACCTGTAGTTCCAAATGACACTGCCAAGGTCTGTTGAGTGCCTACCGTACTCAGAAGACTTCTCTTTTGGCAAGTTAGCGCGGAGTATGAAGTTGTTCAAACTGTTCAGGTATGCTGGGAGACTGTGGTAACCTTCAGGATTATACCACACCTGTGTTGGAGAAACCAAAACAGCAGAGAAAAGTATTTATTTTTAAAAACTGCTTCTTTCCATTTTCTGTTAATGGGAAAAATGATCAAACTCTAGATCCATATGACGGGACCTTTCATACTGCATAGTGATAGCACTCTTTCCACTTTAAGCACTATAGCGATTTCCAATGGAAACCTGGGATTGTTCATTGAGGACACGGCCTTTGGCATCCCAGGATTCACTAGAATGTATTCATGGCAGTTAAAATGGAATCATAACCTGAACCCTTTCACATTCAAAAGGCCCCACATATTATTTATTTTTGTTCATTAATATGAATCTCCTACCTGGCTCAAACAAGGTGTATATTTATAGAAATATTGCTTTTCAAACATATAGTTTTCAAACATATATTGCTCCATGACTTAGTAAAGTATAGCATGTTATAACAAACACAGCAGCCAAGCAGTTGAGAGAGAAAGATTTTTAAAATTAAATTTACTATACAGGGAAATGTATATATGAAATAAATCCCAACCACTCGCTGCTTCACCAAATTATATAACGATGACACCACTTCAGTTTAGCTCAATAAAATATAGAGGGAGAATAGTTGTTGAAGCAACTGAATATTTGTTGAACTGGGAACTACTGGAACTGAGAGACTTAAAATAATTCTTTAAAAGATTTCCGCTGCCACCATATTAATAATAAACAGGTTGAGTATTACTGAGAGGTTGCTCAATAACACACTCCTTGTCATGATAATTTTCTTTGAGGCTGTTAAAAGCTGACTAGAATAATGCTTTGACCACAAAGGTATTCACACTGAGGCTGGTATAAGTTGATAAAAATAACAAGAACATTTATTGAACAGGCTTAAATAATTCAGGTACAAATGCTTAATGGTTTCAGTAAAATACTGGCATCAAAAAGCTTGTGATTTCATTAAGTAAAGTTCTTAAAAACTTCTGGGTCACAAGTCTTAAAGGTTTCAACACAGAAAATTACTTCAGGAAATGAATCCCTGAAAGTAACTCCCACAAAAATCCCCCTTAGGAATCTAGCCAAAACCCTGAACTAGACTTCCTTAGGAAAATAACAGACCACTAACGGGGTTCTGCTCCACACAGTATTCTAGCTATATTTCTCTATAGCTACTCTGAATACTAAACAAAAGACTGACCCAAAGTTCTACTTCAAAAACCCAAGCTTCACTCTACCCTTTTCAAGCTCCAACTGGCAATCTGGGAACTCAAGCCTCAGTTTAAAAGTCACTTTTTTCCTTTAGATCACTTAGGCTTCACCCCATCTTCCTAAACAATCCTAACCTTCTAATTTCCCCTCCAAGACTAGAACACGCCCCCCTAAGGCAAACCTGACCTAAGATGGCGTCTCCCAGTTTCCCTTCTCTAAAATGGATGCTGTGGCTTCACCAGGCCCACTCCCTTAGGCTTTAGCTAGCTAGTTAAGGTAAGGGATTCATTACACATGTCTACTCTGAATGAATGCCTGGAGGAAGTAATGGGCTGGATGAAGAAAACCAAACTGAATCTGAATTCAGATGCACTTTAATAGCATTTGTCTGTTTTAACCATGTTGTCCCCTGCTTTGAGCCATATGGAAAGGCAGGTAGCAATTAACATAAACAGTAGCAGCAACAATAATTATTTCCTTCTCTTTCTTCTTCGTATGATAACTCTGTATTATAATAAATTCCACTCACACGTTCCCTAAACGTCATTTAGTTGCTCCCACTTTTATCCTGGTTACTTCCGAGTTTTACTGTATGTGTAGAAGGGTCTAAGAGTTTAGGCAAAATATGTATTCTTGTCATGTTCTGTTTCTTACTCTTAGCCACATCTTCACTCTTCTCACATCAGTCTGCATATAGGTTGGGTTTGGTATCCTCCATTTTCTAATTTGGGCTTATTATCTCTCCTTCCATGTTACAAAGCCTATCACCATCGGATGTGATTAAACCTACTTAATATCTTGTTTTACAAAGAAGACTAACATGCTTTACTTTTCTTCTAGATTGAATGTGGGACTGGTTGTTGCTCACCATCTCCTTGCATGATACACCACTAACTCAAAAATATTGATGCCCTTAATTCTTTTAAAGAAAGGGGATATAAATCTAACTCTGCATACTTCCTAATGAATAAATCCCACTGAAACCAGTGGGATTTATAGTTTAATTGAGGAAACTTTTATAGGATTATACTGAAAATAGAGCACTCGGCATAGTTGAATACATGCAGCACAAATTACATTCCTTATTTATTTATTTGCTTCATTTCTTACCCCTGCAGTGGGACTCAAGGCAGCTTACATCTTTGGCAAGATTCAATGCCACTTAACATAGATATAAAACATAGCCCATAAACTAAAAACAGTTAAAACGGTAAGCAAAAAATATATACATAGAATAAAAACCTGTTAAAAACATATAAAGTACATTTAAATTACTGGCTTCAAACATATCAGTTTGAATCAGTTATATGGCATCACTAAGGGGTTAAATTAATCTAAAGAGGCGGTGGTCTCTCCCCTGCTGAAGAAATCAGACTTAGATTGTTCGGTTCCCTCCAGTTTTTGCCCAGTTTCGAATCTCTCATTCCTGGGCAAGGTGATTGAGAGGGCAGCAGCGGAGCAGTTGCAGCAATTCCTAGACAACACAGCCGGACTAGACCCCTTCCAGTCCGGCTTCCGTGCAGGGCACGGGACAGAGACTGTGCTGGTCTCCATCACGGATCGCCTTCGATGCCAGCTTGACCAGGGTGGGTCAGTGCTGCTAGTGTTATTGGATCTCACAGCAGCATTTGACATAGTCGACCACAATCTTTTGACCCACCGCCTTGCTGCTGTTGGAGTCAGGGGGACAGCTTTAAATTGGCTGTCCTCCTTTCTTCACAACCGTGGACAGCGAGTGGAGAGGGAAGGCCTGGTCTCTGAGAGGTCCCCTCTATCTTGTGGGGTTCCTCAGGGGGCCATTCTCTCCCCTCTGTTGTTTAACATCTATATGCGACCACTTGCTCAGCTGATTCGATGTTTTGGGCTTGAGTGTTATCAGTAAACCGATGACACTCAGCTGGTGCTGAAGATGGAAGGCTGACCGGACTCTGTACCCGATTATTTCCATCAGTGCCTTGAGGCCGTTACTGGATGGCTGCGTGCCAGCAGGTTGAGGGTGAATCCAGCAAAGACAGAGATCCTATGGCTGGGTCAACCAGGCAGTGGGGATATCCAGCTGCCTACCCTGGATGGCGAGGCGCTACGCCCGTCATCATTGGTAAATAGTCTGGGAGTCCTTTTGGACCCTCTGCTGACGATGGAGGCCCAGGTCTCCGCCGTTAGCAGAACCGCTTTTTTTCATCTGTGGCAGGCTAGACGGCTGGCTCCCTACCTGTCCAGGGACGACCTAGCTACAGTGATCCAGGCTACGGTCATCTCAAGACTGGAATACTGTAACACCCTCTACATTGGCCTTCCTCGGTGATCCGGAAGCTCAAGTTGGTACAAAATGCAGCTTACCTTTAAGGCCTTGCATGGTCTGGGGCCGATGTACCTGAGGGACCGCCTCACCCCCTACCAACCCCAGAGATCCCTCCGTTCTGAGGACCAAGATCTATTGGAAATTCCCAGTGTCAAGACCTTGTGTCTAACAGCAACCAGACACAGAGCCTTCACAGCAGTGGCACCATCACTCTGGATACTCTGCCACCTGAAGTCCGTGCCTTGCGGGACTTAACAGCTTTCCGCAGGGCATGTAAGACATATCTGTTTCGACAGGTCTTTGATCTTTGATATTGTTGTTTTTAAATTGTTTTAAATTTTTTAAAATTGTAAATTGTTTTTAAATTATGTTAGATTTTAGACATTCTTGTAAGCCGCTCAGAGCCCCAGGGGAGTGGCGGCATATAAGTTTGAACAATAAATAAATAAATAAAGTCAAGAAAGTTATTCTTAGCTTTTTTCCTCAAAATATTTGAGTGTCATGCATGTATCATGTATTCCATATGTATCATGTATTCCATATGTATCATGTATTCCATATCTAAGAATCATATAGCATAGTTCTTTAAAAGTCTATGCAAAATTAAATTTTACTGATTTTAATTATGTTTAATCTTAGGCAAATAACAGCAGAATTGGAGCTATAATTTGGAGTCACTATAAGATAATGGATGAGAATCCTCTAACATAAATGCACTCAAGAGTACAAGAAGAAGAAGAAGAAGAAGAAGAAGATAAACACGTAGTGTCTGTTTTTATGAAGCTATTTTCAGAACAGAGCTACATGGCAGTGGTTGTTATGTTTTGAAATAAATTTCAGGCATCTTGAAAGGCTCCCCCCTATTATGTTTCTTATGTTACAGAATACAAGTATGTCTCCTTTTAGAGAATGATTTTTGTCTGTTATAAAAATGATATCATATAAAAAAGACAGCTCCAAGAGACTGTTCCACAAGAATAGGCCAATTGCAATTGGGAAGGAGAGTCTATTCTGCTTCTCACAAGGGAAGGTGTTGTATTTTGCTTCTCGCAGTTTTGAAACTGCAAAATGAAAAAAGATTGTTGTAATGTCCAAAAGGTAGAAAAGAAGGTTGGATTACAAACTGTTGGATTTCATGGACCTAAACCTGCTGTCTGTTCAAAAAAAAGGAAGAAATCACCCATATGTCCTGTAATATGCATTTGGGGAAGCAAAACTGACTTTAAAAAGAGCTTTGGAAAGATTTGTTGTGCCACAAAAATGGCTCTTGAGTCTGCATGCATCCCACGAGTTACTCTTTCTCCACCCTCAAATGACAGTGATCCTGAGTCATTGACGCTGCTTGACCAATTTCTTCAGCACTTCACAATATCTCATTAGCTTATTAGCTATGAATCAGAAAATTTCCCAACTGAATCACACACCTGACATGACCTGATAGGACTCCTTAGCAACTGCCGAGCCTCAATTTTCCAAGCATGTTTGTTATCTAGATAATAATTCGATTCTACCTGAGTATTGCTATGTCTTTTCTAGTGCTCACTTTAATTGCCTTCCTATTGTAGTACTTAAAGGACACAGTCAACCCATACAGAGATTATTGACATCCCTGTGGAGGTTAAGTAGTTGAAGCTTAAGGTGACATCATATTTGAAGAACACAATAACCTGCACTGGAAATGCCCAGTGAAGACATCAGAATGGTGCCTGAACATTTCTTGGCTGATTTAAACAACTTAATGACTCATTATGTGGCTAAACTCTTTTTCTTCTATCGGAGGTGTCACAAGAAGATTAATTCAACCTAATTGAAATCTGTATCTTATTCATTTTAAAATTGTATAAGTATTTTTATTGTTTTAAATTATCACGTTTTAAAGATTTTTAGTGACTATAAAAGTCGGTGCAATGAGTTAAACCCTTGTGCCGGCAGGGCTGCTAACCAACAGGTTGGCGGTTCGAAACCGGGGAGCGGGGTAAGCTCCCATCTCAGCTCTAGCTTCCCATGTGGGGACATGAGAGAAGTCTCCCACAGGATGGTAAATCATCAAACATCCAGGCATCTCCTGGGCAATGTCCTTGCAGATGGCCAATTCTCTCACATCAGAAGCAACCTGCAGTTTCTCAAGTTGCTCCTGAACTAAAAGAGTGACTATATATTTATTCCTTTGGTTCAGTGACTGTACAATAAAGGAGCGATAAGGATGATGAAGGTTTATTTATTTATTTATTTTGAACATTTTTACCCTGCCCTTCTTAACCCCTAGGGCAGTGGTTCTCAACCTGGGAGTCAGGACCACTGGAGGGGTCGCGAGGGGGTGTCAGAGGGGTCGCCAAAGACCATCACAGGCAGTATTTTCTGTTGGTCATGGGAGTTCTTTGTGGGATGTTTGGACTAATTCTATTGTTGGTGGGCTTCTGAACACTCTTTGGTTGTAAGTGAACTATAAATCCCAGGAACTACAACTCCCAAATGTCAAGGTCTATTTTCCTCAAACTTCACCAGTGTTCACATTTGGGCATATTGAATATTCATGCCAAGTTTGATCCAGATCCATCATTGCTTGAATCCACAGTACTCTCTGGGTGTAGGCAAACTACAACTCTCAAGGTCAATGCCCACCAAACCCTTTCAGTTTTTTCCGTTGGTCATGGGAGTTCTGTGTGCCAAGTCTGGTCCAATTCCATCGTTGGTAGAGTTCAGAATGCTCTTTGAATGTAGGCGAACTATAAATCCCAGCAACTACAACTCCCAAATGACAAAATCAATCCTCCCATAACACTCCAATAAGAATACATCCTGCATATCAGATTGCTGTTTTGTATTTTACCAGTCTGGTGGCTATTTATCTAGCCATATACTATTGAGTACTCCGCTTAACTTATCCAAATCCACTTCCAAGCCATAGTCAAACATTATCAATTGATACATCCTGCATATCGGATTGCTGTTTTGTATTTTATGATGCGGCATCGAATTGTTGCCGCATCATAAAATACAAAACAGCAATTGTAACAATTAAAAAACATAAACATTAAAACATAAAAATTAAAACAATATATTTACAGTCCATTGAGCTATTACCAGTCTGGTGGCTATTTATCTAACCATATACTATTGAGTACTCCGCTTAACTTATCCAAATCCACTTCCAAGCCATAGTCAAACATTATCCTTTAACCTAATGGTCCGAAGGCCTGGTCCCACATCCACATTTTAACCTTCTTTCTAAAGGTAAGGAGGGATGATGATGACCTAATTTCCCTGGGAAGTGAATTCCTCAGACAGGGGGCTACCACTGAGAAGGCCCTGTCCCTCGTCCCCGCCAAACGTGTTTGAGACAGAGGCGGGGCTGAGAGCAGGGCCTCCCCAGAAGATCTTAAACTCCGAGGTTCGGCATAGAAGGAGATATGTTTGGATAGGTACGCTGAACCGGAGCCTCAATGTTCCCCCAGTAGTATGGAATGATATTACTGACCTACCTTAAAAGATTGCAGTTAGAATTACAGTCAGGTAATATGTAATGTAGTGGTTTGAGCATTGGATTAAGACTCCAGAGACTGAAACCCATTGGGTGACCTTAGGTGAGTCATGCACTATCTGCCTCAGAAAAAACTATGATAGGTTGCCCATAGAGCCACCATAAGTTAGAAAGGACTTCAAGGCAAACTACAAGAATAAAGTCATATTGATTTTTGGGTGGCTTTGAGAATCATCAAAGATATTTTCCTTCTGAATACACTTCCAACACAGCCAATCCAATGTATTGTCATGCATTTCAGTACTAGTTTACCTTAGTAATTGTTCTATTAGTAGGCACTGGTCTTATATCAAACTGGAGGTCACTCGTCAAAGGCAGCCCAAAACTCCAGCCACCATATCTAAATGGGAAAAAATAAAACACTTCAGGAAACATAATCCATTCATAAGTTACACACACCAGACCTGGATTTATAGATTTATTTCACGAACTAACCAGATCAGGACTAGATATCTCTACTGATTGGGGGGGGGGGGGGGCCACAACTAAACCAGGACCACATTACAAAGCTTGACAAAGTACAAAAAAATGAGACGCGTTTACTATCACACTGTAAAAAAAAATCCCTGTACACTGGCCCGTAGCCAGAATTTTGATTCGGGGGGGGGGGGGCTGAGTTTGATTGGGGGGGGGCTGAGTCTGAGTGAAAGAGGTCTACCCTAGCAAACCTTTTGTAGCGTTACCCCAATACCCCCATGCATATGGGATATATTGAGCATGGTGATCAGATCATGATATGAATAAACATAACAGTTTAAATAATGTACCAGTAAGGCCTTCTCGCAGACCACCATGAGAATTTGGGGGGGGGGGGCTGAAGCCCCCCAAAGCCCCCCCCCCCCCCGGCTACATGCCTGCCTGTAGATGAAGGGCCTAGTCTGTGGTCTCGTGGCCTTTCTCAAAAATCTTCAGTTCCCTCACCACCAACAAAAATTATTATCAAAAAAAAATCAGTTCCTTTCCTGGAAATCTCCAAAAGCAGTAAGTCTACCATAATCACAGAAATCATGTGTCACGTAAGCCTTGCATATGCAGCATATGCTATTTTGCTCTTTTTTTCCAGTATCTGAGCTGAAATTTTGACAGAATGATGTTAGATATCCAGAATCCAGATTTCTACCATAAACCTGTGGCTTGGGGGGGGGGGGGGGGGGGGGGGGGGGGGGTTGGGGGAGTTATGTGGATTTAATTTTTTCTTGGATATCACATTCCAGGTGAGTTCCATAAGTACATTCAAATACCGTATTTTCTGGTGTATAAGACGACTGGCCGTATAAGACAACCCCCAACTTTTCCAGTTAAAATACAGAGTTTGGGATATACTCGCCGTATAAGACTACCCCTCTTCCAATGCACACCAAATAAAAATCTAAAAAATTCAGATTTGATTTCACTATGGTAATTTTCCTATTGCTGTGCCTCCTTCTCTACCTCTCAGATCTCACATATGCATGTGTGCGCCGCTTCACTGCAGTCCCCAGGAGCAAGATCTGAGAGGCAGAGAAGGAGGTATGGTAATAGGATATAAGGACGGGCCAGACAGGTGAAATAGGCCTGTTATTCTGGGCACGGTGCCACTCTATCTCTTCTTTCCATGTCTCGGACATCCCGGATGCCTGCAGCTTGTTCCACCCTTCACTTACACCTTCTCGGTGAGGCTCCCCTTCACCTCATCATTGGGACCACATTAAGTCACTTCTTGCTGTTTTCATATGGTTGCCGCATACAGCGGGGATGCAGCCACGGCCGTTTTTCAACTCCCCTCACCGTATATGGCGACCACAGATTCACCAGTGAAGCTCAGAAGTTTCAGCACCCACCCTATAAGATGGCACCCACCGTATAAGACGACCCCGGACTTTTGAGAAGATTTTGAGAAGATGAGGAAGAACTTACTGACTGTGAGAGCCGTTCAGCAGTGGAACTCTCTGCCCCGGAGTGTGGTGGAGGCTCCTTTTTTGGAAGCTTTTAAACAGAGGCCGGATGGCCATCTGTCAGGGGTGCTTTGAATGCAATATTCCAGCTTCTTGGCAGGGGGTTGGACTAGGTGGCCCATAAGGTCTCTTCCAACTCTAGGATTCTATGATTCTATGATTCTATGATTCTATGATTCTATTTCCTTAGTTAAAAAGTAGTCTTATACGCCAGAAAATACAGTATATCTAATTTTCACCTACACATTTAACTGCTGACCATGCAATTGGGTCAACACAATGCAACAATGAATCATCAAGACAGAGCATGTTTAAGCAAAATTCAGTGTTATAACAATTGCAGAGAGCTGTGGCTAGGTATAAATATTGTATATTTTTACCAGAAGAGAATCAAATGCTAAAGAAACATAGCTAAAGAAGTGATTGATGAATAAGCTTTCTTCAGGCATCTACTTGAAAAGAACTGCATAAGGGGAAAGCTGGAATCTGATGCATTTCTAGGCTCACAATCCTCTATTTGTTGGGGGGGGGAGCGTCTGCAGCATAGAGCTTGCTCTACGAATGTATTCCCTGCATGCAATTCTCTATAAACAGTTATTTGAATTGCACAGGGTGCATCCACCAGTAGAGGAGTTTTCCCTTATGCAAAAGCAAACCCTCCAGCATGGAGAAAATAACATGGCCAAGTGAGAGGAGATATGATAGCCATGTATAAATATGTGAGAGGAAGCCACAGGGAGGAGGGAGAAAGCTTGTTTACTGCTTCCTTGGAGACTAGGATGCGAAACAATGGCTTCAAACTACAAGAAAGGAGATTCCATCTGAACATGAGGAAGAATTTCCTGACTGTGAGAGCCATTCAGCAGTGGAACTCTCTGCCCCGGAGTGTGGTGGAGGCTCCTTCTTTGGAAGCTTTTAAACAGAGGCCGGATGGCCATCTGTCAGGGGTGATTTGAATGCAATATTCCTGCTTCTTGGCAAGGGGTTGGACTGGATGGCCCATGAGGTCTCTTCCAACTCTAGGATTCTACGATTCTATGGTGAGACAAAGCGGAAGAGATTGAGGTCACCAATCGTACTTCTCCTCTTTTCCTCAGTTGAGTCAAACTACAGGCAGAAGAAAGGAAGGAATATCTGAAAATGCTTATAAATAGAGAGCAATAAAATAGAAGTCATACCTTTTTTGCACAAAGTCTTTAGTAGTAGCAAGAAGGTAGGTCTCTACATCATGCCCAGTAAGATTATAAATTGTCCGGGAGAAGAAAGTTCGTTTGTGAGGTGGGAAAATATTGATCCTTGGACAAGTCTAAAAACAATATATATGTGTATATATTTTTTAAAAAACCAAACTTGACATGCTTAGAAATTTCACAATATTTAGCAGGCAAATAATGAAGTACATTTAGGGAGTATTAAATTGATAAAAATGAATATATTTATTTATTCATTCATTCATTCATTTATATTTGTTGAAAACTGTAACTTCAGGGATTCCTAGATATATGTTCTCTCCAGAAATACTAGGTCCTCCAGTATGACTAGAGTAGTTGAGTATAGAGTCACACAGGAGGATCTAGACATTTTATCAAATCTGCTCGTATGCCCTTCCACAAATGCCAGTATCACCTTTCGTCCATGTCCCAGCATTATTTCCATTTTTAACTTTACATTTGACCTACCTACTGTTTTTAATTGCGTGTTGTCTTATTGATAATGTTGTGTATTTTATTGTCTATATTTTATTTTAATTGCTTGTACTGTTGTTTTATTGCTTGTATTGTTGTATTTGGGCTCGGCCTCATGTAAGCCACACCGAGTCCCTTGGGGAGATGGTAGAAGGGTACAAATAAAGTATTATTATTATTATTATTATTATTATTATTATTATTATTATTATTAATTCTACCATCCCAATTAAGCCAATTTGGGCTTCAGGGACATGGAATAAGCATTCCTTATATATTTGTTCCCTTCCTAAAAAACAGAGTAATTGTAATACATAATTTGTTTGCTCAATGAGTGAGTTATACAGGCACTAAAGCTCAATAAGGTCATGATTCACCTTAACTGGGGTCTGGATTGCAGTAAGATAAAAAAGAATTGATACTTTCCTTCATCCCTTTTATCAGCTCATAATGCTGCTATGTACATACTGAATAATATGGACTAACTTCATATCTAGTTCAGTCCTGAGGCTGCCATTCTGCATAAACCAATAGCTTAGATATCTGAGAAGCTAACTTTATGTAACTTTACTTTCAGCAATCTTTCAAAATGGAATACGTCTGATCCAAAGCACTCCAGATAAAGTATACTCAACCTGTATATTATGTGTGTCTACTTCCTATGTGTAACATGGGGAACATCCCTATCTCACTCAAAGAGTACAGTATTTCCAGTGATGGATTGCTGTAGGTTTTTCAGGCTATATGGCCATGTTCTAGAAGCATTCTCTCCTGACGTTTCACCTGCATCTATTTATTTATTATTTATTTACTTCATTTATATACCGCTTTTCTCAGCCCTTAGGCGACTCAAAGCGGTTAACAACAACAGTTTCAATACACACATTACAAAATCATGGGAACATTTAAAAGCAATAGCATAACAACAATTAAACATCAATATGACGAATCATTCACATCTCATCAATAGAATCAGAATCCAGTCTCATCATCCATTATTCCGTGTTCCTATAATCAATTACACTGCCTAATCGAATGCCTGTTCGAACAGCCAGGTCTTCACTTTTCTCCAAAATGCCAATAAGGAGGGGGCCGATCTGATATCTGTAGGAAGGGCGTTCTATGGAAAGCATCCTCGGAGGTAGTGAAGTCTGTTGGAACTAGGAAAATTGGGTTTATATATCTGTGGAATATCCAGGGTGAGACAAAGAACTCTTGTCTGCTGGAGCTAGGTGTGAATGTTTCAATTGGCCACCTTGATTAGCATTTGATGACCTGGCAGTTTTTTGGTGTGGCTTGTTACCGCCTGGGAGAATCTTTTGTTGAGAGGTCCCTGAATGTTTCCTCTCTGTTGTTTTGCTGTTGTAATTTTTGAGTTTTTAAATACTGGTAGCCAGAGTTTGTTCATTTTCATGGTTTCCACCTTTCTGTTGAAATTGTCCAAATGCTTGTGGATTTCAATGGCTTCTCTGTGTAGTCTGACATGGTGGTTGTGAGAGTGGTCCAGCATTTCTGTGTTCTCGAATAATATGCTGTGTCCAGGTTGGTTCATCAGGTGTTCTGCTATGGCTGACTTCTCTGGTTGAAGTAGTCTGCAGTGCCTTTCATGTTCCTTGATTCGTGTTTGGGCAATGCTGCGTTTGGTGGTCCCTATGTAGACTTGTCCACAGCTGCATGGCATACGGTAGACTCCTGCAGAGGTGAGAGGATCCCTCTTGCCCTTTGCTGAACATAGCATTTGTTGGATTTTCTTAGTGGGACTGTAGATAGTTTGTATGTTCACACCTAGCTCCAACAGACTAGAGTTCTTTGCCCCACCCTGGTCATTCCACAGATATATAAACCCAATTTCCCTAGTTCCAACAGACCTCACAACTTCTGAGGATGCTTGCCATAGATGTAGGCAAAACGTCAGGAGATAATGCTTCTAGAACATGGCCATATAGCTCGAAAAACCTACAACAACCCAGTGATTCCAGCCATGAAAGCCTTTGACAATTTACAGTGATGTTTCCAACTTTTTGCACGCCCAGAAGCTGCAATTAGTCCAACGAGCGGCAGCCAGATTACTAACAGGAGCGAGGTACAGGGAGCATACTACTCCTCTGTTGCGCCAGCTCCACTGGCTGCCAATTAGCTTCCGAGCACAATTCAAAGTGCTGGTGTTGACCTATAAATCCCTAAACGACTCCGACCCAGTTTACCTGTCCAAACGGATTCTCCCCTATGAACTATCAAGGTTGTTAAGATCTTCTGGAGGGGCCCTGCTCTCGGTCCCACCACCCTCGCAATCGCATCTGGTGGGGACGAGGGACAGGGCCTTCTCGGTGGTGGCCCCTCGGCTCTGGAACTCTCTCCCATTGGAGATTAGAACTGCCCCTTCCCTCCTGATCTTTAGAAAGTCGGTGAAAACCCGGTTCTGGAATCTGGCATTTGATGAGTGAGTCAATAACTCTTGACCACACGGACGGATGGTGATGAATTGTGATTTTATGCTGACGACTTGGCCTTATATAATTGTATGATTGTATTTAAATTGTGTTTTATATTAGTGTACTATTGGATGTGATGTTTTAAACTATTGTGTATGAATTCCTCTGTTGTAAACCGGTCTGAGTCCCTCGTTGGAGGTGAGAAGACCGGTATATCAACGATGAGACGATGCGGAATGGCTTTCGTAGTAATGATGACGTTTTTGATGATGATGTTTTTGTTTAATGCTGGATGTGGATTTTATATTATGTCTTGAATTTTTGAATTTTGTTCTTTCTATGTTGTACACCACTGTGAGTCGCCCCCGGGCTGAGAACAGCGGTATATAAGCAAAGTATATATATATATATATGTGTGTGTGTGTGTGTGTGTGTGTGTGTATGTGTGTGTGTGTGTGTGTGTGTGTGTGTGTATATATATATATATATATATATATATATATATATATATTTGTTTTGTTTTGTTGTTGTTCATTCGTTCAGTCGTCTCCGACTCTTCGTGACCTCATGGACCAGCCCACGCCAGAGCTCCCTGTCGGCCGTCACCACCCCAGCTCCTTCAAGGTCAGTCCAGTCGCTTCAAGGATGCCATCCATCCATCTTGCCCTTGGTCGGCCCCTCTTCCTTTTTCCTTCCACTTTCCCCAGCATAATTGTCTTCTCTAGGCTTTGCTGTCTCCTCATGATGTGGCCAAAGTACTTCAACTTTGTCCCTCTTGTATCCTTCCCTCCAATGAGCAGTCGGGCTTTATTTCCTGGAGGATGGACTGGTTGGATCTTCTCGCAGTCCAAGGCACTCTCAGAACTTTCCTCCAGCACCACAGTTCAAAAGCATCGATCTTCCTTCGCTCAGCCTTCCCTAAGGTCCAGCTCTCACATCCGTAGGTTACTACAGGGAATACCATGGCTTTGACTAGGCGGATCTTTGTTGTCAGTCTGATGTCTCTACTCTTTACTATTTTATCGAGACTGGACATTGCTCTCCTCCCAAGAAGTAAGCGTCTTCTGATTTCCTGGCTACAGTCTGCATCTGCAGTAATCTTTGCACCTAGAAATACAAAGTCTGTCACGGCCTCCACATTTTCTCCCTCTATTTCCCAGTTGTCAATCATTCTTGTTGCCATAATCTTGGTTTTTTTGATGTTTAGCTGCAACCCAGCTTTTGCTCTTTCTTCTTTCACCTTGATTAGAAGGCTCCTCAGCTCCTCCTCGCTTTCGGCCATCAGAGTGGTGTCATCTGCATATCTGAGGTTGTTAATGTTTCTTCCAGCAATTTTCACCCCAGCCTTGCATTCATCAAGCCCCACACATCGCATGATGTGTTCTGCATACAAGTTAAAAAGGTTGGGTGAGAGGATGCAGCCTTGCCGTACGCCTTTCCCAATCTTGAACCAGTCTGTTGTTCCGTGGTCAGTTCTGACTGTTGCTACTTGGTCCTTGTACGGATTCCTCAGGAGAGAGACAAGGTGGCTTGGGATGCCCATCCCACCAAGAACTTGCCACAATTTATTATGATCCACACAGTCAAAGGCTTTAGAATAGTCAATGAAGCAGAAGTAGATGTTTTTCTGAAACTCCCTGCCTTTCTCCATTATCCAGCGGATATTGGCAATCTGGTCTCTCGTTCCTCTGCCTTTTCTAAACCCAGCTTTTTAATCCTACACACATGAAAACAGTAAATATTGAAAGATCAGATCAGGTTGAAGGTTGCAATTCTTGACTTTAATGGGATGTAAGCTGCCTAACTGACCCTGCACAGTTACTTTCAGATACATCCTATGGAACTTTATTGAATTTGCTTCAGAGTGTACTGCAAAGCAATTTAAATCCATGAACTCTGACAGCTGGTTTGTGAGTGAAGCCGCCCTGCATGTATATGGCTTTCAGAATGCTGGGTAGCTAATGTGATAAAAAGAAATACATCTGTTCATTTTGCTGGCTAAGGAAGACAGAAAGCATAGTACTTTTTTCAATTACACAGTCAGGGACAGACGGGCGACAGGGACTCCTGTCATCCATCTATTTAAAGTGGATTCAAACATACAGTTTAGCAGTATGCAGTCCGTGTTCAAATCTGCAACCCTTAGAGCCATCTGTTCCCTTGTGGAAGAAGTTCTGAACAACAGTTAAGTCCCCGCTGTTTATTTCACATACATCTCCTCTCATGGAGTCCAACTTTTACGTTACCTGTCTGTCGTCGGTGCAGTTGCAGACAGAATACCGAGCACTCTGGTTCCCACTGAACACCCACTCGCTGGGCACATCTTCCTTAAAACATGCTCTGAAAGTAAGCAGATTTAACATTGACATTTCCTGTAGGCTGACATACAGATGACATGTAGTAATATGGTGCCAGGTTCCTATTAATGCGAGGCACTTGGCAGGCGATCACCTTTGTTTATTGATTCCCCCAAGAGCGCTCAACAAATCCCACTGGCTTCAAGGCAAGCTGAATTTGCTCTGCCCAGCTTGTTTCTTAAATGGTTCTGCCTATTACTCTGTCAATCTCTTTTTAGTTGTTCAATGGCGATATTGATTGAAAAGGTCTAATGAGACCTGCTTCAAATTCTTTAGCAAGAAACTCAGGAAATTAACATAAAAATAACAATTATCTTGAAATCAGAAGGGAACCCCGTACTCGAAAGTACTGCAAGGTCAGACATTCCTCAAATGCTTGATTAAGCATTCACAGTTTGCACAAATAATTCCCCAGATATTTGTGAGAAATGTGTTATCAACTCCCTTTAAAAATTTTGAGATGAAAATCCATCATATTTTCCACATATCTCTCAACCAATTCGGATAGGACCTGTGGATGGACCATTGGTTAAAGGTGAAGGTTTTCCCCGACATTAAGTCTAGTCATGTCTGACTCTGGGGTGTGGTGCTCATCTCCATTTCTAAGCCGAAGAGCTGGCGTTGTCCGTAAACACCTCCAAGTTCAAGTGGCCAGCATGACTGCATGGAGCACCGTTACCTTCCCACTGGGAAGTTCCCCAGGGTGCTATCCTCTCGCCCCTGTTATTTAACATCTACGTCCAGCCACTTGCTGGACTGGTGCGGAGCTTTGGCATAGAGTGCTACCAGTATGCACTAGTATGGAGCCCCCGGTGGCACAGTGGGTTAAACCCCTGTGCCAGCAAGACTGAAGACCAACAGGTTACAGGTTCGAATCCAGGGAGAGGCGGATGAGCTCCCTCTATCAGCTCCAGCTCCTCATGCGGGGACATGAGAGAAGCCTCCCACAAGGATGGTAAAACATCAAAAATTATCCAGGCGTCCCCTGGGCAACATCCTTGCAGATGGCCAATTCTCTTACACCAGAAGCGACTTGCTCCTGACACGACAAAAAAAAAGTATGCAGATGATACCCAGCTACTCTTGTGTCTCGAACCTGGGACAACCGCGATTCCTGAGAACTTTAGGCTGTGTTTGGAAGCAGTGATGAGTTGGCTGCAAGCGAGCAAAGTGAATCCTGCTAAAACGGAGATACTCTGGCCCGGCCAGCCGCCAGAATTAATCCAGTCTCTACCTGATTTCAATGGGGAAGCTCTGGTTCCGTCTGCCACTGTTAAAAGCCTTGGGGTTGTGTTGGACTCATCACTGATGATGGAGGCCCAGATCACTGCCATAAGTAAGCAGGCCTTTTTTCATCTTCGCCAGGCAAGGAACTTGGCATCCTACCTTTCGGTAGAAGCATTGGCATCAGTAATCCACGCAATAGTCACCACGAGGTTGGACTATTGCAACGCCTTATATGCTGGCCTTCCAAAGTCAACAACCCAGAAGATTCGGATGGTCCAAAACGCAGCGGCCAGGCTGCTAGCAGGATCATCTATAAGATCCCATATTACACCGATTCTGCAACAACTGCATTGGCTACCAATAGAACATCGGATCTCTTACAAGATACTGATCCTGACATTTAGAGCTCAAAATGGCCAAGGACTTTTATATCTTAGGGACTGCCTCATTCCTTTTCTCCATCAGTGGTCACCTCGATCCACCCAGGAAAATCTCCTATACATACCGGGCCCTAGGGAGGTACACCTGGAAGCTACAAGGCGTAGAGCTTTTTCGATCTATGCTCCAATTCTGTGGAACTCATTGCCTCCATACATTAGAGCAATGTCTGAGTTGCGACCTTTTGTAAAGGCACTCAAGACTTGGATGTTTGGTTGTGCATTTAAGTAATCAGATCTAATTTGCCAAATAGTTACTGTTGAATGTTTTTATATTGTGTAAATGCTATTTTAGATTGTAAGTCGCTCAGAGCACCTTGGTGGAGAGCGACTAATTAAGAAATAAAGTGAAGTGAAGTGAAGTGATGTATTCACATTTCCATGTTTTCAAACTGCTAGGTTGGCAGAAGCTAGGGCTGACAGAGGAAGCTCACGCTGCTCCCAGGATTCGAACCTGTGACTTTTCGGTCAACAAGCTCAGACACTCAGCGCTTTAACCCACTGCACCACCGGGAACTCTGGACCATTGATACAAATGGCGTATACATTTCATCTCGTTTCCAATTAGTATGATGATTGCCAGGCAAACTACGTCTGCACTCCCACTCATATTCTCACTGAATTCAATGGAATTTCTCAATAGACAAGTCCAGTATTGTGCTATAAAGCTAAAATCTAAGGGTACTGATGTCAAAATAAGTAGACTTGCTTACAAGTTAACATGCACAAAATTCAACTTCATGGCTGAAATTCATACTTATACTCATGTATAGGCCAACTTTATGTAGAAGTCAAGGCAGATTTGGAGCCAAAATCATGGATTTCGATATGACTTGTAGGTAAGTCAAGGGTCGTTCCACAGAGATAGGAAAGCACTTGACCTTGGGTTTATGTTGCTGTTGTTATGCATCTGTTCATTCATTTCTGACTCTTCATGAACTCATGGACCAGCCCACGCCAGAGCTCCCTGTCGGCCGTCACCTCTCCCAGCTCCTTCAAGGTTTATGTTTATGTTATAAGTCTACATTTTTATGGAAGTTATTCCTTTTTTTCCATGTACTGCTCATTTTTACTTTAAACTGCTTTGTACAGAATTTTCCAAGTACATTTAGAGAGCAGCTCTAGCAAATTTAAGACATTTTTACAGCTAGATGGCTTCAATCTGATTGTTTTTGACTTCTTTTGATGTGACATTTGGGTATCACAGCTTTCCAGATGATCAAAGGATGTTCTTAATCCTTGATAACTCTTATTTTGTGTGTGTGTCCTTTCCTATTCCACAACAGGAATGTATAAGAAGGGGGGGGGGGGAATACTTACAAATTATTATTGTTCAGGCACGTGTTATCTGCTCCAGGGAAAGAAAGCAATGATTCCACTAACGAATTGGTAGTTTCATTGTAATTTCTAGGAGTTAAAACATAACACTAGAAATGATTATCTGTAATATTATAAGCAAGACAAGCAATAGGTATCCTTTTAGCTAAACTAAAGCAAGGTGAGAGTCAGATATTGTTTTATATCTCAATACAGTAAAACATATAACAAATATGAAGGCTTCACAAAAATAAAACGTGATTGGTTCCTGAAGTTGTTCAGTGTGTGCTTTTGCTAGCACCGGGATTGTGGCGCAGCTGGCTGAGTGTCAGCTGCATTAAGATCACTCTGACCAAAAGGTCATGAGTTCGAAGCCAGCCCGGGTTGGAGTGGGTTTCCAACCAATTGTGTGTAGCCTGTTGTTGACCTTTGCAACCCGAAAGACAGTTGCATCTGTCAAGTAGGAAAATAAGGTACCACCTTAAAGTGTGGGGAGGCTAAATTAACTGATTTATGTGGCCATAAAGAAGACTCCAGCAAAGCATTCCAGCGGGGAAGTATGCGGGGAATGCGTAAGTGCTTCATCAGCGTCGCAGATGGACGAGGAAAGCGACAGCTCCCCTGGCGGCCAGAAAAAAGTTAAATAGCCTCTGTGTATGTCTGTATATGTTTGTATGTCAAAAATTGGCATTGAATGTTTGCCATATATGTGTACACTGTAATCCGCCTTGAGTCCCCTGCGGGGTGAGAAGGGCGGAATATAAAAAGCTGTAAATAAATAAATAAAATGATTGCTCACATAACGAACAATGTAAATTAAATATTTACCCAAAAAAGTCTGCCTGGTTGGAGGAGCCATAAATGGATGGTGAGAGAATTAGTGCTGGATATTCTGCCACCTTAGGTCCCAAGGTGCCTAGACCCATGGCTGCTGTCACAAAAAACACTGGAAGAATGACCTGAGCAATGAAACCTTTCACATTGCGTCGAGTGTGATGAAACCTCTTAATGAACAAGGCAGTGGATCTTCTCACCAATACAGAAAAGTTGCTTGACTTCTTGAGCTGAACGAGTGCTTGATCTGTGCAAGAAGAAGTGATATGATGACACATTAAGTACTGAATTTTGTTCCTTCAAAGTTCCTTTCAATGCACATCTTGGAAAAAAAATACTTTTTTGGATGAACTCCCAGAATCCCACAATCAACATGTATAATTCTCCTTCAGTCCTAGGACAATAAAATGGGATCCTGTAGAGCAGTGTTTCGCAACCTGTGGGTCCCCAGGTGTTTTGGCCTTCAACTCCCAGAAATCCCAGCCAGTTTACCAGCTGTTAGGATTTCTGGGAGTTGAAGGCCAAAACATCTGGGGACCCACAGGTTGAGAACCATTGCTGTAGAGATTGCCTACAGATCTGCATAACCTTCCTGTGGACTGCAGTGTGGTGTATTTCTGTAGATAGTAGATCTCTCATTGTTTGACAATCACACACAAATGAAAGATGACAATGTATCTATTTATTTCGTTGCCAGGGATCCAACTTGTGTATAAATTCATACCATCTCTTTCAGTGAAGCTATCAGAGCTTATGGAGAAGTCTTCATTTGCTGGAGTATAGCTGCAGGCATCTTTAGATGAGCCAGCATCGACCTGTTCATCTTTAGGCATATCTTTGGTCAAATTGAGAAACACCTGCAAACCAATAAGATAAAAATACTAGTTTTTAATGCAATTGAGTTTTGCTTTCTTTGGACAAACTCTGATCAGTTTGGGGCAGTTTTTTCTGTACTATCCCTTAGAGCAGTGGTGTCAAAAAGTTGTGTTTTAGACTTCAGTTTCCATAATTCCTTACCATTGAACAAGCTGGCTAGGGCTTCTGGGAGTTGGAAGGCCAGACATCTAGAGGGCCACACGTTTGATTTTACCAAGTTTTGTTTTCTTTTATGTCTGGACAACTGTGGCATGTGTTTGGTTTAAAGATAAATAATCATAAAAAGAAAATTTGGCATGCAGGGAGAGGGGGAGGGTTTGACGTGCACACCAACATTTATCCTCTGGGAGCAATCACAGAGGTTACCTGTCCTCAGCAAATTATGATAGGCTGAATTTATTTTTATTTAAGTTATAGTTATGATTTCTAGATGTATAAATGTCTATGAATGTAAAATGTATCCAAATCCATATACTGGGAGGGTGATACAAGTTGAGTGTCCATCATCCAAAAGTTTAAAATTTGCGCAACTATATCTCTATATCTTGGAGATGGAGTCTGAACACAAAAGTAAGTCATGTTTCATTTATACCTCATACACATAGCCTGAAGGTAATTGCATACACAGTATTATTAATAATGTTTTGCATAAAACCAAGTTTGTGTACACTGAACCATCAGAAAGCAAAAGTGTCACTATTGTAGCCACCCACGTGAACATTTTTGTAATTTGAAGAATTTCAGATACTGGAATCTCGGATATGGGATGTTCAACCTGTACATCATTGGCCAACCTAACCAGAAGCCATGGCCTAGCCCATTGTTTCTCAAACCGTACTCCTCCAGGTGTTTCGGACTTCAGCTCCCAGAAATCCCAGTCAGCTTTCCAGCTGTTAGGAATTGTGGGAGCCGAAGTTCAAAACATTGCGCATCTGGAGGAGCACAGCTTAAGAAACTCTGTCCTAGCCACTGTATATAAGCATGGTCGAAGATGTAGAGAGGGAAGAGAATGGAAGAAGAGTTTTAAGCTGCTCTGTTACAAGAGCACAATCAGTTCAGGATCTTCCTGCCATGAACAATTCTATGAACTCAGTCTATACAGACCAGCATGAGAGGTTTCAAGGAAAGCTCTGTCAACAAATCACCACTAAAACTACATCAACAGTAAAAAAAAAGAATCTGGAGATCAACTGTAGGGTGGTTTTTGAGGACAGACATCCTTCCTATGAACCAATCCCTTATTCCATTAGCAGCTCTTTGTATCTCCTCCTTCTTATTGGAAAGATCTCTGAACATGACTGGATTACCACCTTCTTAGGTTACTTCTCCTGTAGTGAGGTTATGTCTACTGTATGGACTGTCATCTTTGTCATCATTGATCCACTAAGTTCATTTGTAGATCCTTGGGCCTTAGGTATCACTGCTGACACGGACTACAGGAGACTATATGTAATATAAACTCCTGCTATAATTCTGTCATTGTTGAGATAAATACAGATAAATGCATCCAGTGTGTACATGTTTTTTATGGTACTGTTCAATCAGTGGCAAACTTTCTACACACACTTTGGACTCTATTTATTTAACAAATGTGCAGTTTCACAGGCTCATCTTGCGGCTACAAGAGAGAGAGACTTCTTCTCTGTGGCCCCCCGACTCTGGAACTCATTGCCTGGAGAGATTAGGAAAGCCCCTACCTTAGGAACCTTTAAAAAGAATCTCAAGACATGGCTCTGTTGTTGTGCCTTTTGAGAGTAACCATACAACCTTATGCTATTGCTCCCCTCAACATTTTTGTCCGTGGAGTACACCTCCCCGTGTACGAAGGCTTGTTTACTACCCCGTTTCTCTATGAGCTCTCCCTTGCAAATAACCTGTTCCTTTTATGTCACCCTGAGTTTTAATCATTTTATTGTACATACGGCCCACTCATTGTTATTGTAATTGTTTATTGCATTTTCATGTTTTGTGTACATTGTTTATTGTATTCATATGTTTTTGCATTTTATTGTGTTGTTGCTTGCGTTTCAGTTTTTATTTTATCTTTTTCTATTTTATTGTAATGTGTTGATCAGGCTTGGCCTCATGTAAGCTGCCCGAGTCCCCGTAGGGGGAGATGGTGGTGGGCTATACATAACGTTTATTATTATTATTATTATTATTATTATTATTATTATTATTTAATTAGTTATTTCTTCGTATTGTCGAAGGCTTTCATGGCCGGAATCACTGGGTTGTTGTAGGTTTTTCTGGGCTATATGGCCATGTTCTAGAGGCATTTTTGGAGAACATGGCGATATAGCCCGGAAAAACCTACAACAATCCAGTTATTTCTTCAATAAATGTCTATGCAGCCCTTCCTAAAATTATTATCTGGCTGTTCGTAACAATACAAAAGACCAGCAACACAATGAAACAACATTCAGTACATCAGTAAAAGAAAAACTGCAGCAATAAAATAGTGAGATATTAAAAGTTCAACAAATGTTAAAAAAAACTGGTAGGCACCAACCTCTTCTACCGTGCTGTCTGAAATTCCATAGCAGCCAATATGGAGATCACTCAAGCCATTGTCGAGGCCTCTCAGGAGGGACTGGTATGCTGGAGAGACTTTACTGTTAAACTTCGGAAGCACATAGACAAGCTCGCCCCCAATGTCTTCCTTGAGATAAGCTTCTGGGAGATGAGACTGGATCATGGCTGTCACTGCAGAGGTATCACATTCTTCTGCAACATTTAGAGTTGGGCCCTGGGGAACACACCACAATAAAGCAATGCAGTACGAACATTGCATTTTCATAATATATTATTTCAGTTATGCCAAAGAAGGAACTAATTAGTCTTAAAGTGAGTATCTACCACCTCAAGCAAGAGCTCTTTGGCGGGTGGGGAGATGTGTGTTAAAATGAAAATCCACTTTATGTTTAGCTAGCTGAATTTTGACCAAGCGACACATATGCATTAAATTCATTTTCCAGCTCAACCCATCTACATCAGATTTTTTGCTTCCTATAATGTACGTATTGCATCTTCTCAGACACAATTCAGTTGCTGCCACATCTTCAACTTTCTTCTTAACCAGGTGTTCCTGCATGCCCGAAACCTGTACAGAACATACAAATGTTTGCATACTGTGCTGGTACAGCTGTACCAGAAGCTCCAACTTTATTTGCTTTGTATTAAGTGTTTGCTTACAGCCCAAGGCTTGGGATTCTGCAGAAGGGTGGCTTCCTGTTAAAGTTTGCAGTTATAGGGCAGGTCCATCATCGTTAAGTTTGGTTCCGCCCCCTGTTCAGGACAATTGAGAAGGGAAGGGAGCCATTTTCAGTCAGTCTCAGCTAAGAAAGTCAATGTACAGGACATGTATAGACTTTCTCCTGTACAAAGGCTTCAACCCTTAAGACCTCCCGGGGGAGAACAGTCTTAAGAGCATCTAAAGATTCCCAAAGGTTCCCAGGAAAACAGCCTTACAGCCCTGAGGAATTTCGGAGGGAATAACAGCTTTAAACATCAAGAACTCCAGCTGAAGTGACTACAGGTCTACTGCTAGGTCCGCTCAGTTTTGAGACGCAGTTCAGCCTGGTAGTGGATCCACATCAGTTAGGTTTAGGATCACAGTTAGCCTGGGAGAAGTTTGGAAAGGGATTTTCCTTTAGAGTAAAAGCAACAGTTAGAAGCCACCAGTTGCACAAAGCCTGGAAACATTTGTTTAACCTTTTGAAGACAAAATAAGTTTCTGTTGATTGTTCACCAATAAAAGACTTTGTTATATTTTACAAGCCTTCTAGAGACTGTTTATGGTGAAAATCCTTAAGAATTTCTCTTCGGGCCCCCTGGCTTCCCACTGGGCTAAAGTTGCATGTCCTGTTTTAAAAGCAATTTGTTTCAAGCCCAGCGCGCGACTGAACACATACCTTTTTCTTAGTAAGGATCAGGTGGTATCCATTGCCAAATGTTTCCTTGAGGTAGAATGGGGACCCACAGCATTTGAGCCCTCCGTGTTCCAAGAATGCAACCCGGTCACTCAATACCTCAGCTTCATCCAAATGATGGGTAGAGAGAATAATTGTTCTGCCTGAAAATAACAAAAAAAAGACACCTGTCTGTCTCTGGACCTATGGGGGAGGGGCAGACAGAAACTCTCAGTCACATTAACAGCATCTCCCTCATAGGAGCTGAGTTACTGAGACAGGAGAGAAAGCCCAATGGGACAAAAACTTTAAAAGCCAGTCAACCAGAGCCTTGTTGGCTCCCTGGTTCACTTAACCAGGCACTGGATCGGTTGGTTGGGCCTGTAACACTACCCTAGAGGGCAACACAGTACAGCTTACATTTCCTGGGGCTATGCCTTAGGTTCCTTCGTGATATAGAAAATAAAGTACTTACAGCATGGCTATCAGAAAACCCAGTTTGAGAACTTTAGCATTGGTTTCTTCATAAGGCTACTTATAACCCTATTTATGAGATTCAATTCTGGTTCAAAGCTTACTTTGATCCTAACATGACTTTTATCATGAGTGTCACAGTATTAAAACACAATTTTTCACGTCATTGCTCCAGAATCCCAGGATGTCAATTTTCCTGCTCGTATTACCTTTTCTATTCTTTGATATAATCTCCCAAATGCCTCTCCTTGAACACGGATCAACCCCAGTGGTTGGTTCATCTAATATCACAACCTTTGAACCTCCAAGAAGAGCGATAGATATTGATAGCTTGCGTTTCATCCCTCCTGATAAGGAGCCAGCCAGTTTGTGACGATGGTTGTATAATCCAGTTTCCTTCAAAGTCCTTTGAAACAGGAACCAGGAAAAGAAAACATTTTTCAGAGGGGGAAAAACCCCTATACATATCAAAGCATATTAGCACAAATGAAAGATTACTTCTTCAGATCTGGAAGTACTGTGATTTCAAACTTTTTTGTTTTATTTATTTTTCTTTTAAGACTTTTCAGAATTTTTGGCAAACAAGGCAAGGCAAAATGACTCAAAGCTACTATTTGGAATGGCAATGGGAAATCCAAATGTATACTTGGCCTGTTTCTCCAATCTCAGTGTAAAAAAAACCTACAAAACCATTTTGAATGGACAGTAAAGGCTGATTTATGTTTCAAAAGTGACACAAAGCAGTCTTTAAAAACTGTGTAGTAAAATCAAATCAAAACAACAACAATAAATTAGGAAAAACAGCAGTACAAGAGCTATTGTCCTTGCCAACACGAATATGCTTACTTTGGAATAATATGATGAAATCATGACATCTGTGTCGATATTTCAATGTGCTTTTATTATGTTGCCTCTGCCAAAGGGAGGAAAAGCACATTTGGACCCTATCTCTCCCTGTTCAGTAATCCTTCAAGAAAATTGGGATATTATCTTCTCCTCTGTCTAGCTTTTTAATGACACTATGACTAGTCCAGTCAACTACAAATGCAATCTTAATTGGTGAACAGTTCAAACCTTGTTCAAAGATGTGCCAGGTTTAGGAACTTACAAATAGGAACTCAAGACTTATGCCTGCTGTCTGCCAACATAATTCACTTCTTCTGGCTGATCTCACAAGACTGAGATTAGATAGCAGATAAGCCCTCCCCTCAAAGGAGCCAAATTCTGCTGGAGCCAACCTTCGCTGGACCAAGAAAATAGGGTTAACCCAGAACTGGGATACTCCTAAATACTTTTGCACACATGAAAGTTTGAGAATGGATTGGGTTCAACGCCATTTCAATTGATATTATGCAAGTCCAGCTGATACTCAGCACTCTGAGTTTGGATTGAATGGCTAACTGACACCAAGTGTCAGTATGGCCAACTGACACTAAAGACTTCATTGGACGGTTGAGGGAAAGCAGGGAGAAGGTCTTACCCTGTTCCCGCCCATCTTCCCTTTGATTGACATCTGACTCCTGATAGATATCTTTGGGCTCCATTTCCATGTGCCTGGGAAATGACGCACCACAGAGTCTCACCAGAAATGCCCTTACATTGTCTGTTGGCCTTCATGGGACTCCTGTGGGGCTCCATTTCCCAAGCGCATGGAAACAGAGTGCGAAGACCATCTGATGAAGTCCTACCGCCTCATCACACAGGGGTTATTTGGCCTCTTATTCCTCTTCAACCATGGGTTTGATGCACCACTAAGCACAGGATGGAGCCTGCTGAATGCCACCACATAGCACAGGCCTTGGCCCCACCCTATTGATGTGTGAAGTGGTGAGGAAGCATCACAAGAAGCTGCCTCATCAACTACGGTAAGTGTTTTCATGTCAGGAGCAACTTGAGAAACTGCAAGTTGCTTCTGATGTGAGAGAATTGGCCATCTGCAAGGATGTTACCCAGGGATGCCCAGACGTTTGATGTTTTACCATCCTGTGGGAGGCTTCTCTCATGTTCCACATGGGAAGCTAGAGCTGAGACGTGTGTTCACTCCACTCCTCAGATTTGAACCGCCAATCTACCAGTCAGCAGTCCTGCCGGCACAAGGGTTTAACCCGTTGTGCTACCAAGGGCTCATACTAGAGTAGGTAAATTGAGTTTTGGGTAACTCTAATGGTTTTGGGCCTTTTTCCCCATCTCATGGGGAAATAGCAATTGGCAGCACACGTTGACACAGTTTCCCCTCTTATTTTTCTATCTCTTTTCTAACTCTTCTGAGGCGCAATAGGATATTAGAAGAGTTCAATTGGCAGACTGCTCTGTCAGTATATCTCAGAGATCCATTGGCAGAAGAGGGTTCTTCCAATCAACTAGAGTCATTACTTCTTTGATTTAGGATGGCACCTTGTGGAAGTCAGCCAAGCCTTAGGAAGGAAATCTGTGATTATGAACTCTGTTAAAGTTCACAGTAGATGTCATATGATTCTTCTTTTGAGCTCCGTAAATGTATTTGACATACCTATTTGATTTATATCCTGCTTTTGGGGTAAGTATTAGTTGTAACACACTGATTTAAAATAGATATAAAGAAGAGGTAACAGCATCCTCATACTTCAACAACATAGGTTTCCCCCAGAATCACAATACATACTATCATAATCGTCAGTAGGAAAAGTTCATCATTCTTAAAGGTCATGATTCTGAAGTCTGAATTTTAGGTTGCCATCTTGCCCTTTCAGACCAACCTGATTCTTTGTAATCTAGCTCACATTCAACCCTGCCCCATTTCTTGTCCTCAAGGAAGAGCAATACAAATGGCTGTTCATTTGATATTGTTATGTAGGTCAACTTCAATACAAGAAGGGCAAGGAAAAGCACAAGAAAATGAGTATCATAAGGATGTTATAAAGAAGATAGCTTCCCAGCGGCTGTATGCTTCCAGCATCTGGATTGGGGGCCAAACATCAAAAATAGACCAACAGCAAACACAGTTTTTGAAGGTCCTTTTCCAGCTCCCCAGATGCGTCTTATTACTTGAATCCGGAGAAGCGCCCCTGTTAATAAAAGCATTGGTGGTGGGCACTTAAATATTAGATCAAGATTAACGTTTTAGTTTGGGGTTGGGTTTGATGCACCACTTAGCACAGGATGAGTACATAAATAGTTGGTTTAAGATCAATTCCAAGAAAGCTTCCTCCATCGGTCTTTCCGCATCCCTCCTAACTCATCTGGGTTTTGACATGGCCCTCAAATCAATCAAACAGAGACTGTTCTGTCGCGCGCTGGGTCTGTAACAGCTGTCTTTTCTATAGGACGTATAATTTAAGCCCAGCGGGAAGCCAGGGCGCCTCAAAGAGAGGTTCTCAGGGATTTTTATGAAGTGATGGTCTTTAGAGTCTTTAATGGTACAACAAAGTCTTTATTATAGAACAAACAACAAATCTTCAATGGTTCAAACAACATTTCAAGGTTTTCTTAGTCTAGTCCTCAATGGACTGGTACCTGACTTTGATTAACTGTACTTTCTCTGTAGGAAAAAAAACCCCCTATTTAACCTCTCCCAGTCTGTTTACTATCTATGCCTCATCGGTGTGGGTCCTACTACCAATTCCAAATGCGTCTGGGTATCGAGTAGACCTACCAGCTGAGGCTTAAAGATATTTCAGATGGAGTTCCGTGGATCTGTAGTGCTGTCCTCCCTCAGAGAATTCTTTGAAAACTTCAGGGCTGTTTTCCCTCTGATTGCTGTGAGGCTGAGAGGCTGTGAGCTCTCAGCCAGAGCCTTGGGACCTTTTCCCTGGAATTTCTGTTTCTGTTTCCCTGGATGTTCTTGAGAAAAGAAGCTTTTCTACGGGACGAGCTGGTCTACGTCCTATAGTTTAGCTTCCTTATGTGAGACTGCCCAAAAAATGGCTCCTTTCCCTCCCAGAGCCCTGAACAAGGGGCAGAACCAAAGCTTAATTATGATGGACAGGAGGCCTGCCCTATGACTGCAAACAGATAACTGAAAGAAAATAAAGTTGGAGCTCCTGGTACAGCCGTACCAGCACAGAGACTGTGGGACATTGCCTTTTGTGAGCTGTGCTCTTATGTACTCTCCTAGTGCCCTGTCCATGCATTATGGGCCTTTTCATGAGTCCCCCTAGGGGTGAGAAAAGTGGTATATAAATACTGTAAATAAACTATCTAAAGAACTTGACGGTAGCCAAATATCGCTGCTCATTTTCCAAAGCAAGGTGCAATATGCTCCCGTCTGAATTGCTGCATGGGAGATTTGCCAGTACCCCATATAATGAAAGACTCTGCCCATGTAACAAACAGGAAGTAGATTGCATCTACCACATTCTACTGTCATGTGTGGTGGAAACTTCTTCCTTGGAGGCTTTTAAACAGAGGCTGCATGGCCATTTGTCAGGGGTACTTTGATTGTGTAGGTCGGTCTACGTGGCCCATGTGCTCTCTTCCAACTCTTATGATTCTCTGTGATTCTACAAGTGCTTATTTGCCATTGTTATGCAAGTCAACTTCAATATATGGTGTCCCTAATGTAGGGTTTTCTGGCAGGATTGATTCAGAGGTCTGACTTGCCCACCATCACCAAGTGGGCTTCCACAGCTAATGCTGATCTCCCCTTAATGTTATCCAAAACTGGCTGCTGATGTAATTCTGAATATTTTGAAACATTCCTGTATTTATAAATAATCTCATAGAATCATAGAATCATAGAATCAAAGAGTTGGAAGAGACCTCATGGGCCATCCAGTCCAACCCCCTGCCAAGAAGCAGGAATATTGCATTCAAATCACCCCTGACAGATGGCTATCCAGCCTCTGTTTAAAAGCTTCCAAAGAAGGAGCCTCCACCACACTCCGGGGCAGAGAGTTCCACTGCTGAACGGCTCTCACAGTCAGGAAGTTCTTCCTTGTGTTCAGATGGAATCTCCTCTTGTAGTTTGAAGCCATTGTTCCGTGTCCTAGTCTCCAAGGAAGCAGAAAACAAGCTTGCTCCCTCCTCCTTGTGGCTTCCTCTCACATATTTATACATGGCTATCATATCTCCTCTCAGCCTTCTCTTCTTCAGGCTAAACATGCCCAGCTCTTTAAGCCGCTCCTCATAGGGCTTGTTCTCCAGATCCTTGATCATTTTAGTCCCCCTCCTCTGGACACATTCCAGCTTGTCAATATCTCTCTTGAATTGTGGTGCCCAGAATTGGACATAATATTCCAGGTGTGGTCTAACCAAAGCAGAATAGAGGGGTAACATGACTTCCCTGGACCTAGACACTATGCTCGAGCCAGGCATTGTCCCCCATTCTGTATCTTTGCATTTCGTTTTTCCTGACAAAGTGGAGTATCTTGCACTCTAGAGATTTCTTTTCTCTCTGAAACAGAATATGAACCCTTTTTATTTTGATTTGCAATTCTCACATGCACAACATATAAGGAACCTCAATGTACCTTTCGATTTCCTTCTGTAATTCTTCCTTGCTCCAGTGGGGTACCTTGATGTAGCCATATAAAAACAAGTGTTCCTTTGTTGTGAGGTAACTGAATAATACATTGTGCTGCATGCATATTCCCATATTTTTCCTGATGATATCCTGGTCAGTTCTGATATCTTTACCATAAACATATATAGTGCCTGATGAAGCAGGAAACAGGCCAGTTAGGATAGATCTACAAGGGGAAAGATACAAGTAAATGATTAGATCAATAACCAGAACTGGCAGCCCATTCTGCTCCACTTCCTTAGGCCAGAGAAAAAACATTGCTGCCATTTCCTTCATTACTGAATCTTCCACCAACTTTGTTCAGTAATCAAAATCCTTGCAGGACTTAGGTTTTACATACTTCAGCATCCATTCAACAGCCATTTAAGTGACTGGAGGGGGACATTGGCTACAGCCAGATGTAGAACGATAAATCCAGGAGCCATCTTTAAACCAAGAGACACCTCTATCATTTTGTCTCTTGCTTTAAGGATGCAACCAGATGCTTTTTTCTGTTATGCCATCACTATTCTCCATACAGATGTTTTTCCACCAGTGTTACAGAACAGAGGCAATTGTTTGATCTGCTCCTGCAGAATTCTGGGAAATGTAGTTCAGGGACGCTGAGAACCTCTCTAGCTGAGCATTCCAAAGACTCTGACCTGAACTACATTTCTGCTGAGATTAACTTCACAATTCAGCAGCAGATCAGTTGCACAACTTCAGCGCTTTCCAGTAGCTTCTTCCTGCACAGTATATTCAGTCAACTGCTCCCACAGCCTGCAGTCACTCTGGAACCTTTTTACAGACACTTGAGCACATGCCTGGCCATTGTCAGTTTTACCATTGTCTTTCCCCCAGTCTAGATGATATTACAAACTTACCACAGCATACAGTTATATCTTGTCTTAGCAGACAGGTTCTTTTAATCAATTACATAGAGCCTTCGATGAACAACATCACAGCACAAGGAGAGAGAATACACTGTACATGACTTCCTTATATACAATTCTGTACACATAGCAATCTCTGATTGGTTCCCAACTCATTAACTTAACTCAGACCCAGGATTACATCATTCACAATCACCTGGACTAGGCCAGAACACATTCCCAAATGATTCCCTATATACAGTTAATGCATGACTCAGCATTTCCAATAGAAGCCCATTAGCAGTGCATGACTCAGCTATATTACATTACAATACATTGTAAAATCTGACAATTTCCTAAAATTCTGCAGGAGCAGATCAGACAATTGGCAGATGATAGCCTCCATTCTGCAAGGCCAGTGGGAAAATGCCCTATGTTGTAGGGGCAGCACAGCAACCAAAAAGTGAATCCCAGAGGAAGGGGAAGAGGGAAGACATAGTGTATGTTCCATCTGTGCAGAACGTTACAATGTGTCTCCTAATGCAGGATCTTAGCTAACATGTTCAAATTAAAAAGAAAAATATATATTTAAGAAACAAAAAAGAATCTGGCTGTTTCAGGATTTTGAACAAGGAATAATATCAAAACTTCATTTCACCTCTACACATTAAACACTTTAGCTTTAAAAAGTAATACTCTCTCTAGCTCTATAATAAAAGTGAAAATATGTTTGTATGTTTGTATCTACCTATGTATGTATCTACCTCTATATCTATGTTTGCTTGTATTTTTCAAGATGGCTCTCAAATCCAAAGAGCCCTTTGACTCCCAACAACAACGCATCTAGACAAAACTTTGCATGCATAGCTATCATGACCATCTTAAAATATTGATGGGCTTTGACAAAGGATGATGGGTTAAAATAAAAAAAACAATGACTATTTCTGTGTTGTTGTAGGTTTTTCGGGCTATATGGCCATGTTCTAGAACAGGGGCCCTCAAACTATGACCCGGGGGCCGGATTGACCCAGCCCTCGCTCAGGGTCAACCTAAGTCTGGAACGACTTGAAAGTACACAACAACAACAACAACAATCCTATCTCATCAGCCAAAAGTAGGCCCACACTTCCCATTGAAATACCAATAAGTTTATATTTGTTAAAATTGTTCTTCATTTTAATTATTGTATTGTTTTAAAGTGGGTTTTTTTGCACTTCAAATAAGATATGTGCAGGGTGCATAGGAATTCATTCATTTTTTTTTCAAATTATAATCCCCCCCAACAGTTTGAGGGACTGTGACCTGGCTCTCTGTTTAAAAAGTTTGTGGATTCCTGTTCTAGAAGCATTATCTCCTGACGTTTTGCCCGCATCTATGGCAAGCATCCTCAGAGGTTGTGAGGTCAGACCTCAAATGCACAACATGCAGGCGAAACATCAGCAGAGAATGCTTCTAGAACATGGCCATATAGCCCGAAAAACCTACAGCAGCCCAGTGATTCCAGCCATGAAAGCCTTCAACAATACAATGACTATTTCTAATAGTTATCATTACAACATAGCTAACCCAGTCATCACCAAGTATTCAAGCTAGTCTATATAAATAAAAATGTAATGTGGTATTCACTGAACTCAAAAACCACTTGGGCAATTGGCACCAAATTTGGACACGATACACTTAACAACCCAAACTATGTCCTTCACTCAAAAAATTGATGTTGTCATTTGGGAGTTGTAGCTGCTGGGATTTATAGTTCGCCTACAATCAAAGAGCATTCTGAACCCCACCAACAATGGAATTGAACCAAACTTGGCACACAGTTCTCCCATGACCAACATAAAATACTGGAAGGATTTGGTGTTGGAGTTGGAGTTCACTTACATCCAGAGATCACTGTGGACTCAAACAATGATGGATCTGGACCAAACTCTACAAGAATACTCAATATGCCCAGATGTGAACACTGGTGGAGTTTGGGAGAAATAGAATCTTGACATTTGGGAGTTGTAGTTGCTGGGATTTATAGTTCACCTACAATCACAGAGCATTCTGAACCACACCAACGATAGAATTGGGCCAAACCTCCCACACAGAACCCCCATGTGGGCCACAGCAACGCGTGGCAGGGGACGGTTAGTTTTTAATAAAACACACAGACATTTTAAATATATAAGACTACACAGCTACATACTATCCATTACAATTAAACAGCTATAACTAGTATCTACAAACTACCCTCTATCTGATAATGATTATCCATTATTATTATTCTCCCAACAATATTGCAACCACAATTCTACTTAAGGCAACCCTCTACGAATTCATGAATCCCAAAGTTGATAAATGCCCCCATAGTTGTCATGAAAAAGGTCATGAACAGGGTGTAATCTTTCTTGGAGAGATTTCTTTTTAATCAACATCATCAATTTGTCCATTTCTGCTATGTCACAGATCTTCACTCACAAATTACTTTAGTGGTAGAAGAAAGTAGACACAAATAGACAGATCTATAAAGTGTATTCAAGATTCTCCAATCCATTTCAGTTTCTTTGCCATAGATACATGATACGTACAAAACTGGAATTCTAAAGGCATACCATGACATTTGGGGAGAACATGATTTTCAAACAGACTAGCAAAGCTAAAAAGTGAACAAGTTGTCTCAGTGGATTTCGGCTCCTGAAACCTCCAGGGTTCTTAAGGTCTGCCGGGCATTGACAGTGTTGTAGTACACATGTTACATGAAGTTGTGGCTGCAGGTCATTTTTCCACTATCAGTATCAGACAACAGACCTAGCTGCTGCGGTGTTCAATAACAGTAATTCAACAAAATGAAAAGCTTTAGCAGGTATTACTGTGTGCTTACACATTGTCAAGCCTGCAAGCAGAAAAAAATCTTTTACATGTTCTTGTCGATAATGACAAAAAATCTGTTTTCATTTGTGAAAGAGAAAAGACTTGCTGTGACAGATAAAGAGCTCTGGAAGCATAGGGTGTAAAATAATTTCAAAAAGCAGATCTTAAAAGATCCGATCCCATCTGAAAGTCTAAAAATGCCATAGTTTAACACTTATCTTTATAAGCCACAAAAGACGCATTTCTTGTGACTCTCAACGACTCCTCTTCAAAGAGAACTTACATGGTGGTAGTTTTTCCAGCTCCATTGTGACCCAGCAAGGAAGTGATGTTTCCTTCATAGAAATTCAGGCTGAGATTCTGAACCGCTGCTTTGGATTCATAGATCTTTGTTATCCCATGAAGAGAAACTCCCACTTTTAAGTTGGTAGGTTCAGGTTCAAGGTTAGAAGGCAGTGCACTCTGAGTGTCTGTAAAACAAGAAAACAGGAAAACCTATTCAATTATTTTTGAGATGGTGAGAAATTTCATTTGAGTTATTTGGACAGCTTTCAGCAAAAGAAAACAGACAGAATATTTTGCCTCACTTGCTTTGTTATATATATATGTAACTGTTGTGATGGAGTCTTCGAGTAGTGATACTACTGAGAGTATTAGGAGGGGAAGAAAGACTACTCGTGAGCAAGACTCCGATGAGGAGCAACAGAGAAAGCAGATCCGGGAGATATTTATGGAATCCAGCGATGATGAATCATTTGAGGGCTTTGCAGGGAATAATGGGTCTGAGACTGAGGAGAGTGGTATGGCAAGTTCAGAGGATGAAGAAATAGATTGGACTAAAGTACGGCAGGTTCAGGCCGTCTGTGAAGAGCCCACAAGTAGTGATACATTTGTGGGTTTCTCTGGAGGAGAGGATTGGCACACTGGGGATCCAGTTAAATCTTGGGGAGTTATGGGTTTGGATAGAAAATGGAGAGACTGGAAAGATCAGCAAGGGGCTTCAGGTGGAAGGAAAAATCGTGGAGCGTTGGCTAGTTCCAGCTCTGAGGAAGATTTGTAAATAAAAGTGGGGTTGGGAAATAGGGACTCTTTGCAGTCAGCAAGGAGTTGATGGGTGTCTGTTCTTGGGAGCTGTGTTTAGGAAGACGTGTTTGGGAAGACTTCTGTGAATGTAAGTTTAAACCCTCCTGTTTAAGGAGCTCCATTGGCTGCCATTCATTTTCCGGTCCCAATTCAAGGTGCAGGTGCTTACGTACAAAGCCCTAAACGGTTTGGGACCTGCCTACCTGCATGACCGCATCTCCATATATGAACCCACACGATCTCTCCGATCATCTGGAGAGGCCCTGCTCACGATTCCACCTGCATCGCAAGTGCAATTGGTGGGGACGAGGGACAGGGCCTTCTCCGTGGTGGCCCCCCGACTCTGGAACTCTCTCCCCAAGGACATCAGACAAGCCCCAACGTTGGCAGTCTTTAGGAAGAGCTTGAAGACGTGGTTGTTCCAGTGTGCCTTCCGAGAATAGGAAACTCCAAACATCATGTCCCACATGCACTTTACTAGAGATTTAAGATTGTATGCACACCGCACCTATCTCCAAAAACCTATCCATTTCACCTGTCAGGTCCAGCATTTTTAAAATTTTTAATCATTACATTTGGCCCGGCCTTAGTTTTAAATGCGTCGTGGTGTTATTGTCTAATGTTTACTGCTAGTCTTTTAATGTTTATTGTTTTGTTTTATGAGTTTGAGTTTACTTATTGTTGTATTTGTTATGCTGTTGTTTTATTGATGTGTTGGGCCTCGGCCTCTTGTAAGCCACACCGAGTCCTTCAGGAGATGTTAGCGGGGTATAAATAAAGGTTTATTATTATTATTATTACGTTCTTATGACAGACCCAATTAGGAACTGCCATTTATAATGAAATTTTTGTTAGAGTTCTGAAATTTTCACCATGAAAACTTTAGAAACTCTTTAGAAACAAAGCACCAGCACCCCCTAGTTTTGTAAGTACTTTAGAACTATTTAGAATCATGGATTGTACATGTCTAATGGGATCCTTTCATTTTTACAACGGAGGTTAGCCAATTACCGTATATACTCTAGTATAAGCCGACCCAAATATAACCGAGGCCCTAATCTTATCACAAAAAACTGGGCAAACGTATTGACTTGAGTATAAGCCAAGGGTGGGAAATGCATCCACTATGGATCAATTTCAAAATAAAAATAGATACCAATAAAATTACATTAATTGAGGCATCAATAGGCTAAATGTTTCTGAATATTTACATAAAACTAATTTAAGATAAGACTATCCAACTCTTATTAAACCATGATTCTAACCTCCTTCAATGTAAATGTACTTATTAAAATAATAAATATAATAAAAAATAATAGAGTAAAATAGTGAAAATGCAATAAAAACAGTAATAATAGAGTAAAATAATAAATGTAGTAATAATAGGGTAAAATACTGTAAATGTAATAATAATAATAATAATAATATAAATGTAATAATAATAAGGTAAAATACTGTCAATGTAATAATAGAGAAAAATCATAAATAGAAGAATAATAATAGAGAAAATAATGTAAATATAATAATAGAGTTAAATAATAAATGTAATAAAATAATACTAATAACAGAGTAAAATAATAAATAACCTTGACTCGAGTATAAGCCGAGGGGAGCTTTTTCAACCTAAAAAAGGGGCTGAAAAACTAGGCTTATACTCGAGTATATACAGTACTTTTCTCATACTTAGAGTTGCCAAAATGTGCAACATAAATATCCCAAATGTAAGCAGACAACCGAAGAGGGTTTCAGTTTCACCTTTAAACTTTACCCTTCAACCTAAATAGATAAACATAATAATTTCAGCTAAGTGAACCAAGCAGAAATCTGGAATACATACACATCTTTTCAGGAAATTCTGGCTGCTTTCGGAAGAAAAAATCCGTAAAAAGATAGCCTTTCGTCTTTTCACTCCACAATGGGCTGTAACCATAGCACTCTGCCCAGTAAGATGGAAGGAGAGGAAAATACCATGGAGCTGCCATGCCATATTTTCCTGTAATTATAAAAAGGAAGAAAACAAAAGTGAGCAATTTTTAATGTTATTTTTGTTCAAAGGTTTCTTCTTCTATAGCAGGTGAACTTCTTACTTAAACACTATTATTATAATTCCAGGCCCAAAGAATGTGGTAGTGTTGATGACTACGATCCCAAAATATTTTTTGTCAAGTATTTTTTGCAGCTTCGATATGTGCAATTTTGTCTCCATATCGATATACTTAAGGTACTAGGTTCACATGGTCTTATACAATGGATAGCATACGAGTGGGAATCATGCTGCTCTATAGAGTCCCAACAGTCCAATTTGACATAGTCAATGTGAGAAATGTTGGGAATATGATGTCCACACCCCCACTAGGAAATCAAAATAATAAGATAAATGCTGATGACAAAGCTAGCAAATATGCTATGGAGAGTTCACCCTTGCATATAAAATTAGAATGGGAATGTATGATCAGTCAGCACTGCAGTTCCACCAAAAATGATTATCCTGTCATAATAGCAGTTTCGCCTGAGACATTTTTCCTTTCCAGAGATATTTTGACATTTTGAGTCAATTGGCTTTACAACTGTACTTTACTTCAGCACTGAAAAAAGGGACAAAGTCCCCCAGTACTGGGTTGTAGGTTTTTTCGGGCTGTATGGCCATGGTCTAGAGGCATTCTCTCCTGACGTTTGGCCTGCATCTATGGCAAGCATCCTCAGAGGTAGTGAGGTCTGTTGGAACTAGGAAAAAGGGTTTATATACCTGTGGAATGACCAGGATGAGACAAAGGACTGTTGTCTGCTGGAGCTAGGTGTGAATGTTTCAACTGATCACCTTGATTAGCATACAATGGGCTGACTGTTCCTGGAGCAAACTTTTGTTGAGAGGTAATTAGATGTCCCTGCCTGCTTCCTCTCTGTTCCTCTCTGCTTCCTCTAATTACCTCTCAACAAAGTTTGCTCCAGGCACAGTCAGCCCATTGTATGCTAATCAAGGTGGTCAGTTGAAACATTCACACCTAGCTCCAGCAGGCAAGAGTTCTTTGTCTCACCCTGGTTATTCCACAGATATATAAACCCCTTTTTCCTAGTTCCAACAGACCTCACTACCTCTGAGGATGCTTGCCATAGATGCAGGCGAAACGTCAGGAGAGAATGCCTCTATACCATGGCCATACAGCCCGAAAAAACCTACAACAACCCAGTGATTCCAGGCATGAAAGCCTTCGACAATACATCCCCCAGTACTGATGAGAAAAACAGTCCCATTTAGGAGGGAGATATACTACCGTTCATGCACAATTTCCGATTTTTCGCTTAAATTGATTGGTTCATTCTACTCAATTATAGGACTGCCCCTGCCTTCTTGGTCATAACATTTGTTACATTAGCAGCATGGTTTCCCCCTTGTTGTTACTCCTACACAAACTAATCCTTCCCCAAAGTCCTGGAATAATCTTCTAATGGAAGCATTCAGGCTCTTTATGCGACAGGCATATGTTATTCATTAAGAACTTGCAAATGTAAGTCAAGGAGAATTCCATAAGCAAGGGGCCTTCTCAGTGATGGTCCCCCGCTTATGGAATTTGCTCCCCGATGAGATCAGATCGGCATCCTCCCTCCTTTCTTTTAGAAAAAAACTAAAATCGTGGTTTTGGACCCAGGCCTTTGGCTAGTGGGCACAGCAGCACTTTAGACACTGAACTCGGACCATAGGACTGTTACGACAATTGGAAATGGCTATGTGACTTTGTGATTATGTGATTTTAATGAATGTTACTGTTTTAACTTTGCTATGTATGATGATTTTATATTATGTTACTGATATTGTGGCATCGAATTGCTGCCTGTGTTAGCCGCCCTGAGTCCCCCCTCGGGGGTGAGAAGGGCGGGGTAGAAATGGTGTAAATAAATAAATAAATTGTGTTTATTTATTTATTTATTTCACATATTTCTAGCCCGCCCTTCTCAACCCCCGAGGGGGGACTCAGGGCGACTTACAAAAAGCACAATTTGATGCCTACACAAACAATAAAAAAAACATATATAAACAGCAATTAAAACAATTATAAACAATTAAAACAATCAATTATACATCACAATCAATAAAACCAATCTCATGCTCAACGTTCGTCGGCTCAGAATCCGTAAATTCATTCCACATTGTCAGTTCCTATCAATTATAGTCATCATTGTCCTTTATCTATCTGCCAGGTCACCCAAAAGCCTGGTCCCAAATCCATGTTTTTAATTTCCTTCTAAAGGAGAGGAGGGATGTTGATGACCTAATTTCCCCGGGGAGTGAATTCCACAGGTGAGGGGCCAACACCAAGAAGGCCCTGTCCCTCGTCCCCACCAATCTCACTTGTGATAGAGGCGGGGCCGAGAGCAGGGCCTCCCCAGAAGATCTTAAACTCTGAGGCGGGACGTAGAGGGAGATGTGTTTGGACAGATACTCTGGGCCGGAGCCGTATAGGGTTTTATAGGTCAAAACCAGCACTTTGAATTGTGCTCGGAACTGGATCGGCAGCCAGTGGAGCTGACATAACAGAGGTGTGGTATGCTCCCTGTATGATGCTCCGGTGAGTAATCTGGCTGCTGGCCGTTGGACTAGTTGAAGTTTCCGAACAGTCTTCGAAGGCAACCCCACATGGAGTTCGTTGCAGTAATATATTCGGGATGTAACAAGAGCGTGGACCACTGTGGCCAGTGGGGGGAAAGTGGGGGGAAACACAGCTTGCAGGTCACATGAGGTTTCCATGTTTTGAAGTTATGGTGATCTACACAGACCTCCCATTTCCTCATTTAAAATTTGCTTATTTATGATTTCTTCTTCACCCCTACACTGGCCCAAGGGACCCTAGTTGATGTGAAAATTTGTTGGGTTAGCTTGCTCTTCCCAAATAACTCCCAGAAAGTAAAAAAATGAAATAAAAAATACAGGGGCAAAATTAGCTGGAAACGATGGAACAGTGCAATTTCTGGGATGTTAAAATGTGTTGGTATGGTGGTTGGTTGGAAATCACAGGAGTGAAAACTGCTCCTATATATAGTCCACACATTTAGAAAGAGGCAGGCATGTAGCCGGGGGGGGGGGCTTGAGGGGCTTCAGCCCCCCCCCCCCAATTCTCAGGGTGGTCCGCGAGAAGGCCTTACTGGTGCATTATTTAAACTGTTATGTTTATTCATATCATAATCTGATCACCATGCTCAATATATCCCATATGTATGGGGACATTGGGGCAACGATAGAAAAGGTTTGCTAGGCTAGACCCTCTTTCACTCAGACTCAGCCCCCCCCCCCCCCAAATCAAACTCAGCTCCCCCCGAAACAAAATCCTGGCTACGGGCCTGGAAAGAGGTGTTTTTATTTGCCATCCAGTAATGACTACAGCACATATTCCTGTCCAAAATTTGTCCAGCTAACACAGATTTAATAGCTACATAATCCCTTTTCTTTTCTATCCTGATCTGTTTTGTATTAACAGCCAGTTTGTATTAATAACCTGTTGGACCTACCTGGAAAAACTTTTCTAATATACCAGCCCAGAATTAAATATATAAAAGAGTCTATCAAAATTAGCCAGCACATCCAACCGAAATTAGTGTCGTCTCCTAGCATAGGTGATGCATACATATTATCCCATTGTAGACCTATCAAAAAAGGAAGAATACAAAAGATAATTATTGATTTTGATAATGGACCAGATTATATCTGAAAAACTCCATAAAAAGGACACATACCAATGCCCTGTTCTTCATAACGGGTTATATATTGGCTTGCATAGCTGAATGCTGTTGGAGACAACAGGCTCTGGAAAATAAAAAAGAAGGGCTGTGTGTGGAACAAATCTATTGAAATACTTGGATAGAAATACCTAAATGAACACATGTAAACTATGCAGATTTCTGAGAAATACAGTAAAAATATGCAGCACCTTTCATCTAAGGATGAAAACATATTTAAATAAAGAAAGGTGTGTAAAGAAAACAGGAGGAAACAATTTCAAAGAGAGAGTGGCTACAAACAATGCTTTTATCTTCACTTGTCTCCTGAAAACAATGGGTTGGATTCAGGCCCACCGATGAATCATAGACTCATAGAATCAAAGAGTGGAAGAGACCTCATGGGCCATCCAGTCCAACCCCCTGCCAAGAAGCAGGAAAATTCCATTCAAATCACCCCTGACAGATGGCCATCCAGCCTCTGTTTAAAAGCTTCCAAAGAAGGAGCCTCCACCACACTCCAGGGCAGAGAGTTCCACTGCTGAACGGCTATCACAGTCAGGAAGTTCTTCCTCATGTTCAGATGGAATCTCCTTTCTTGTAGTTTGAAGCTATTGTTCCGCGTCCTAGTCTCCAGGGAAGCAGAAAACAAGCTTGCTCCCTCCTCCCTGTGGCTTCCTCTCACATATGGATTCTCAGTAACTGCATGACCCATCTAGCCTGCAGTTGAGCCCATCCCATCCTATTCAGCAAGGTCTCCCAATCTCCTATGAAGCATTTTCTGCAAGCTACGTAGGCCTGGGGCATTGTATCAATTCTGGCTTTTAGTCCAATCTTTCAAAAAACGAACTAAGACCCAATCCAATAATTTTAGCACCTTGAACCACTCTACCATGTTCAGACACTATTCAAGTCCCATGGCATGGAAACCACTACCCACCATTTTCTGTGGGAAGAAGTGGATGAAGAGGTCTCTCCCACCAGTACAAACTTAAATTAGGATCCAACCCAATGTGCTTTATTCTTTCTTCACTGTAACTCTGAAAGATGAGTTACAGTCAGAATGAGACTGGGGAAGCCATTGAGTAAGCATCAAAAATAATCCAGCATCCTACATCCAAATCAAACATCACCCTCCCACTATCTCGCTGGAACACCTCAGCAAGCAAGAGTCCAAAAGCGGCAGGCTCAAACCCAGAACCTCAATTAATAATAATAAATAATAATAATAATACTTATAACAACAACAACACTTTATTTGTACCCCGCTACCATCTCCCCAAGGGACTCAGTGCAGCTTACATGAGGCCGAGCCCAAACACAACAATACAAGCAATAATAACAACAATCCAAGCAATTAAAAAACATAGACAATAAAATACACAACATTATCAATAAAACAACACATAATTAAAAACAGTGGGAAGGCCAAATGTAGAGTTAAAATTGGAAATAATGCTGGGACATGGACGAAAGGTGATACTGGCTGATACCAAATGAGAGACCCTGCCCCCCCTGGGCACACAGAAAACTGGGCGACTTGGAAGGCGCTGAACAGACTGCGCTCTGTCACCACGAGATGGAGATCCAACCTTACGAAATGGGGTACAAAGTGGAATCCACAACATGCGAGTGTGGAGAAGAGCAAACTGCAGACCACCTACTGCAATGCAACCTGAGCCCTGCCACATGCACCATGGAGGACCTTCTTATAGTAACACCAGAGGCACTCCAAGTGGGCAGCTACTGGTCAAAGTACATTTAATCAACTACCAAGCTTGCAAACTTTGTGTTTTGTTTCTTTGTTTGTTTGTTTGTTAAAAATTGCAATACAACTGTTTGGTTTGCTCCTGACACGATAAATAAATCAATAAATAATCTCTCTGTCTTACCCTTTTTTGGGTAAGAATAAGAAATAAAGGAGGATGGGACTGCTGTTTCTGTAGGAGAGACCCCATATGTATGGCTCCTCCCCATATGGTTGGGTCACATCAATGCTTCTGCAAACATACAGGAGCAAGTATAATTGCCATTAGGCAATATAGAATCATAGAATCAAAGAGTTGGAAGAGACCTCATGGGCCATCCAGTCCAATCCCCTGCCAAGAAGCAGGAATATTGCATTCAAATCACCCCTTTCACTTTGATCATACTATTCTACTGAAGAGGAGTCCTTTGACCCTTACAACAATTCTATCAGGTAGATTGGAGTGAAGGATGCTAGTTTAACTCAGGGTGCCTAGTCCATTTCACACAACTAAAGAATTAAAGCTGGGTTTCACGTTGACAAGCTATAACCATTAGATCAGGCTTGAACCTGAACATGTTTGAAAAAAGTAAATGAGGGTGGGAAGTGGTGGCCGTTGACTCAGAATTAGCGCACTTACTCTTTCTTCAAGTGATAAAACGCCCAATAATCAAAAGACTTTATCACTACCCATGTCATTTGATTAGTATGTCTGTCTTTTTTATTGTCCTCATCTGTCAGTATAACCACGTACAGAAATTATCTGATCTATTCTGTTGACACTTAAAAAAAAATTCAAAAATACCTTCCCCTCTTCATTTTTAGACATCATTTTTAGGTGCATGGTGAACAAAGATTACAGTGCTGGAGAGAACAATGGTGTTAATAACAAGAACACAGTTGAATAACAGAGGACTTGTATTGTAGGTACCAAGATTTGGCTCAGGCCCTGGCATTTCCAAAACAAAAAAACCCAACAACAATATTTAATGGCCTTTGTCAGAAATGCTGGATAGCTTCAGCCAATCAGTGGTTCCCAACCAGTGGTCCGCCAGATGCAGGCATGTAGCCGGGGGAGGGAGGGGGGCTTGAGGGGCTTCAGCCCCCCACCCCGAAATTCTCAGGGTGGTCCGCGAGAAGGCCTTACCGGTACAATGTTTAAACTGTTATGTTTATTCATATCATGATCTGATCACCATGCTCAATATATCCCTTTTTTTTGTCGTGTCAGGAGTGTCCTGTTGTGAGAGAATTGGCTGTCTGCAAGGACGTTGCCCAGGGGACGCCCAGATGATTTTGATGTTTTATCATCCTTGTGGGAGGCTTCTCTCATGTCCCTGCATGAGGAGCTGGAGCTGATAGAGGGAGCTCATCCGCCTCTCCCCAGATTCGAACCTGCGACCTGTCAGTCTTCAGTCCTGCCGGCACAGGGGTTTAACCCACTGTGCCACTGGGGGCTCCAATATATCCCATATGCATGGGGGGGGGGATTGGGGTAATGATACAAAAGGTTTGCTAGGATAGACCCTCTTTCACTCAGACTCAGCCCCCCCCCCATCATATGCATGGGGGTATTGGGGTAACAATACAAAAGGTTTGCTAGGGTAGACCCTCTTTCACTCAGACTCAGCCCCCCCCCCCGAATCAAACTCAGCTGCCCCCAAATCAAAATCCTGGCTACGGGCCTGGCCAGATGTTTTGGACTTTAGCTTCCACAATGTCTAATAGTTGAAGTCCAAAATAACTGGAGGATAAAAGATTGGTAACCATTTGTTTAAACCAGGGGTCCTCAAACTAAGGCCTGGGGGCCAGATGCGGCCCTCCAAGGTCATTTACCCGGCCCTTGCTCACTGTCAACCTAAGTCTGAAACGACTTGAAAGCACACAACAACAACAACAATCCTATCTCATCAGCACCACCTGACATCCGCCAGGAAGTAGCAGCCAATAGTGAAAGGACCAAGGCAGAGACATCTCCAGCTCATCCCCTGTTTGGGTATCAGCCAGCACGTCAACAACTTAAATCTAGAAATAGTTTTCTAAGATCTACAGAGACACTCGCTGGAACACCTTAGCAAGCGAGAGTCCAAAAGTGGCAGGCTCAAACTCAGAACCTCAACCAATGGCTGATACCAGATGAGAGACTCCCCACTGGGCACACAGAAGACTGGGCGACTTGGAAGGCACTGAACAAGCTGTGCTCTGACACCACGGGATGCAGAGCCAATCTTAAGAAATGGGGCCACAAAGTGGAATCCACGACATACGAGTGTGGAGAAGAGCAAACCACAGACCACCTGCTGCAATGCATCCTGAGCCCTGCTACATGCACAGTGGGGGACCTCCTTGCGGCAACACCAGAGGCCAAATACTGTTCAAAGGACATTTAAATCAACTACCAAACTTGCGAATTTTTTCCTGTTTGTTTTATTCTGTTAGAAATGTAATACAATTGACTGGTTGCCCTGACACGACAAATAAAAATAAATAGCCCAAAGTAGGTCCACACTTCCCATTGAAATACTAATAAGTTTATATTTGTTAAAATTGTTCTTCATTTTAATTATTGTATTGTTTTAAGTGGGTTTTTTTTTTGCACTACAAATAAGATATGTGCAGGGTACATAGGAATTCGTTCATTTTTTTTTTCAAATTGTAATCCGGTCCTCCAACAGTTTGCGGGACTGTGACCTGGCCCTCTGTTTAAAAAGTTTGTGGACCCCTGGTTTAAACAAATTAACAAACTGACTTAGTATTGTATAAGATAGCTTTTTACATTGTTGTGAGACATTTCCTCAGTGAAAACACCCATGACAATTATAAACCAAGTCAAAAGATTGACCACAAACAGAAATACAGTTGCAAAGGTCCCTTCACCCAGGATCTTAAAACAAGGAGAAATTTACCAGTAGACTCTTCACTGAGAAGCTCACGTGATTCTCAACAACAAGGAGGACCATGAAAGGGAAAAAGGTCAGGATGTAGACGAGGCAAGCAACCAAAGCAGCAATGTTAGTGTTGTTGAAGAAGACGCTGATGAGATAGCACATGGCTATGATGGAGAAGCTGTAGTCCACAAGGTACAAGAACAAGATCACAACATTTATTTTGGGAAGGACATTTCCAACTTTGAGGATAATAACGAGAAAGGTGATAGTAATCAGGAGAAAAGTGGCACATTCGATGAACCAAGCAAAGAAGTGGCTGCTGGAATTGACACCCATCATCTTCATATACTGTAGAAAAGAAATAAAAGAGATATATACTTAGTTTAGCTTAAACATTCCTTATAATGTGCTGTGTGCTTCAAGCAAGTCAAGTTTGAAGACTGCCTTCTTTCCCTTACTAATTTCAGTCTGTGAACTTTAATGTAGTTTCCTATTTGTTTATCTTTCTTTTTCTTTTTTTTCATGAGAGAAAAACTAGTTTATATGTCTGCTCACATTTTTAAAGTGCACATTTAATGTTATTTTTCAAATTGTATATTTTTTCGTGCATGGTAAAAATGTATATATATTTGCACTGGCAGACATGAACATTATTAGACATATGTATTGTCGAAGGCTTTCATGGCCGGAATCACTGCGTTGTTGTAGGTTTTTTCAGGCTATATGGCCATGGTCTAGAGGCATTCTCTCCTGACGTTTCGCCTGCATCTATGGCAAGCATCCTCAGAGGTAGTGAGGTCTGTTGGAACTAGGAAAAAGGGTTTATATATCTGTGGAATGACCAGGGTGGGACAAAGGACTCTTGTCTGCTGGTGCTAGGTGTTAAATGTTAATCAAGGTGGTCAGTTGAAACATTCACACCTAGCTCCAGCAGACAAGAGTCCTTTGTCCCTTGCCCACACACGTGCTCCATTCAGCCATGTCCTAGTTTCCAACAGACCTCACCAGAGGCGGCCCTAGGTAATTTTCAACAGTAAGCAAACAGTATTTTGCCCCCCCCCCCCCAACCAATCACTGATATATATTTTCTGTTTTCGTGGGAGTTCTGTGTGCCATATTTGGTTCAATTCCATCATTGGTGGAGTTCAGAATGCTCTTTGATTGTAGGTGAACTATACATCCCAGTAACTACAACTCGCATATGTCAAGGTCTATTTTCCCCCAAGATCACCTCAAGAGCGCCCCTGGGCAAAATCAACTATACTGCAAATGCTTACTTTGCGTAATGGGTTGAGCCGCCCCTGCTCACTACCTCTGAGGATGCTTGCCATAGATGCAGGCGAAACGTCAGGAGAAATGCCTCTAGAACATGGTCATATAGCCCGAAAAAGCCTACAACAACCCAATTATTAGACATAGTTTCCAAAGTCATGAAATGTACTGATTCTACATGCAAAGTATATACATTCTTCCATCCTTTTCCAGGTAACACACATTAGAGAAATTCAAAAGTTACAAAAATTTCAATATTACTCAAAAATTAGAAAAGTCCTAAAGCTGAAATATTTATAATATGGTTAAATGCTACTAATGCAGGGTGATATTTTGGTCTATGCATCTTCAATCCTATGCAGTCCTGTTGTAACACAGAACACACAGAACACACAAACACACCTGCAACTTAACTAGCCTCTCTTTACTTGTCATATACCAAGGGTCCTCAAACTAAGGCCATTTACCTGGCCCTCACTCAGGGTCAACCTAAGTCTGAAACAACTTGAAAGCACACAACAACAACAACAACAACAACAACAACAATTAAACATGATCCAACAATGTGATGTGGCAGCAAAAAAAGCCAATGGGATTTTGGCCTGCATCAATAGGAGCGTAATGTCTAGATTTAGGGAAGTCATGCTACCCTTCTATTCCGCTTTGGTTACTCCACACCTGGAATATTGTGTCCAATTCTGGGCACCACAATTCAAGAGAGATATTGACAAGCTGGAATGTGTCCAGAGGAGGGCAACTAAAATGATCAAGGGTCTGGAGAACAAGCCCTATGAGGAGCGGCTTAAGGAGCCGGGTATGTTTAGCCTGAAGAAGAGAAGGCTGTGAGAAGATATGATAGCCATGTATAAATATGTGAGAGGAAGCCACAGGGAGAAAGGAGCAAGCTTGGTTTCTGCTTCCCTGGAGACTAGGACGTGGAACAATGGCTTCAAACTGCAAGAGAGGAGATTCCATCTGAACATGAGGAAGAACTTCCTGACTGTGAGAGCTGTTCAGCCGTGGAACTCTCTGCCCCAGAGTGTGGTGGAGGCTCCTTCTTTGGAAGCTTTTAAACAGAGGCTGGATGGCCATCTGTCAGGGGTGATTTGAATGCAATATTCCTGCTTCTTGGCAGGGGGTTGGACTGGATGGCCCATGAGGTCTCTTCCAACTCCTTGATTCTATGATTCTATGAATCCTATCTCATCAGCCAAAAGCAAGCCCACACTTCCCACTGAAATACTCATAAGTTTATATTTGTTAAAATTGTTCTTCATGTTAATATTGTATTGTTTTAAAGTTTTTTGCACTACAAATAAGATATGTGCAGTGTGCATAGTTTTTTTTCATGGTTTTTTTTTTTTTTCAAATTAGAATCCGGCCCTCCAACAGTTTAAGGCCCTCTGTTTAAAAAGTTTGAGGACCCCCGAAATATACAGTACAGACAATGCCACTGCAATACTGTATATGGCACAAAAGCAAAGCCAGAAGCTTCATGGTGCACGGAAGAAGCTCATGCCAACCCAGGATAAAGATTGGCATGGGTGAAGGCTATTTCAATTAATATCTGAAGGACAAATATCACGCTTTTTCTCCAGGGTCATTTTTTCTGCTTAACTTGTAGGATTTATTAAATTGTTAATAAACATTCTGTAAGTCCCAATTGTGTCAAAGAAACCCAATTAAGAACACATCAGAGGAATAAGGCTGCAGACTAGAATTATTTTTTTTGTACAGAAATAGCTCATTTCACAAACCAGCTTCCACTAATTTGACAATAACTGAGCAAAGGCAACAATTTATACTCTGGTGTGTATACAGCAGGTTTTCATTTACTGAGGCAAGGAATTACATGGTCCCTTTGCTTTGCTAGTGCTAGTTCAGTTTGAAAACTAAATCAAGTTAAGGTACAGAAAAGATTTTTACATTGATCGCTCTGCCATCTCATAGGAAATGTAATCTTGCACTTGCCTCAGAACCCAATCAAGAAACAGCCGGGGGTGGGGTGGTGGGGGGTGGGGGGTGAGGGTGGAGTAGTATTCCAGAAGTTAGGGATGTATAATCATCTTAGGAGGACCAAATGCAAAACAAATACTTCTGTATTTATGATGTCTATAAATTATAGGCATAAATAATGAACAGATACCAGTCACTGATTTCATAGAATCATAGAATCAAAGAGTTGGAAGAGACCTCATGGGCCATCTAGTGCAACCCCCTGCCAAGCAGGAAAATTGCATTCAAAGCATCCCGACAGATGGCCATCCAGCCTCTGTTTAAAAGCCTCCAAAGAAGGAGCCTCCACCACACTCCAGGTCAGAGAGTTCCACTGCTGAACAGCTCTCACAGTCAGGAAGTTCTTCCTCATGTTCAGATGGAATCTCCTTTCTTGTAGTTTGTTCCGTGTCCTAGGCTCCAGGGTAGCAGAAAACAAGTTCGCTTCCTCTTCCCTATGACTTCTTCTCACGTATTGATACATGGCTATCATGTCTCCGCTCAGCCTTCTCTTTTTCAGACTAAACATGCCCAGCTCTTTAAGCCTCTCCTCATAGGGCTTATTCTCCAGACCCCTGATCATTTTAGTCGCCCTCCTCTGGACACATTCCAGCTTGTCAATATCTCTCTTGAATTGTGGTGCCCAGTAGGCCTGGGTAACAACGGAAAAATTTGTTTCTAAACTCGTTTCGTTTTTAGGGGGTCCATTGCGTTTCGTTTTTTAAAAGAATTTCGAATTTGTCTTTAAAAAAATTTCGTTATTTACCAAATTTCGTAAATTTCGAATTGATTTGTTAATGGTGGACGCGATTGCGCAATACGCTAAAAAAACCTCCAAGTGGGACAGGGGAAACTACTGAAGCTTCCCTCTCCCTCTGTTGTTGACTGTTGGTGTGATAATTTATTTATTTTATCACTGATAAAACAAACAACAACTGTAAAACTTGTACCAGACATACGGAAATAATAACGAAACAATTTCGAAACGATTTTGAAACGATTTCGAACCAATTACGAAACAATTACGAAATAAATTGAAAAAATCGTTTCGATTTTTAGTTGCTCCTGCATGGCTCAATATCGGATCGTAAGCTAATTTAAATATGAATCAATAACGAATTACGAAATTAAAGAATGAAACCGCCCAGCCCTAGTGCCCAGAATTGGACACAATATTCCAGGTGTGGTCTAACCAATGCATAATAGAGGGGTAGCATGACTTCCCTGGATCTCGACACTTTGCTCTTATTGATGCAGACCAAAATCCCATTGGCTTTTTTTGCCACCGCATCACATTGACCTATGACCAATGGAAAATACTGTGGTTTTTTGATGGTCTTTGGTGACCCCTCTGTCATCCCCTCACAACCCCCCAGGGGTCTCGACCCCCAGGTTGAGAACCACTGTCCTATGCTAACAGGACATCTGGGAGCCTTAACTTTGGACAACAGCAGTACTTTGTTAAACAGGAAAATTTAGAGAAATGGCATCAATATGTATGATGCAGAGGGAAGAGAAAAGAATAGCAAAACAAAACAAAAGGCTTGACTCTCCTAGAATTTAACTTGCAGGCTACCCACAAGTGTGCTTCTCTATATTCTCTATATGTTGAAGTCTGCGGACAGCCTTATTCCTATTCTTAAGAAATGAGTTGTGTACAGGAGAGATCAGACTGCATTCCCAGGATAGCAGCCACAGTCTTATTCAGTAGCAGGTCTTGGTGGATTTGCCTGAATAAAATGTTTGGAGAGCAGGTCATAGGGTGGGCTTTTTTTATAAGTGGCTTATCCGTCAGTCTTTGAAACATGTTAACTGGGAACTGTTGTTGCTAAGGAACATTGTACAAAGGAACTTTTCCACACACATACATAGGCAATTCAATTTTGTAAGGCTAATAAGCAGCTACGGCTGCAGGGAGTGGTGAACACTCAAAATTTCAGAGTACCTCATAAAGCCTCAGGTCTTTTTCTTGAACGAGCTTCTTCACAAAAGCTGCAATGAAAAGTATCCAAGCAGCCATCAGCGTAAATGGGAGAGAGTAGGTCACACTAGTTAGGAACCTGTAAGAAGCAAAGCAATTATTTAGCTAAATAGAAATACGCTAGCTTAGGGAAATATAATTAACATGATTTTCAAAATAAGACGGTTTTTCCCCCCTGAAACACAGACAATAACTCAAAAACACTTTGAGCTTTCTAGGAACCAGTAATTATTTTCTTAAAAGGTATTTATTTATTTATTTACATCACTTATATCCCGCCCATATCAGCCCGCAGGCGACTCAGGGCGGTCTACATATCGGCACAATTCGATGCCATCAATACAATACAAAAGCAAAAACAATTAAGTGCATTTAGACAAAAAAAGCAATAACAATTTAAAAAGAGCTATATCCTCTCATTCCAATCCTCATCCGTTTCATCGTCTTGGTCGTTCCTGGGTCATTCTCCATCTCAAGCTTGACTATTCCGGGGTACTTTGTTGTAGGGCAGAAAATGGCAGCCACTGGTTTCTAGATCACTTGGACCCTGTGCTGAACCAAATTGAACCTATCAGTCATTCATATAGTCTTGGGACATTAACTCTATCAAACCCAGAATGCAATTTTGTGGACAATCTCTCTCTTACTCTGAGAAATCTATATAAATAAAAATGTAATGTTCGTTTGTAGTATTCGCAGAACTCAAAAACCACTGGGGCAATTGGCACCAAATTTGGACAGGATACACCTAACAACCCAACGTAGGTTCTCCACTCAAAAACCCCCCACAAAAAAGCAGAAAGGACTTCTGAACTGCATGTCCACAAAGGAGAAACTGCATGTCTACAAAGAGACCCATGGCCACGCCCCCTCCTCCTCCTCGCGGGGAAACAGCTGGCCGTTAAAGCCTTAGAAGCCAGGTGTGCATGCACGGCCACACACACACACACACACACACACACACACACAAAAGTGAGAGTGGGCACCATGGGAGTGAGGAAAAGGAGGAGGAGGATGGCGGATGGGCTCCTCAAGTCCCTCCCTCGCCAGCAGAAGCAGCAGCCTTTTTCCTCTTGGCTGTCCCCCCTCCCTTTCATTGCCTCCTCTTCCTTCAAGATGCCCCGGTAGAAGCAGGAGGGAGGGAGGAAAGAGGGGAAAGAGACTGTTCCCTTCTTCGCCAACTCTTTCTTGCCTCCCTCCGTGATCTGCTCAGCTGTCTCTGGCAACATGAGCATACATTTAACTCTCTCCCTCTCTCTCTCTCTCCTATTAACATTCAGACCGGGAGGTAGCAGCCTCTGCCACACTCCACTCCTTCTCTCCCTCACTCCCTTCCCTTCTTTCCTCCTTCCCTTTCTTCTTTCCTTCCCCTTCCTTTCCTTCCCCCCTCCTTCCTTCCTGTCCCTCCCTTCTTCCCTTCCTTCTCCTTCATTTCCTTCTTTCCCTCCTTCCCTTCCTTCCTGTCCCTTCTTCCTTTCCTTCCTCCCTTCCTTTCCTCCTTCTTTCCCTTTCTTCATTTCCTTCCCCTTAATTTCCCTCCCTCCTTTCTTCATCCCCCTCCTTCCTTTCCCTCCTCCTTCCTCCCTCCTTCCTTCCTTCTCCTTCCTTTCCTCCCTTCATTTTTCCTTCCTTCCTGTCCCTCCTTCTTTCCTTTCCTTCCTTCCCTCCTCCACTCCTCCCTTCCTTCCTTCTTCCTTTCCTTCTTTCTATGTAAGATATAAATACAATATTTTATATATTGTTATATAGATTACTATATAATATGTTACTATTATATATTACTACATAATACAAATTAAATAGACTTACAGAATAGAGTTGGAAGGGACAGTCAAGAAGTAACGAGAGGAGGGAAAAAGGGAAGGAATGAAGGCGGGAAAGGGGGAAGGAGAGAAGGAGGGAGGGAAAGAAGGAAGGAAAGAAAGAAAGGTAGAGAAGCAAGAAAGGAGAGAAGTAAATAAAAAAGTGAAAGGAAAAATACAGGGAAGGAAGGATGTAACTAAAGAACAAAGAAAGGGAGGAAAGAAACAGGTAGAGATGGAAGAAAGAAGAAGATAAATAGGAAGGGAAAGAAAAAGAGGAAAGGAAGGAGAGAAAGAGGGAGGGAAGGTTGGTCACAGCAACGCGTGGTGGGTACAGCTAGTGTGATCTATATATAAGTGATCATATGAAAGCCAAAGTAGTGTAGAGGTTTGAGTATCCAAGTGAGCATGGTTCAAATCCTCATACTGTCATGGAAAGCCATTGGTTCACCTCATGGGAAAGCAGTAGTAACCTTCATTTGAACAAATGCCAAGAAAAAGTCATACTAGAATCATAGAATCATAGAATCAAAGAATTGGAAGAGACCTCATGGGCCATCCAGTCCAACCCCCTGCCAAGAAGCAGGAATATTGCATTCAAATCACCCCTGACAGATGGCCATCCAGCTTCTGTTTAAAAGCTTCCAAAGAAGGAGCCTCCACCACACTCCAGGGCAGAGAGTTCCACTGCTGAACGGCTCTCACACTCAGGAAGTTCTTCCTCATGTTCAGATGGAATCTCCTCTCTTGTAGTTTGAAGCCATTGTTCCGCGTCCTAGTCTCCAAGGAAGCAGAAAACAAGCTTGCGCCCTCCTCCCTGGGGCTTCCTCTCACATATTTATACATGGCTATCATATCTATCATACTAGGGTTTCTATAAGTTAAAGTGTAACAACAACATGAGATATTTATTGTAAAATGCCATTTATAGGTCCACACTAACATTTGTGTCTAAAAAAACAGGATTTGAATTGTCTTAAAACATAGCAATAAAAATATAGGGTTTTTTTTATTTTGCTACTAACCTTTAGTGTTCAGAATGAATGCAATTGCAAACAAATAAGCTGTAGTTTGATCTTACCTCCACTAGGATTGCAACCTATAGCTTTAAAGTCTCTCATATTCATGGCTTGCTATGGACAACTGATTTATACAAGTGACAAATATTCTTTTTCTGAAGCCTGATGAAACTAGCAGTGTTGGAAATGTATTCTTGACCCACTAAGATACTGAACACTACAGTCTCAATGAGAGACTTACATGTCTTTATTGTAGCAGGGATATGGTGTAGCTTGAACCTGGACAGCTATTTCTTCTGCATTTTTCCCAGTCTGTAGTTCAATTATTGCTCTGTCAATGCTGTCTTGTATGTAGATAAATGCCCGACTGTAGATTTGGCTCTGAGATGCTGAATTATGTGGGCCCACAGTCCAGACTTTTTCTCGAATTCTTCTCGTTGTTTGGGAAATCTTGCTGCTCATTCGGATAGTATAATTGACTAGTGGTGGAAGGGAAAGTTCACCAGGAATCTCTCTCTCCTCTCTTGTCCTCTTTGGTGGCAACTTGAAAATGACACCTTTAAAAATTGAGAAAGAGAGAATTGTTGCCTTTAGCAGACCTACTCTGATATGTTAAAGAGCAAGAGGAAAATGTTTTAAAACCTTAACAACTCTGGAAGGCAAAAAATCTATAGAATGACAACAGGAATCAGCACAGCTTGGTTTCTCCATCCTCCACCCCAGGTCAACAAAGATTTCCTCTTCTGCTTCCCTGATAAACTATTAGTTCAGACAGATTTTTACTTTTTAAAGTTTTTTTTTAATTGCCACACAAGTTTGTTGATTAAACATTTACTCATCAACAACTAAATAAAGAAAACCCGACAACTTGAGGCACGGGGAGCCCATTCCCAGTGTGTTGCCGAGGATTATTCATCTAGTAGAATTACCCAGTCATTTAGATACTGTGGAAGAAAACTGGCAATTACATGATCACAATCAATTTATAAGATCAATAAAATCTCCTCCCAATGAAATATTCTCCCTTTAAATAACTTTGATGAAACCTTCAAGAGATAGCTCAGGAAGAGTTTAAGCTGTACATGTACACTAAGAATTTTCTGTTGTCTAAATTTGATCCCTGGACCATCTAGTTTCCTTTGGGCAAAATCAATGAAAGAAAACAGAATTTTTAAAATGACATCTTTTAAATGACATCTAGAAGTAAATTCAATCCACATATGACCCCACCCCGCAGAAATAAGAAATATATTAGTTGGGTTGTTGTAGGTTTTTTCGGGCTATATGGCATTCTCGCCTGACGTTTCGCCTGCATCTATCCTCAGAAGTTGCTTGCCATAGATGCAGGCGAAATGTCAGGAGAGAATGCCTCTAGAACATGGCCATATAGCCCGAAAAAACCTACAACCCAGTGATTCTGGCCATGGAAGCCTTCGACAATCTATATAAATAAAAATATAATGTTCGTTTGTGGGATTAACAGAACTCAAAAACCACTGAGGGAATTGACACCAAATTTGGACACAATACATCTAACAACCCAATGTATGTTCTTCACTCAAAAAAAATTGATTTTGTCATTTGGGAATTGTAGTTGCTGGGATTTATAGTTAACCTACAATCAAAGAGTATTCTGAGCCCTATCAACCATGGAATTGAACCAAACGTGGCACACAGTTCTTCCATGACCAACAGAAAATACTGGGTTTGGTGGGTGGTGTCCTTTGATTTTGGAGTTGTAGTTCACCTACATCCAGAGATCACTGTGGACTCAAACAATGATGGATCTGGACCAAACTCTACATGAATACTCAATATGCCCAAATGTGAACACTGGTGGAGTTTGGGGAAAATAGAATCTTGACATTTGGGAGTTGTATTTGCTGGGATTTATAGTTCACCTACAATCAAAGAGCATTCTGAAACCCACCAACGATAGAATTGGGCCAAACCTCCCACACAGAACCCCCATGTGGGCCACAGCAACACATGGCAGGGGACGGCTAGTACAATATATGTTTCATGCAACCATTCTTACAGCAGACATTTGAGGAATGCTACAATGAGATGAGGAGTCTGTTTTTGCATGTTTATGTGTTATTAGGCAATCTGTTTGTTGCCAGAGTTGTCACTGGATGATGGAGCACATTACTGCTGGGTGTCAAAAGGGATGCAGTGAATAATGTACTTTCAAACCACAGACATGATACTCTTGGGTCAAGCTTAGAAAGAAGATTCATATTTCAAGGTCTGATTTTGATTTGGAGTTGAAAATAATGTCACTTCAACCAACAAACCCAAGGTCAGGTAACACTACTTACTTGCAAAAAGTTCATTCTTCAAAAAGAGATCTTTTGCCACCATCTCCATTTCTTCTACAGTCTTATGTGGCTGAATGCGGTTGAACAAGACACATGAGGAGACATTTACGGCTAATCCTGCTAAGATGCTAAGTTGATTTATAATGTCAGCATTATCCTGTAGCTCCAAACGTATATCATCTGGTGGGGAAATGAAGCAAGAAATGCTTAGCCTGTGAATTATAATGTGTGACTCTCCTTTGTAGGTCACAGGAATGGCTAAAATAGATTAAAATTAGTTTAATAGGTTCTAATCACAGACTAATAAGGGCTCAGAGAAATCTAATCATCATCCATGGCCTAATATTCACTGGAGTACAGAAGCTGAATCTATAGATTGCAAATGAAAGTCAGGCGAATTATATCCCCTAATACAAAAAACAATCTATATCGGTTTCCATATCAAGGAAAACTCATATCCATAAGTACCTCATACCCACCATCCAAACTACACTCGGAAGTAGTATTGTCCACAAGCAAGTTCACCACCTTAATGACAACTAAGGGTGCACTCGCACGGTAAAATTAGTGCAGTTTTATACCACTTTAACTGCCTTTAGCTTTCTCCATCAAAGAGTGTTGGTGCACTGAGCCATAGGAGTTTATGGTATCCAATGGAATTTATTCTATACAATGTAGATGCACCATATAACCTTCATCAGTGGTTTTCAAATTGTTTTCGGGGAGCCCTAAATTGATCTTTGAACTGTAATTTCTCAAAGAGAAGAGATGACATTATAGACAAAGGTCCTCTAAAATATCTGGCTATGGGAGAGAGATGAATGTTTTTCTGGGTGTATTTGTCATTCATATGAGGACCAATGAATCTGGACAGCATCCTGCATATAAATTAGATATACATCTCTGAACATCTCCTGAAATTTTCTGAAACCCAAAATATGTTTTAGAGCTTATGTGCAGAGGAAAGGTAATAGATGACACAGAAAGCCAGCCTAGCTCCGGACTTAGTCCAAAAAAGAAGTAGGAATCAAAATCTTGCTTCTTAACATCCTTGCAAAAAGAACATCTCATTCCATAATAATAATAATAATAATAATAATAATAATAATAATAATAATAATAATAATACTTTATTTGTACCCCGCTCCATCTCCCCCAGGGGGACTTGGTGCGGCTTACATGAGGCCAAGCCTATCAGTGCAGTACACATTATTCCCCCCAACCATGTCGCCATTGTTGAAACGATCATCATTTTTGATATGGGAAAGGAGTGGGGGAGCAATGAAAATGGAAAAAAATATTTTTCTCCTTCAACTCCCCCCTCCACACGTAAAATAGACTATCCTTCTTTGTCTAGGTCCCCTTTTGGAGTCCACTCTGATAACAGAACAGTACCGTTTGCCCAAAGTCTGAAACAACTTGAAGACACAAAACAACAACAAACCTTACTATTTGCAATCTAGTCCTGTTTGCAGCTTAGCCTATCTAATTTTGGCCTTTCTACTGACTAGTTGTGCAGGCCTGCTTTACTGCATTAGATGATACGGCCTTTATTTGCTATATACCGTCGACCACGGTATCCTTCTGGGACGCCTCACAAGAATGGGCCTTGGGGGTACTGCCTTGCAGTGGCTCCAGTTCTTCCTCGAGGGCCGCTCCCAGAAGGTGTTGCTAAGGGACTCCTGCTCGACCCCATGGCCATTGTACTGTGGGGTCCCGCAGGGTTCAGTACTGTCCCCTATGTTGTTTAACATATACATGAAGCCGTTGGTAGAGATCATCCGGAGATTCGGGATTCGGTGTCATCTGTACGCAGATGATGTCTAACTCTGTTACTCCTTCCCACCTGCTACTAAGGAGGCTGTTCAAGTCCAGTAACTGACTGGATGAGGGCCAACAGATTGAAACTAAATCCAGACAAGACAGAGGTCCTCCTGGTCAGTCGAAAGGCCGAACAGGGCATAGGGTTACAGCCTGTGCTTGACGGGGTTACACTCCCCCTGAAGGCGCAGGTTCGCAGTTTGAGTGTGATCTTGGACTCATCGCTGAGCCTGGAACCCCAGGTCTCGGCGGTGGTCAGGAGAGCTTTTGCACAATTAAAACTTGTGCACCAGCTGCGCCCATACCTTGGGAAGTCTGACTTGGCCACGGTGGTCCACACTATGGTTACATCCCGTATAGACTACTGCAATGCTCTCTACGTGGGGTTGCCTCTGAAGACTGCCCAGAAGCTGCAATTAGTCCAACAAGTGGCAGCCAGATTACTAACAGGAGCGGGGTACAGGGAGCATACTACTCCTCTGTTGCACCAGCTCCACTGGCTGCCAATTAGCTTCCGAGCACAATTCAAAGTGCTGGTGTTGACCTATAAATCCCTAAACGACTCCAGCCTAGTTTACCTGTCCGAACAGATTCTCCCCTATGAACCATCAAGGTTGTTAAGATCTTCTGGAGGGGCCCTGCTCTCGGTCCCACCACCCTCGCAATCGCGTCTGGTGGGGACGAGGGACAGGGCCTTCTCGGTGGTGGCCCCTTGGCTCTGGAACTCTCTCCCACTGGAGATTAGAACTGCCCCTTCTCTCCTGACTTTTAGAAAGCTGGTGAAAACTTAGCGCTGGAATTTAGCATTTGATGAGTGAGTCAATAACTCTTGACCACATGGACGGATGGTGATGAATTGTGATTTCATTTTGATGACTTGGCCTTATGTAATTATATGATTGCTTTTTAAATGTATTTTATGTATTACTGTATTATGGGATGTGATGTTTTAAACTATTGTTTATGAATCTTTGTTGTAAACTGGCCTGAGTCCCTCTCTGGAGGTCGAGAAGACCGGTATATAAAAGTTCTAAATAAATAAATAAATAAATATATCCTTTACTGCATCCGATGCTATTTATTTATTTATTAATGCGCTTGTATACCGCTAATATCTCAGCCTAAGTCGGCAACTCATTGCGGTTTACAACACTTAAAAAACAATATTCAGTTTAAAAGCATAAAACACATATACAATACAAATTATTGGGCCACCAATAACAATCCCATGCATCTCGTAACTGGAATCGCAATCCTCAGGTGGACGCATTCAAAATTTGTTGACTGCGGGATGGGGGCCCTGGTCAGAAGAATGGAATCTCTATAGACCACTGCAACTCCGCCTCCCCACCCTCCGGATCTCAGTTGGTGCTGCACAGAGAAACCTGGTGGGCAAAGCTGGGTTAAATTTACACCTCCCGCTTCGTCCAACCAGGTCTCTGTGATGCACGCTATGTCCTTTACTGTATTAGATGTTACACATCCTTTACTTGCTGCACCCTTTACTTGCAGTCATATCATTTAGGGGATGGAGCATAATAGAAGGATACACATCTCGGCTGCAAAAAGTTCTAGCAATGCATAAATCCAGATTCAGCTAATAAATGCTAATAACTTATAATGTCTATAAGCACACGTGTAATAATCACACAGATGATTGAAGAAAAACACGAAAAACACAATCTAAATCACCCTCACTAAAATACTCTGGAAGAAGAGTTGAATTAAAGCATACATTTCATGCTTCACATGTTTATTTATATACCTACATACAAGTGCGGAGGATAGACAACATATGTTTGTGTGTCCTGTTACAAAAAGTATCACATGTCACTTTTGAAAACAAGTGCACACTTAAGAACATATTTCTGATCACTGCTGTCTGACATGTACAAGCAATTCAAAAGCAACAGCAATAAGTGTAAGTTCTTGTATTTTTTTAAAAAAAATAGATTCAGACCTCAGACACAAACACATACACACACTGTGCCAGATTCTGACAGCAGTATTTTCAGAAGTGTGCCATCAGAGACTGTACAGTTTGCATAACCATATTCCACAGCAGCTGTTTGATGGGCATCTCAGGGGGAATCATGCTTTCCCAAACACCCTCAAAAGACTCGTAAAGTCTTTGTGCTCCAAAAAGGGTTGCAAATATAATCTGGGCCAGCCTCAATTACTTTTTTTTCTTTTCCCAGGATGCTTTTTCCTTGCAGGCAGAGGCAGCAGGAGTCTCTTAGGTGTCCAACTTTACCTCTTAACACTGAAAATGTGCTTTGCTCTCTTTGCCCAAGAAATAGCACAGATAGGTTGATCCAAGTTTGTGCCATTTTTTTTCAATAAAAAAATCTAGTTATACACAGATACATAGAGTATCATTATTTTTTTTATCAAACACACATAAATACACAATATAAAATGGGTTTGACATTTATGAAAAAATACTAATAGATATGTAAAAATATACAGACTGAATATCCCTCATGAAGAAGTCCAAAATTCAAAATACTCTGAAATCTGAAACTGACCACATGGATGGCTGAGATAGTGATATCTTTGCTTCCTGATGGTTCAGTGTACACAGACTTTGTTTCATACATAAGATTATTAAAGTATTGTGTATAAAATTACTCTCAGGCTATATATGTAAGGTTGATATCTATATATATATATATATATATAAATGCTCTGTGCATAATGATCGTCTGGAGAGGCCCTGCTCTCGGTCCCACCGGCCTCGCAAGCGCGTCTGGTGGGGACGAGAGACAGGGCCTTCTCGGTGGTGGCCCCTCGACTCGGGGTGGAGGTCAGAACCACCCCATCTATCCTGACTTTCAGAAAACGGGTGAAGACGTGGCTGTGGAGTCAGGCTTTCAATGAATAAGACAACACTCTAGGATCCTGGATGCCAGTGGATGTAGATCTGGTTTTTAATACGACGACTGACCATCGTAGTTTTATATATAGTGTTATTTTAAATCTGTCACGGTAATTTGTGATATATGATATTTTAATGATTGTATGTTGTTTTTATGTCTGGAAACCAGGCTGAGTCCCTCGATGAGGTTGAGAAGCTCGGTATAGAAAACTTCGAAATAAATAAATGAATAAATAAATACCTTAAAAACAAAAGAACTAATGAATGAAATCACACCAAATTTGGCAACAAAATGTCTCACAACACAAGGAGTGACCATCACTTAAAAAATTATGATTTTGTCATTTGGGAGTTGTAGTTGCTGGGATTTATAGTTCACCTACAATCAAAGAGCATTCTGAACTCCATCAAGGATGGAATTGAACCAAACTTGGCACACAGAACTCCCATGACCAACAGAAAATACTGGAAGGGTTTGGTGGGCATTGACCTTGAGTTTGGGAGTTGTAGTTCACCTACATCCAGACAGCACTGTGGACTCAAACAATGATGGATCTGGACCAAACTTGGCACAATACACCCAAATATGAACACACAGATGGAGTTTGGGGGAAATAGACCTTGACATTTGGGAGTTGTAGTCACTGGGATTCACAATTCACTATAATCAAAGAGCATTCTGAACCCCACCAACGATGGAGTTGGGCCAAACTTCCCACACAGAACACCCACGACCAACAGAAAATACTTAAGGCCATCCAGTCCAACACCCTTCTTCATCAGGGCAAGAAAACTTAATCAAAGACCTCCTGACAAAGAGCCATCCAGCCATAGATAAAGATAGATAGATATAATTCATACACATAGTATCATAGATTTGAAAGGGACCCTTAAAGAAGGACAATGATATTTTGCATGTTCCAGGGTGGGCAAACCAGACACTCTCCACATCAACACTGACAAAGAAACAGCAAGAAATACTGTTTACCGACAAGCATAAAGACTTTACATATATTAGAAACCAACACTTTCTCATTATTTTATTTTCCAGATCAACAGACTGGGCCACAGCAATGCGTGGCAGGGGACAGCTAGTGAATTATAAATGAATTTCATGTTTAGACTTGAGTCCCATTTCCAAATATCTCACTGTGTAAATGTAAGTACTCAAAAAACACAAAACTACAAAATATGAAATGCTTCTGACCCAAGCATCTTGAATAAGAAATGTGCAACCAGCATGAAATTTGCTAACATTGACCAAATGATCCTTGATAACACTTGATGCCACCAACTCAGTCTAAAGGTAATTGTTCCATGACTTTGCATAACCATCTTACAAAAATACCTCAAAACTAACTTTGTTAATTAAAAAAGTAAGTCATCTATACAGATATTTGAATTTCAAAATAGAAACGTTATTAATAAAGTCATAAATGAATGAATGAATAAATAAATAATCTTATTGTTAAGTTTGCATGTCTACCAGACCCAAATTCTGCACGTGGAATATACTGTGCAAAATGAAATATATTATGCAAGTTCACATAATAATAATAATAATAATAATAATAATAATAATAATAATAATAATAATATAACTTCGGGTTGTTGTAGGTTTTTTCAGGCTGTATGGCCATGGTCTAGAGGCATTCATTCCTGACGTTTTACCTGCATCTATGGCAAGCATCCTCAGAGGTAGTGAGGTCTGTTGGAACTAGGAAAAAGGGTTTATATATCTGTGGAATGACCAGGGTGGGACAAAGGACTCTTGTCTGCTGGAGCTAGGTGTGAATGTTTCAACTGACCACCTTGATTAGCATACAATGGCCTGACAGTGCCTGGAGCAAACTTTTGTTGAGAGGTAACTAGATGTCCCTGCCTGCTTCCTCTCTCTGTTGTTGTGCTGTTGCAATTTTAGAGTTTTTTAATACTGGTAGCCAGATTTTGAAACGTCAGGAGACAATGCCTCTAGACCATGGCCATACAGCCCGAAAAAACCTACAACAACCCAGTGATTCCGTCCATGAAAGCCTTCAACAATACATAATATAACTTTATTTTTATACCCCGCTAACCATCTCGGGGCAGCTTACAAGGGACACACCCAAAATTACAATTAAAACACACATGTAGAACACTTTAACCAATTAAAACATCAGATAAAAACAAATAACAGCACAACTGAAAGCAATATAAAAATACGGCTGAAAGAAACATAGCTGAGGTACAGATTCAATGAGTGCAATACATTTTTACAGGAGTGCAGGAAAGTGCAACAATACAGTAAACTGGGCAGAAAATACTGTCATAACAAATGTTGAGGTAGAACATATGCCAGTGTAAAATGCGGGCCGGTGTAAAGTGCAGAACTTCAAGTAGGGACAAGAAAGTTACTGGTGAGCTGCTTAGTCAAAAGCGCACCAGAACATCCAGGCTTTTAGTTGACTAAGAAAGGAGGACAATGTGGAAGCCTGTCTGATCTCCCTAGGGAGGGAGTTCCAGAGACGGGGGGGGGGAGGGGGGGCACCACCGAGAAGGCTCTCTCCCTCGTCCCTATCAACCATGCATGTGATGGCGGGGGGAGAGGGAGCAGTGCCTCCCCAGAAGATCTCAAGGTATGCACTGGTTCATAGGAGAAGATGTGATCACGAAGATAAGCAGGTCCCGAACCGTTTAGTAGTTTGAAGGACAGAGGCTTCTTAAAAAGGTGGGATTTGTCTACTCATATTTCTTCCAGGAACCAGACAGAGAATGTAAAGCTCTTAGATTAGATAACATGGATTGTTTGTAGTTATTGTGGGGTGTTTTTTTTTAATGTTTAGGGTGTAGTGGTATTATTATTGTAGGAACCCAAATATAGCTTTTGTTGAGTTTGGTATGTAAGAACTGCTGTGAGTAATGTGAACTCAAAAGTGTTTTGAATGATAATATTCTATCCCTAACTCCTGAAAGTTCTGAGGAAAGTTCTGAGAGTGCCTTGGACTGCGAGAAGATCCAACCAGTCCATCCTCCAGGAAATAAAGCCTGACTGCTCATTGGAGGGAAAGATAGTAGAGACAAAGTTGAAGTACTTTGGCCACATCATGAGGAGACAGCAAAGCCTAGAGAAGATAATTATGCTGGGAAAAGTGGAAGGTAAAAGGAAGAGGGGCCAACCAAGGGCAAGATGGATGGATGGCATCCTTGAAGCGACTGGACTGACCTTGAAGGAGCTGGGGGTGGTGACGGCCGACAGGGAGCTCTGGCGTGGGCTGGTCCATGAGTTCACGAAGAGTCGGAGACAACTGAACGAATGAACAACAACAACAACTCCTGAAAAGGCTCTTCCCACTTCCACTCCATGTCTTCAATATATTTGTCAGTCTTTACTCCAAATTGAAAAGGACTAAAACATAACAAACATTTCAAACAACATTTTCTTTCAGTTTCTTACATACAACTGTTCACCTCCCACTATCACTGGTACACAATTCCATCTTGATTAAGAGGCTAGTGTGCATCAACTTACCCAACTCATCAATTTGATGTAAAAGATCAACAGCATCCAACTTCACCATGAGTTTGATGAACACTTGTACAAAAGGATTCCTCAGTGCATTCTATCGAATGACAAAATACGAATATGCTTAAACACTGAATGTTAATGTATTCAGAATTATTAAAATTAGACCCACGGTCATCCAAGTAAGAAATGAATTTATTGAAAAGAATCCCTGGAAAGGTCACAGGGAAGGTTGAAGTACTGGATACTATGGTTCAAATTTAAACAGATGAATTACAGAAGCAGAACCTAATTTAGATTGGGGTTGGGGGTTCATACCTGGTTGCGACTGACTACTCTGTGGGTTATACTAGTATTATCTTTATGTTAATCAACGAAAAATCAAACAAAATGTATTGCTGTGGGGATGCTCTTATCTAATATAACTTGAACAAAATTATAGTGTTGTGGTCTATATTTAATGTATCTTCATTGTATTGTATTTTTAACATGCAAGATCAATATGTTTTATGTAGTACGTTTCTATTTTTGTACTTTTATGTCATATTTATGTCTTTTGAGTGCAACTAGCCTATGGCTTAAATTTGAATTTTACATTTAAATTCTGTTAATATTGTATTTTAATCTTTGTATCATGTATTTTAATATGTGTATTTTATAGAAATGGGTTTTGATACATACATTTTAATGTATGTATTTATGGTGATGTTTTTTAACTATGTTGTGTCCTGCCTTGAGTAGTATTCTGTGTAATAGCTGTTAATTTAAGATAAAATGAGAGCAGATATAGAGAGCCAACATGGTGTGCTGTTTGAACACAGCAAGGATTCTGGGAATGAAGAGCTTGAATTCAGCCATGAAACCTCATTGCGTGACTTCAGCCAAGTCACAGTCTCTTAGTTTAGAAGCAAGCAATGACAAACTCTTCTGAATAAATCTTACCAAAAAAATTCAGCAGTGTTGCCCTAAGTCAGAGTCAACTGGTGACGATGGAGGCCCAGGTCTCCGCCATTAGCAGAACCACCTTTTTTCATCTGCGACAGGCTAGACGGCTGGTCCCCTACCTGTCCAGGGACGACCTAGCTATGGTGATCCAGGCCACGGTCATCTCAAGACTGGACTACTATAATGCCCTCTACATTGGCCTTCCTATGTCGATGATCCGGAAGCTAAGTTGGTACAAAATGCAGCTGCTTGGCTTCTTGCGGGAACTCCGATGAGATGCCACATAATACCAATCTTACTACAGCTGCACTGGTTACCAATTGAGCACCGGATCACTTTCAAAGTGATGGTACTCACCTTTAAGGCCTTGCATGGTCTGGGGCCGATGTACCTGAGGGACCGACTCACCCCCTACCAACCCCAGAGATCCCTCCATTCTGAGGACCAAGATCTATTGGAAATTCCCAGTGTCAAGACCTTGCGTCTAACAGCAACCAGACGCAGAGCCTTCACAGCAGTGGCACCATCACTCTGGAATACTCTGCCACCTGAAGTCCGTGCTTTGCGGGACTTGTCAGCTTTCCGCAGGGCATGTAAGACATACCTGTTTTGACAGGCCTTTGATCTTTGATATTGCTGTTTTTAAATTGTTTTTAATTGTTTTTAAATTGTGTTAGATTTTGGCCTGTTTTTGTAAGCCGCTCTGAGCCCCAGGGGAGTGGCGGCATATAAGTTTGAATAATAAATAAATAAATAAATAAATAAAGAGAAAGGGCACAAGAAGGTACACAAGGATTACACTAGTATTGCTGGTATCCTAATACTAGCTGAAGTCTTGGGGACTTCCCAGAGAGGGAAAAATGTAAGTAGCCCTTGGAAGAAAAGTTCTGATTTTTCTATGTAAGGTGGACATTAAATCTATGTACCTGTTTCCACATAGCTTGGGCAAGGGCATTCTTGCTTAGTGTGAAAGCAGCTGTACATGTTTTGATTTGGAAAGAAAGTGTGGACATGGACAGGAGGGGAACATTTGACCACATTGAGTTGTTTCGGAAAGCATTATGGTATTTGAATCTTTGTGTTAATATTTATACATGACCTTATGAACCTCCCACAAGCTTCAGTACCACTGGGGAAAAACTCATGTGCTGTATAGACTATGTTGGCTGAGAGACCAAGTGTGAGTGTATCGAGCGCATTTTTCTTTAAAAACTAAGATTTTTTTCTTCCTTGCTCTCAGTTGCCTAGCTGGTTTTTACACAAATTCCATTCCTGTTTGTTTAGATTTCCCTCATTTCCATTTATACACTCAGCTTATGCAGACAAAAGCACTTCCTTGCCCTGCCTCTATTATGTCACAAACACCCAGTTGCGATTCTGAAATCTCAGGAAATAGACTATAGTTGACTTGACAAACCTACTCTAGGGTATTTTACTCTGGTCTTAAAAATAAATTTTAAAGCCTTGTTTATTTTAGTCCCTGACATTCATTCTAGTCAAATGGCAAGCAGCAATATCTTGAACTCACAGTACCTTCCAATAGCATTTTCAAAAGTTGCCCTTTGTAAGGCATATACACAGCACAATTGAAATCTTATATTTTCGGGTGATGCGCATGATCATTCATCCAGATCTGCTCATCAGCTATTACCAAGCAAGCCAATGCTCTCTTTTAACAAGATGGGAAGTAAACATTTCATACCTTTACTACAGGAACGGTCTCATTTAACATAGCCAATGAGTCCATGAGCAATGGAGAACTGTCCAGCCACTCCTGGGATTTTTGTGTTAAATCAGCCATGAGTTTAAGTGTTGAATTAGACTTTAGAAAAGAGAAAGAAAACAGAACAAATTGAAAACTTGGTCAAAATCTTGGAAATAAAGAAGATTTACAGCATAATGTCCCAGATTTTATTTTCCATCCCATCACAAACTTAAGTCAGAGTGCTAATATGACAACTGTAGTTTGGGAAGCAAATTTGGCAGTCAAAATGTGTAATGGTGTTTCTTCATTTCTGAGGAACAGATTCAGTCCTTGTTTGGGAATGTTCTTGTTGGTGTTAATAATAGGTTGCAGTTGCATTGTGGATCACGGAGAGCTAAACGCACACACTGTTTGAGTAGAAAAAAAGTCACAACTTAATTCATGAAACCTACATAGCATTGGTTTGGCCTCAGATAACCCATCTGTTAGCCAATGACAGCTACCTCTGGCCCAACCATGGGAGAGATGACTTTGTATGGCATTCATTCACTAACTCGGGACTATGTCTATTCTTGTTTTATTGAATTTTAAAGTTAATTGTATTGTTTTAATCTACTGCTGTAAACCGCTCCGAGCCAAATTGGGAGTAGCGGTATACAAGTCAAATAAATAAATAAATAAATAAATAAATAAATAAATAAAATGTGGGCACACCACCTGTATGTGATTCCTTGCTAACTTGGTAGTGATGCATTTCCAACAACCCCTGAACTAAACCTGAGCCTGACTGCCTAAATTCTGAAGTCCTCTAAAAGGATCTCCACTAAACACACCAGAATTGCCCCTTAAAACTGGATTGAGCCCACTTTGCACCACCAAATTTGTGACATAGAGTAAGAATGAAACAAAAAAAAAACCCGAGAAATCATAATTGCATACTAAAATAATCAAACAATAGGGTGTTGAGTGGCAAGACAAATTACCAAAAGAGAAACCTTGGAACCCTTCATGCCCATTCCAGTAGCTGTATTAAGTCCTGCCTGGGAAAATGACCCACCACTGCTTCATGCTGCCAGTTTCGTCTTCCAGGAACTTGATTTGCAATGCCCCTTAGTTGCTTGAAATAGCATCCCTCTGCATTTCCCCCAGGGTTGCTACAGTCTTAGCAGCACCCTAATAGTCAAACATTAACAGAGGCTGGAAGTCAGCCTGCAAGCCTTTTGCAGCTATTGGCTTTAAAAAGTATCTCTTTAGTCCAGAGACCGCCCTTTTTCCTGGGGATGAGATCTCCATTTTGGAGAAGCTCTCTTGCCTTCTTCAGTATAGAAAAAGCCTCCAATGTGCTGGTGGCCAAGCTACGCAGCTCGGACAGGCCATCGTGAGTACGATTACCTCCTTGCCTTAGAAACTGGTGCTGAGCTCAGATAAGGGAAGACCTGCTCTTTCTAAAAGATAGTAGCTCACCGCTGGGGCAGATAATATCTCAGGATTTCTCTGCCATTGGGAGAGGCTCCATTACTTCATCCCCAAACTAACCTTGAGCTTAGATAGGGAAAGACCTGCTCTTTCTAAAAGATAGCAGCTCAGGGTTAGGTTAAAAGGTCCCAGGATTTTTCTACCGTTGGGGAAAGTTAATTCAGCAGCTGAAGAAAAAGGGAAGGAAAGAACATCTACGAACATCTACAAGGGGTATTTTTATAGTAAGGTCCGTTTTGTTGTAGACACTAGTAGTTTGCACGCATACCGCAACGAGCATGTGCGTCGTGTACCGGCATGCCTCGGGAACAACTGTGCTCAGTTTCCGCTCTGTAGCTAACCTGTATGGTTCTCTTCAGTGCTTTAAAAAGGTTTAAGACTATCAACTCACCCGCCGCATGTGAGGTTTGCTCAGCAAGGAACCTGCCTGCTGCAGAAATTCATCGACAGATTTGTGAAGTGTACGGTGATACTGTTATGAGTTAAAGTAAAGTGCGCAAGTGGGTACGACAATTCAAAGATGGCCGTGACAACGTCCATGATGACGACTGCTCCAGTCGCCCTTCTTTGATTACAGTTAACTCTTGGATATCGGAGCAGGCGGCAGGTTTTTATGAAGAGGGTATTTTAAAATTGGTTCAGAGATATGATAAGTGTTTGAACAAACTTGGCAACTATGTCGAAAAACAGAGTGAAGTATGTACTTTCTGAAAATAAATTTACTTTTTTGAAATAAACTTTCGTTGTGTACTTATGTTACAACGGACCTTACTTAAAAAATACCCCTCGTATATAATTTCACAAGTTGACTGTTTGTGTTTGTAACTTCATCAAGCTGTGCAAAGTCTGTCAAGGACTTTGAGAAATAAATGTTCTGTTTGATGTTCAAATCTGGACTGGCCTCAGTTGCTGGGAATTCTGAGCTTCTAAGTAAGACAGTCGCAGTTCACCCGGATAAAGAGAGAAGCACATCTTAGTTTTAACTTTATAGTGTCTGGGTGTGACGGCACATTGCCCAACTGTCTGATTAGCCAGTCTTCCTAAAAACTATGCAAAACATATGGGCTTCTGGGGAACAGAAGGACATTGGATGGAAGAAAATGGCAGCTTCTCCTTTCTCCATATCTCCTGAAAACTGACTTTCCTTCTAAATCAGAAGCCATTGCTTCTACATTGCAAACATTTTATCAACCAAGTCACATATTCTGAAGGATCATTAGCATTATAAATTCTGCTCTTTCCCAAGCCACTGAAGGAGAAACCTTCTAATTGGTGTCTGTTGAAAGTACCAAGTGTTTTGTAACCATAAAGAACTATTGATTATGTTGAGTGTGGCATTACCTTCTCCATGATCGCTCGTGTTGCGGGAGTGTCTGGGGTATACAGAATCCTCCCAAGCAGCATGGGTTTTAGGAAAGACCAAATTAAGGCCCCTGTAGGTGTTCTAACCAAGTCCAAAAAGAATGATAAGCAGAATGGTGCTGCAGAAATTATTGGGGAAAAACACACACAAAAAAAAAGAAAGATAAATTAACACCAGCACACATAACACAGATGCAGTGAGTCTGACAGAGGATGCTTGCCAGGGAGTAGCAGATTCTTGCAGACTCCCAAGGAAGCCTTGTCTTCACATACTGATGTGATGCCATTTGACAAAGCTAATCCTCCCCAAAGATCTCCCACTGCTGAACTCAGCTAACAAGATTTTTATTGTTCTAGCAAAAACCCTTCTGTTTAAGGTTAAATGGAGCTTTTGGAGCTCAGAGGAGCCAATGTCAGTACAGATGGAAAAAAACCAGCTCCACGAAATAAAAGCAGTGACCTTTTTGAATACAAAAGCCAAACTCATTGGGGACTTGAGATTTGGCGAAGTATTAAAGCCACCTCAACTACTTCCTAAATTGCTTCAGTTTTCAGATATAAACTTTTCCCCATAAAAGAGTTCAAAGTTTGCATTTCTTTCCAACAAATCTTCAAAAGCTCAGCAACTTTTGAAGTAATTTTCCCCCATTTTCATTTTCAGGTCTATGCATACATTGGCCCATGTCTTGCAGAATCCGATCTCACATAGGCTGGAGGGCAACCTACAACAATGTAAAAGTGACAAAGCAAGTCAAACTGTTGGTTCATCTAGCTCACTCTTCTCACCGAACTCTCAGATGACTAAAGAATTCCAAGTGTCAACATGAAGAGGAACAAAACCTTGCCTACCTCATTTTGAAACAAAAGGACAAATAGTTCTTATTTTGTAACCTCCAATATTTATGCTAATGTTAATTGCCAACAAATCAGCTATGACACATGGTAACCCTGTGAATGAAACAGCTTGAAGTGACCCTGTTATTAACAGCAGGAAAAATGAAATGCAAAGATACAGAATGGGGGACAATGCCTGGCTTGAGAGCAGTACGTGTGAAAAAGATCTTGGAGTCCTCGTGGACAACAAGTTAAACATGAGCCAACAATGTGATGTGGCGGCAAAAAAAGCCAATGTAGTTTTAAGGCTACATCTAGAATCTATGAAAAGCTGCAGACATGCAAAATGCTCAGCAAAAGGCTATGGTTGAAAGTACATCTTGAACAATGTCTTTTCTGGGTTGTTGTAGGTTTTTTCGTGCTATAATGCCATGTTCTAGAGGCATTCTCTCCTGACGTTTCGCCTGCATCTATGGCAAGCATCCTCAGAGGTAGTGAGGTCTGTTGGAACTAGGAAAAAGGATTTATATATCTGTGGAATGACCAGGGACAAAGGACTCTTGTCTGCTGGAGCTAGGTGTAAATGTTTCAAACTGATGTCTTCTCTGATTGCTAATGGGATATGCATGCTATTATTCACATGCATAACTAGTTACTAAGGCATGTAGTGACTTTTTCACAGAATGCACATTTTGTGCAGTTGTTTCTACACAAAATGTGGTACAAAGGTACAAAGGCCCGAAAGACAGGTTGTTCAGAAAAGCACAACATATTCCACATATTTCTATTTATGATTAAGTCCTAGTTCCAAGAGGATAAGGTAAAGTTATCTGAAATCCCACTGATTTTAAGGAGATTTTTAACCCACCTTTTCTTGTTATTTCACTTAATTGTGCTTTTTTGAATTTGCAAGGAGCTTTGAATGTCACTCACGTGAATCCTGAGGAATGCCATATTTCTTCATAATATTTTGCACATGGTCATCTTGTCCTGAAGAATGGTGAATGTTCTGCTCTTCAAATTCAGGTAACAGAGATTGAAAATACAAAGGAGTAATTTCTTGGTTGCAGAAAGCTTTGGAGAGGGTTTTAAATGTTCCAGTGTTTAGTGTCAGGTTGTTAGCCTGATTAAATGCCTGTGGAAGCAAATGGACAGTATACTGTCAGAATGAAGATGAAATCATATATATGTGAAATAACACTGATGTAGCACCACATCATATTGGAAACCAGGATGGGGGAAGAATGGCTAGCATTGTGTGTGGATATTAGGTTAAAGTCAGGTTAAACCTTTCACTGGATCATTTAGCTCAGTCAGAAAAAAAAATCTTCCTCTCAACCTAGCTTCCTATACATCCAAATAGGGAGGTGAAGAAGAAACAAACTGCAGGGCAATTGGTAAATGTTGAAAATAACTACATAAATTATTAAGAAGAGCAACAAAATTGGCAACTGGCATAGTAATTTCCAGTGCTCAGCATGAAGCTATAATAAACAAAGCTGTGTTGGACAAAAAAAATATATTACATTGCACGTATATTTTCTATTCGAAATGTCTTTAAGGGCCTGGTAGTTAGTTATTATGTGGACTACATTCTCTCTGCATCACTACTGAATTGAAACCATATATTTTTATCCCACTACTAGTATGTGAATTAGTCAGACTTGGCCACAGTGGTCCATGCTCTCATTATATCCAGAAAAGACTACTGCAGTTGCTTTTGAAGACTGCTCGGAAGCTTCAAATAGTCCAACGAGAGGTAGCGATGCTAAAAACTGGGGTGGCATACAGGCAGCATACAACTCCCATGTTATGCCAGTTCCACTGGCTGCCAGTTTGCTACCGGGCACAATTCAAAGTGCTGGCTTTGGCCTATAAAGCCCTAAACAGCCCCAGCCCAATTTACCTGTCTGAACGCATCTCCCCCTATGAACCATTGTGGAGATTAAGACCTCCAAAGAGGCCCTCCATCCCGCCATTGTCACAGGCACGATTGGTGGGGACAAGAAAGGGGGCCTTCTCGGTGATGGCCCCATGGTTAAGGAACTCCCTTCCTGGTGAGATCAGATTGGCCCCTTCCCTCCTGTTCTTCAGAAGGATGGTAAAAGCTTGGCTGTGGGACCAAGCTTTCGGGACAGGGCAATAAAGGGGCAATAGGAAAGATTACCAGGCCAATTAGATTTGAGGCAAATGACCAAGATGGTTTTAAATGGTGTATTTTAATATTGAGATAAATGTTTTTAATGTTTATTTATGCGTCTATGAATTCTTGTCCTGGCATTTAATTTTTGCCATGTATATGCTGTGCTCCGCCCTGAGTCCCCTTCGGGCTGAGAAGGGCGGAATATAAATGTTTTAAATAAATAAATAAATAAAATAGCTATACCAGAATTTCTGTGTTATTATAAACAATGGATTAAATCTATTTATTTACATTTCTATCAATTTATCTATCTATTGTGTCTATCATGGAGAGAGAAAATGGGGTATAAATAAATATAATAAACATAATAATATTTATTTATTTATTTATTTATTTACAGCTTTTATATTCCGCCCTTCTCACCCCGCAGGGGACTCAGGGCGGATTACAGTGTACACATATATGGCAACCATTCAATGCCGAATTTTGACAAACGAACATATTTATTATTTATTTATTTATTTGCTTCATTTGTATACCGCCATTCTCAGCCCTAAGGCGACTCATAGCGGTTTACAACAAGCAAAAACAAGGCGAAAAATCAAGGCAAAAATTCAATGCGGCATCAACAAGGTACTTAAAAACAGTTAACACATATACAGACATACACAGAGGCTATTTAACTGCGGCGCTGATGAAGCACTTCCGCATTCCCCGCATGCTTCCCCGCTGGAATGCTTTGCTGGAGTCTTCTTTATGGCCTCATAAATCAGTTAATTTAGCCTCCGCACACTTTAAGGCGATACCTTATTTTCCTACTTGACAGATGCAACTGTCTTTCGGGTTGCAAAGGTCGACAACAGGCTACACACAATTGGTTGGAAACCCACTCCAACCCGGGCTGGCTTCGAACTCATGACCTTTTGGTCAGAGTGATCTTAATGCAGCTGACACTCAGCCAGCTGCGCCACAATCCCGGTGCCTTATAACAGACACATAAGCTTTAACGGCATTGTTATTGGATTTTTATTTATTTATTTATTTGCATTTTATGGTTCTTTGATATGACTGATTCCTCCCTTCTGGACTCATATCTGTTACTATAGACACTGTATTTTCAGACTACCGCAGGTATCCTTCTGGAAATAAATTCCTTTGTACTAAAGGCTTGCAACCCATTTTAGTGAGGAGACGTAAGAAAAATAAAGGGAGATAAGACTTACACAAAGCAAAACCTGATTAACCTAGGCCAGTAATACACCCTTCCTTTCCATGCACACTCTTGCCTTGCACTGCCTGGCACCTCCTCATACGTTCTCTCCTCAAAGTAGCTCGAGTGAAAATCTTTTCCATTATCCACCAGGTCTCTTCTCACCCATTGCTTTGTCCCTCAGATCCCCAAACCTGATTTCATTGCTGGCAGGCTTAAATGGTTGAATGAATTCAAAGCCTTATGGTGCTCGTAATAACCGCAGCCCACTTCAGCTGTAGAACAGCTGTGATGCTTCTAACAAAAATATGACCAAGTCACAGCTATCCAAATTCTAGTAATAATTTGTGACAATGCACTGGGCAACCTATGAAGCTTATTGGGAAACTTCAGATGGCACTGGAAATAATTAATACATTCTTAAGTGGGACAACAAAGTATGAGTATATCTCACCAAGGGTCCATTCACATTAGATAATTTTAGTGCTATATTCCAGCAAAGCCTTTGTGAGTAAGAATGCATCAACTATGAAATTTCTTCCTTTTACTGAGTTGTCTGGTGCTAGTTTTGAGGATAAAAACCATTGTGTTTTCCTACTTTATTCCATAACTTGTATGGCTGTTAAAATGATTTTAAAATGGCTTTACCCATTCAACATCTACACAAATGACCAGCCACTGCCAGAAGGGACAGAGAGTTCCATCTATGCTGATGATCGTGCCATTACCGCTCAAGCAGCGAGCTTTGAGATGGTTGAACAGAAGCTCTCTGAAACTGTAGGTGCCCTCACTGCCTATTACAGGGAAAACCAACTGATCCCTAATCCATCTAACAGACATGTGCCTTTCACCTTAAGAACAGACAAGCATCCCGAGCTCTGACTATCACCTGGGAAGGAATCCCACTGGAGCATTGCAGCACACCCAGAAACCTGGGAGTCACTCTGGACCATGCTCTGACCTACAAGAAGCACTGCCTGAATATCAAGCAAAAGGTGGAAACAATATCATACGAAACAATATCATACGAAAGCTGACTGGCACAACGTGGGGATCACAACCAGACACAGTGAAGACATCTGCCCTTGTGCTATGCTACTTTGCTGCTGAGTATGCATGCCCAGTGTGGAACACATCTCACCACGCTAAAGCAGTGGATGTGGCTCTTAATGAGACATGCCGCATTATCACGGGGTGTCTGCGCTCTACACCACTGGAGAAATTACACTGCTTAGCTAGTATTGCACCGCCTGACATCTGCTGGGAAGTAGCAGCCAATAGTGAAAGGACCAAGGCAGCGACATCTCCAGCTCATCCCCTGTTTGGGTATCAACCAGCACGTCAATGACTTAAATCAAGAAATAGTTTTCTTAGCTCTACAGAGACACTTGCTGGAACACCTCAGCAAGCGAGAGTCCAAAAGTGGCAGGCTCAAACCCAGCACCTCAATCTGAGGGTGATACCAGATGAGAGACTCCCTCCTGGGCACACAGAAGACTGGGCAACTTGGAAGGCGCTGAACAGACTGCGCTCTGGCACCACGAGATGCAGAGACAACCTTGAGAAATGGGGCTACAAAGTGGAATCCACGACATGCTTCAATGCAACCTGAGCCCTGCCACATGCACAATGGAGGACCTCCTTGCGGCAACACCAGAGGCACTCCAAGTGGCCAGATACTGGTCAAAGGACATTTAATCAACTACCAAGTTTGCAAAATTTGTGGTTTTTTATCTGTTTGTTTGTTATGTTATGTTAGAAATGTAATACAATGGTCTGGTTGCTGATGACACGATAAATAAATACCCATTCAATTTTATAAGAATAGTGGTAAAAGGTTTGTTATGATTTGTTTAAACTATTTTTACAGCCTTATGTTAATTGGACATAAAATGTTTAAAATAAATAAACATGAATGCAACTGTGCTCAAAACTTTGCACTGTAGTGTGCAGTAAATGACATTCATGTACATCCTTCACTGTAACTTCCTGGATTCTTCTGTCCTACCAGAAGTTATTATTGATGTTCTTAGCCTTCAAGTAATTTCCAGCTTATAGCAACCCTGTGGTGAACATATCGAGATTTGTTCAGAGGGAGTTTGCTTTTGCCTTCATAAGAAAATAAGATTTGTCCAAGGTCATTCGGGGGGTTTCCATGGCCAAGCAGGGATTTGAATAACCTCCAAACCACTACATCATAGTGGCTATCAGAAACACTTTCCATAATCTATGGTGAAGATACTAATTTCCATTATATATTGGATATATATGTCTATATATGTTGTATGTCAAAATTGGCATTGAATGTTTGCCATATATGTGTACACTGTAATCCGCCCTGAGTCCCCTGTGGGGTGAGAAGGGAGGAATATAAAAGCTGTAAATAAAATACATAAATAAACAAACATTTTATTGATAATTTTGATATTTGTGCTGGGTTAATCGCAATGTTCAATAATTTGCTTTCAGTATTATTGTCTTTTGCTTATTGACAAGGGAAACCAACCTTAGAGAAGGGTGCATTCCTTGATTGACGTAATTTTTTTAGAGAATGGACGGCATCTAAGAGTGGACGAACATCTGAGATAACCTTTTCCTTGAAATGGTTCAATTCTTTGAGTAGATCAAATACCTGATCTAGAGGAGTTTGTAGTTCCTTGGGGAAAAACATCTAGAATAGACAAAAGGCATAAATAGGGTCAAAATCAAGCACTCTTGCTTATAAGGGACAAAATGCATGCAAAGTGGATAGCACTGGTTTCAATGAGTTGCTGATCGATGTATCTTCAAAGTACATAATCCTGGACAAATCAAGACCAAAACAATAAAAATATCTTTTGAAAACTTCAACCAACATCGTGACCAGTAGCCAGGAGAAGTGGGCATGTTCAGGATTGATTGGGCAGAGCAAGGGCTTGTGCAAATGCAAAACTGTGGGACTGGGCCAGAAGTAAATCCTGGGAAATCAAAATGCAATTCCTAACAGCTGGTAAGCTGGCTGGGATTTATGGAAGTTGAAGTCCAAAACAATGAGAGGAACAAAGGTTGGGAACCACTGGTGTAGATCAGGGTCCTCAAACTTTTTAAAGAGAGGGCTGGGTCACAGTCCCTCAAACTGTTGAAGGGCCAGATTATAATTTGAAAAAAATCATGAATGAATTCCTATGCTCACTGCACATATCTCATTTGTAGTGCAAAAAACACAGAAAAACAATACAATAATTAAAATGAAGAACAATTTTAACAAATATAAACTTATTAGTATTTCAATGGGAAGTGTGAGCCTGCTTTTGGCTGATGAGATAGGGTTGTTGTTGTTGTTGTTGTTGTTGTTGTTGTTGTTGTTGTGCGCTTTCAAGTCGTTTCAGACTTAGGATGACCTTGAGCGAGGGCCAGGTAAATGACCTTGGAGGGCCGTATCCGGCCCCTGGGCCTTAGTTTGAGGACCTCTGTGTTATGTTAATCCCACAAACAAACATTACATTTTTATTTATATAGATTATTAGGCTGAGAATATGTAGCCTGTCCAAGGTCACCCAGCAGATTTCCACAGCTCAATTTATGTTCAAAGCCTGTTCTTCCAGAGTCCTCATCCAACACTCAAATCACTATACATCACTGACTCTTACAACATATAAGAAGATCTACATACATATACATACATATATACGTATATGCGTGTGCACCTAGATGACCTAAAATATGTTTTAGAATTGCAATTTGTTATGCAAACCTTGTACACGAAGCTGTAGACATCCAGGTAATGAAGAAATGTGACTCCCAAAAGATAAGACTTGTGAGCCCTTTCCGTGAGTGATAAGTTGCAGAACTCCTTTGCTACAACTTCCGGCTTAGCATCTGTAACGTCAACATAGCAGAACTCCAGCTGGAGTATCTGGAAAATCAGCTGTATTGGCACAGAAGAAAAACAGGTTTGTAACAGTGAGCTCTCTCGGTAATGAGGATGAATTAAGTAGTTCTCTCTTTCAGAACACTGGCCTATGCCACCCTCCAAAGTGGCTGACACAGCAGTAGATGTCCTTCTTTACACAATAGTCAATATACTGGTGCTTTCTTTAATGTGCTTACATACAAGAACAGCAGCTAAAAGATTATCTTTCTTTGGGCCTTTAGCATTAACAGACATCCTGTTACCTCTCCAATATTTGTGAAGAAGTTGTTCCAGAATCTATTACTACTCCTTGGCTTGAGACAGAAAACAAATAACAGTTGATAGGAGTATAAAATGATCTTAGTGAGGCTTTGGGTGCAGCTACACTATAGAATAAGTGTAGTTTGACACCACGTGAACTACCATGGCTCAATGCAGTTGAATCCTGGGACTTCTTGTTTGGTGAGGCACCAACACTCTTTGGAAGAAAATACCTTTTTACAATTACAACTTCCATGATTCCATAGCATTGCACTATAGCAATGAAACTTGTCTCAAACTGCATTTAATTCTACAGTATGGATGCACTCTTTGTTTCCTGTGATGCATATACATTCTCCTTCTGCCTCATAGCCAAAACGGATTTTCTGTGGGTGTTCCTAATCATTCAGAAATGTGGTCAATCTGATTACCAAAGGCAAAAGCAGAATGCATGTATATCCCACCTATTATCCAACTTTTCCCTTAGAAGTAGGAGAGGATTTTGCATTTTTCCATATAGAGGAGCACATTATAAGCACTGATATGGAAAAACAAATGTGGAATTCCTGGGAAATTTTTTTTTCAGATAGTTACCATTTTTCTTCACTCTGTTTTAAGTTAGTATGCCTTGATAACAAGCTTTCTTACAATAAGGACTTCCATTTTAGTATCCACTCTCATTTGAAGATCTTTTCACCCATGTGTCAGCATTATATTGTCAAAGGCTTTCATGGCTGGAATCACTGGGTTGTTGTAGGTTTTTCGGGCTATATGGCCACGTTCTAGAAGCATTCTCTCCTGACGTTTTGCCTGCATCTATGGTAAGCATCCTCAGAAGTTGTGAGATCTGACCTCACAACCTCTGATGATGCTTGTTATAGATTTATTTATTTATTTATTTATTTCGGGCATTTCTACCCCACCCTTCTCACCCCCTAGGGGGGACTCAGGGCGGCTTACATCCGGCACAATTCGATGCCAACAATTACAATAAAAATGCAATAACAATAAACACAATAGTTAAAAACATACAATGATGCAGGCGAAACATCAGGAGAGAATGCTTCTAGAACAGGGGCCCTCAAACTTTTTAAACAGAGGGTCAGGTCACAGTCACACAAACTGTTGGAGGGCCGGATTATAATTTGAAAAAAGCATGAATGAATTCTTATGCACACTGCACATATCTTATTTGTAGTACAAAAACACTTAAAAATACAATAATGAAAATGAAGAACAATTTTAACAAATATAAACTTATTAGTATTTCAATGGGAAGTGTGGGCCTGCTTTTGGCTGATGAGATAGAATTGTTGTTGATGTTGTTGTGTGCTTTCAAGTCGTTTCAGACTTAGGTTGCTCCTGAGTGAGGGCCAGGTAAATGGCCTTGGAGGGCTGTATCCGGCCCCCGGGCCTTAGTTTGAGGACCCTTGGTATATGACATGTAAAGAGAGGCCAGTTAGGTTGCAGGAGTGTTTGTGTGTTCTGTGTTACAACAGGACTGCTTTTGGCTGATGAGATAGAATTGTTGTTGATGTTGTTGTTGTTGTGTGCTTTCAAGTCATTTCAGACTTAGATTGACCCTGAGTGAGGGCTGGGTAAATGACCTTGGAGGGCCGTATCCGGCCCCCGGGCCGTAGTTTGAGGACCCCTGTTCTAGAACATGGCCATATAGCCTGAAAAACATACAACAACCCTGTCAGCGTTATATTTTATTTTGATGGACAGAATGTCAGGCACTGTATGGATCCATAATTTTTTAACAAGAGCTATTGAAAAGCATGTGTGTGTATACTATTTTTTTACCCACTGAGGAAACTGTTGAAAACTACAGCAGTTTTCACTTCTCAGGAATTTTTGTTTTTTAAAAAATGTTGGTTTGGCACAAAATACATTAAATTTTGTGTGAAATACAATTCTGAGGTTAAAAAAATTACTGCTTTTACACAACAAAGTTCTGAAATTCAAAAGGTAATCTTGTCCAAAAGGGGGAATCTGCAATTTTTCTCTTGCATGAGAGACTTAAACTAAGGACTATTCCAACCCCAAGTTTGCATAAAGCTATTTGTGTGCATTTCGCACTATGAGACCTGAGTGAAATAGCCAGCCGTAATAATACACTTGCCTGTGTTCTGTTTTCTGGAAGTGGCATTTCCAGCAGTGCATTGAGGCTTTCTTCCGACATTCCTACTACACTTCTGAGATCGTTCCTGAGGCTGTCTTCATTTCTGAACAGATTTATTAACGTGTCTTTAAAATAGAAATTAAAAATTAGATTTGCTTCTAGAAATCACACTGTTTGCACAGAGTATTTATAGCAGGAACATGGAAGAAGGAGAAAATGCCTCAAGAGTGTCACCATGTGGTACATTTCAATGTGAAATAACTCAATAGATTTAGTCACATTTTTTTAAAAAAAAGTTTTGCATTCCTGCAAGAAGATAGATTGAGGCAACTGGATCATTTTAAAGTCACTAGTGTTCAAAATTAGACTAGATTTGCCCACTGAACATTTTCCAGGCATGTACAAATAATACATACAGACTTTAATAAACACGTACTAAAGTATACCCTTTCCCAAATGTCTATTCAGCAATCCCTCGTTTGTTATATGTTGCCCAGCTCTTCAATTTCATAAGTTTAAGAATAAATACTAATTAAAACTATCTAATTTTTCTCCCATTCCTAAATCTTGTTGGACGTATGAGTTTCATTACCAGCAATGAATTGCATTTGCCATTTTACCAAACCTCATTAGACAAAACATCTATTTTCCATTTAAACACAATTTAAATCCTAGCCGTTAGTAATAAGTTATTCACTAATTCTATTATTTCTCAGCCTTACAAAATACTCCACTCCAATGATGTGGCTGATGGGCAGGTGAATGAGCCTCTAGTGAATGGCTGATGATATCAGTCCATAATAGTGCTGCCTGAGTAGATACCTCATATTATAACACTATTGTGGAAATGAATCACATTAGCTGTACCATTGGGGGTTCATTTACCAGTTTGTCCTCCAGCATGATACATGCACCATCTTTTAATAATGTCCTCCTGCTGTCTACATAGACCAAAAGTAGGTCAGGCATCTATACAAAAAACTCAATGCATACCGTCTAGTGTATGTAACAATAGATTTCAAAAACTAATGGGAGAATATTTCATGTCCAGGCCACCCAACTGCTGACCTGAGACTTCTATTACTCAAGAAAGCAATTTCAAAGGAAGTTGAAGTTCTACTATATTTTCCTGGCATTTATTAGATACCAAGATTTCAAGTGAACTTTGGAAATAGTAGAGCAAACTTAGGACGTCCCCACTGAGATGTTATATTGATATGGTTCTATCTCTATGAACTTGTTTGCATTGTGTGCAATAATAAGATTTATAGTTTAATCAGAGGAATTCTCTGGTTGAGAACTATAAAGTGCCCCTTCCATAATACCAATCCTCTGATGTCGTAGGACGGTGATGCCCAAAGCACGGGGGAAGATTATTATTATTATTATTATTATTATTATTATTATTATTATTATCTTTATTTGTACCCCGCTAACATCTCCCGAAGGACTCGGTGCGGCTTACAAAGGCCAAGGCCCTCAATAAAACAACAGTATAACAAATACACAATAAAATTAATATAGCAAACCAATAAACATGAAAGCAGTAACAGTAAAACATTAAAAACAATACATCATGACACATTTAAAACTAGGGCCGGGCCAAATGTAATGAATAAACTTAAAAGTGCTGGACATGACAGGTGAAATGTAAGGGTTTTAGGGTAGGTGCGATGTGCAGACAATCTTAAATCTCTTGTAAAGTGCGTTTGGGACATGATGCTGGGAGTTTCCTATTCTGGAAAGGCACACTGGAACAGCCAGGTCTTCAAGCTCTTCCTAAAGGCTGCCAACGATGGGGCTTGTCTGATGTCCTTGAGGAGAGAGTTCCAGAGTCGGGGGGCTACCACAGAGAAGACCCTGTCCCTCGTCCCCACAAAACGTGCTTGCGACGCAGGTGGGATCGTGAGCAGGGCCTCTCCAGATGAACGGAGGGATCGTGTGGGTTCATATACGGAGATGCGGTCATGCAGGTAGGCAGGTCCCAAACCATTTAGGGCTTTGTAGGTGAGCATCTGCACCTTGAATTGGGACCGGAAAATGAACAGCAGCCAATGGAGCTCCTTAAACAGGAGGGTTGACCTCTCTCTGTAAGGAGCACCAGTTAACAACCTGGCCACCGCCTGTTGGACCAGTTGAAATTTCCGAGCTGTTTTCAAGGGCAGCCCCACATAGAGCACATTACAGTAGTCCAATCTAGAGGTGACCAAGGCATGGAAGAGGGGTTGGGCACTCGAGGGCGTGAGTAAGGAGGGGCAAGCGGGAAAGCAAGCAGGGGCGGGCGGGAGAGTAGGGGGTAGGCAAGCAAGCAAGTGAACAAGCAAGGGGTGAAAAAGCAGGATGGTGCGCAGATGAGGGGGACAACTAAGCAGGGTCAGGCAAGTGGGGGATGGGCAAGTGAGCAACTGGAGGTGGGCAAACGAGTGGGTGAGCAAGCTGGTAGTTCTGACATACATATTAAACCAAGATATCAATTTACATCCCTTCCCTTATTTGCCACATCCTTAAGACCTTTCTAAATTAAATATTTAGACAATTAACACTTTCTTATATGTCTATTGTTTTCGATACCATCTGTATGCTTTCAATCACCTAATTGGACTATGCCAAGTCTTATGAGTTGTTTCAGAAGAAGAAACACAAACACTATCTTGGATGCTTTTCAAAGTGGAAAGATTAATATAAACAATGCCACATTATTACGGGGTGTCTGCGCCCTACACCACTGGAGAAATTACACTGCTTAGCTAGTATTGCACCACCTGACATCTGCCGGGAAGTAGCAGCCAATAGTGAAAGGACCAAGGCAGTGACATCTCCAGCTCATCCTCTGTTTGGGTATCAGCCAGCACATCAACGACTTAAATCAAGAAATAGTTTTCTAAGATCACCTCAGCAAGCGAGAGTCCAAAAGTGGCAGGCTCAAACCCAGAGCCTCAATCAATGGCTGATACCAAATGAGAGACTCCCCCCTGGGCACACAGAAAACTGGGCGACTTGGAAGGTGCTGAACAGACTGCGCTCTGGCACCATGAGATGCAGAGCCAACCTCAAGAAATGGGGCTACAAAGTGGAATCCACGACATGCGAGTGTGGAGAAGAGCAAACCACTGACCACCTGCTGCAATACAACCTGAGCCCTGCCACATGCACAATGGAGGACCTTCTTGCAGCAACACCAGAAGCACTCCAAGTGGCCAGATACTGGTCAAAGGACATTTAATCAACTACCAAGCTTGCAAACTCTGTGTTTTGTATGTTTGTTTGTTTGGTCTGTCAAAAATGTAATACAACTGTTTGGTTGCCTGACACGATAGATAAATAGATAAATAAATAAATAAATAAATAAATAAATAAATAAATAACCTGTCAAATCCGAGTAGCAAATCTAGCTCAGAAAGAATAAAATATATTGGCCATTATGTCTGGTACCTGAGGCACATGAAACTCTTTTTCATCTATCTATCTATCTATCTATCTATCTATCTATCTATCTATCTATCTATCTATCTATCTATCTATCCCATAGTATTTCGTACAGTTAAGTACTTTCACTCTCAAGCCATTTAAGGCTTTAAAGTCAAAATTTAACAATATGAAAGGATTGGGATGTAAAGCATCATTTGATGTTTCCAAATTGTTTTTAGTGGTAGATAAAGATGTAACAGGATGCTACCTAAGCATTTAGAGAATGGTACTTGTTGGCTCAGGGCATCACTAGTAAAAGGTTGGGTTCCACTAAATTCCACGATAGAGCAAATGAGGACAACCTGTTCCGTAGATCCACAAGTGGCAGAGGTACTTTTCAGATTAATGTTCCTCACTCTTTATGTTTAAGTAGGAATTAGGAATTAGTATAGGTAATCACATACCAGAGAAGTAATTATTTGCTAAGTTTATTCTCAAAGGAAGCCATGAGAATATCAACTTTCATCTTCCCACTGTGAAAAAGTCTTCAAAATGTGTGCAGTGTTTCAAAGCCTACTTGCAATTAAGGATTTATCCTGCAACAAATAAAAGATAGAATTTTGGGGTTGTTGTAGGTTTTTTCGGGCTATATGGCCATGGTCTAGAGGCATTCTCTCCTGACATTTCATCTGCATCTATGGCAAGCATCCTCAGAGGTAGTGAGGATGCTTGCCATAGATGCAGGCGAAACGTCAGAAGAGAATGCCTCTAGACCATGGCCATATAGCCCGAAAAAACCTACAACAACCCAGTGATTCCGGCCATGAAAGCCTTCGACAATAGATAGAATTTTTCTACACAGAAAATATTTATGTGCAGAACATGTCGTTCCCTGCAAAAAACAATGCTGTATTTGTTTTCATAGTCTATGAAAAATGTGAAAAAATGTGCTGAAAGGGGCATTTCCTCATAGAAAAAAATGTGTGTAAAAATATCATTTTGTGGACAGAAAATGTTGTTTCCTGAGCAGTATAGTAAGTCTGGAACTGTGATTTTTTTTCATCAGCCTAGTATTCTCCTTGTCAACCCTAAAGAAACATATTTGACCACTTTTCTCATATATTTAAAAATATTCTTTCTATCAGATGTTACAGATATGAAAATATTTAAATGTGTTCATGTAATTGCAACTACTCTTATTGGGACAAAAACTCAATTTAGCCCATTAGAAAAATTTTGTTCCACATTTGTTTGCTTTTTTTTGTTTTTTTAAAAAACATATATGGAAACTTTAAAAAAGTAAAAGACGATACGATACATGGAAACATACCTTGTTTTCTGGAATGTGTTATATTCTTGGTGATATTCACTATAGAATTAAGAGATGCCATATATGCAGAAATATCCTGAAAATATTGAAGATGTGGCACATTTTCTTGTAACCTTTTTTAAAAAGAAAAATATATAATTGTAAGTAATGTATATATTGCAAATTAAAATGTAATGCTACAGATTACCTTATGGAAGTCTTACCAGACAATTTGCTGCTGGAGTTTTTTGGGATTCCCAATTAACATTTCCTGGAATTCTGCAGAAACACTTCTGCGGTTAATAGAATTGGTCACTACATGATCACTTAGTCCTAGACGGTGAAGAAGCTTCTTATGATATTCACTTTCATCACACAACTCTACAAAATTAACATCAGGAAGCTGGCAGGTTTGCTGCAATGACTTGATGACCTCAGAGTCACAAAGGAGTGATGTCAAGTTTTGAAGGTGAGGTAACTTTGAACACAGCCAAAAGAAACACAAATTAGTTATTCATATATGGATGATAGTAAGAGTGATAAAGCTGTGGAATCCCTATACACCAACATCTGCACACTAAGAAAGGACTACAGGCCATCACGAACGCTATTATGAATGATGTTATAGTCATCAAACTCTGCCACTTAGTACTTACTCATAACATATGTGTACCTCCAAGTCAGTGACACTGCCATGTGTAACCAACCACATGATACCACAGGATGTAAATCTTTTTCTTGCTGCCCTGGAACAATGCTTCTTCAGAACACACATCCAGAAACATCCTTTACCCTAAAATTTCTTGAGCACATCTTCATTTGTCCACATGAAAATCAAGCAATTAAAAAGTCCTACAAGGATTTCAACATCTTCTGCCTACAAACATCCTCAGCCTGGAACAATTCACACAACAGATTAACTTTCATGACATCACTGTGCAATTATACAATAAACATCTGAACATGAGGAAGAACTTCCTGACTGTGAGAGCCGTTCAGCAGTGGAACTCTCTGCCCCGGAGTGTGGTGGAGGCTCCTTCTTTGGAAGCTTTTAAACAGAGGCTGGATGGCCATCTGTCAGGGGTGATTTGAATGCAATATTCCTGCTTCTTGGCAGGGGGTTGGACTGGATGGCCCAATGAAGTCTCTTCCAACTCTTTGATTCTATGATTCTATGATCTAAGCAACAAACTTTGTCATGCTACCAAATCTGTTGCTTCCAGCCAAGCCTTCTAATACCACATCTGTTCAGACCCACAAGACAGGGTCTCAAAACTCTTGGATTTACAACAGACACTACAATCATCACCTAAGGAGATGAAAAGCAAATCAACAAGGCAAGATTAACATCCAGGAGGCATCTACAATGGGATTGACCAAAAACACAAAACAGCATTCCTAGTGGTCACTTACATTTAAGCACATCATCAATGAGCTACAACTAGTCCTGAGAAATAACTGCCACAAACTCAGATGCCAATGCTGTCCCTATGTCTGCTTAGAGAGCAAGATTTAAGGGGCCAAAAATGTCACCCATAACATTCTCTTGCTTTTCTTCCAATATATAATGTGCCATTTCCTGCCAGTTAAACCACTTTACACTTTATACTGGAGAAACCGGAAAGCACCAAGCAAGAAGATAAATGAACAAAACTTTGCCATTATAAAGCAGTACTAAAAACCAGTTGATGGCCTTCGTTGGCCTTTTCAGTGACCAAGACTGTGGAATGACTTGTCAGAAGAGCTCTGACAGCTAAAGACCTATGTCTTCTGGTAGGCCTACCCAACCAGTTTCTAGGCGACTATGTTAGTATATGAGTCTTTGATTTTAATTAATGTTATTGTTAATTTTTTATGTGTTTGATTTTATGTTGTTGTATTGATATTATGGCATTGAATTGTTGCCCATGTAAGTCGCCCTGAGTCCCCCCTCGGGGATGAGAAGGGCGGGGTAGAAGCGATGTAAATAAATAAATAAATAAGCATAAATTTTAAACTTGTATCCTTTGTTTAATCTGTTTTGTGTATATTAATATGTATTTTATAGAAATATGTTTCAATTTGTATCTTTCATAAAATACATGTTCCTATGGGTATTTGTAGTATTTTTACAATGTGTATATGTTTTAATTATTCTGTAACCCACCTAAAGCCATGAGGAGAGGCGGGTAAGAAACAATATAATAATAATAATAATAATAATTATTATTATTATTATTATTATTATTATTTTACTGACACAAAAACACAGTATGTCACAGAAAATGAGATCTATATGCTGGATTTCGTATCACAAAATCACAAGTCGAACACTTCCCAAGCATCTAGGACTGTGTGATGTGTTGTTGTTGTTGTTATTGTTGTTGTTATATACTAAGGCATTTACAAGTTGTGATCCTCAAACAAGGAAATTACAAAGAAAAACTAGAAAGAGAAACTGTAAAATTTAGTTATATTGACAAATTTAAATCCATTAACAGAGGTATGAACAAAAACAAACTGCACAAATAACAAAATGGACCTTATCAGAGAGAGTTTTGAACCCAGAGAAACCGATTTTTGGTAAGCAGATTTATTGCTTACACACATCAAGACTAATTGACTATCACATTAACACTAACATGAACACGAGCCATAAAGACATGAAAGATTTTTGAAAATTTAAGGCAAGGGACACAATGTACAAAGGGTATTTTTTAAGTAAGGTCCGTTATGTTGTAGACACTAGTAGTTCACGCGCATACCGCAATGAGCACGTGCGTCGTGTACCGGCATGCCTCGGGAACAACTGTGCTCAGTTTCCGCTCTGTAGCTAACCTGTACGGTTCTGTTCTGTGCTTTAAAAATGTTTAAGACTATCAACTCACCCTCCGCATGTGAGGTTCGCTCAGTGATACGGTTTTTGTCAGCAAGGAACCTGCCTGCTGCAGAAATTCATCGACAGATTTGTGAAGTGTACGGTGAAACTGTTATGAGTGAAAGCAAAGTGCGTAAGTGGGTACGACAATTCAAAGATGGCCGTGACAACGTCCATGATGAGGACCGCTCCGGTCGCCCTTCTTTGATTACAGACGATTTGGTGGCTTTTGGTGGCGGCACGTTTTTATGAAGAGGGTATTTTAAAATTGGTTCAGAGGTATGATAAGTGTTTGAACAAACTTGGCAACTATGTCGAAAAATAGAGTGAAGTATGTACTTTCTGAAAATAAATTTACTTTTTTGAAATAAACTTTCGTTGTGTACTTATGTTCAAACGGACCTTACTTTAAAAATACCCCTCGTACACCTTACAATACACCCCACTCCCACAACTGTATCTATATGACTCTGCACTTCATCTGAAGAAGTGAATTTAGATCCCCCCAAATCTCATGCTAAAATTCAAAACCAGTTAGTCTTAAAGGTTCTGTCACATCTCATTTTCCCCCATCCCTCCTTTTTATATGAAAAGCTACTTACTCTTGACATCAAGATTTCTGAAACCATTGAATATTTCTTGTAAGTATCATGAGGGGATAAAAGAACACTTTCTAGCTGTGCTATCTTTAGCATGAGAGCAGAATTTTCTGGAAGAGTAAGAAACAATGAATAATTAACTTATTATTCTATTTCAAGCAATTGTGTTACATTATTACTACCTGTAAGACGGCCTAAGTGTCTATCAATAAAACTCAGATATACCCACAACCCAATTGGAAGTGGAAATGAAGTTGTAGAAGGATCAAGTCTGAGTTTTAAAACAACCAGAAGTGAAGGAATTAAGAATGGATGGATGGAACCTAAAAGCAAAATTGGAAGAGAGATAGATATACACAAACACACACATATACATACATTAAAACAGACAAATACATCTTCAGATATGCAAAATAAATTATTATATAGACTGCAAGCAGGGGCGGCTCAACCCATTACGCAAAGTAAGCATTTGCAGTATAGTTGATTTTGCTCAGGGGCGCTCTTGGGGGAAAATAGACCTTGACATATGTGAGTTGTAGTTACTGGGATGCATAGTTCACCTACAATCAAAGAGCATTCTGAACTCCATCAATGATGGAATTGAACCACATATGGCACACAGAACTCCCACGACAAACAGAAAATATATATCAGTGATTGGTTGGGGGTGTGGGGCACCAAAATACTGTTTGCTTACCATTGAAAATTACCTAGGGCCGCCTCTGACTGCAAGCTAATGTTAGTGCCAGAATCAAATCTGTAGGGAAATTGATCTGTGTGTTCTCAATATGTTGGGCATAGTTATGTAGCATTGCAAGAAATGCAAACTGTGCATGCTCAGAAGTTATTGATCTTTCCCAAGTTTTAGGGGTGAGCCTTTAAGACGGAAAAAAAAACTTTATCTGCTCATTTCTGATTTTTATCAGTTGTCCCGGGGACTTTCCAAAGTCAAAAAGTAAAATGTGAGATTTCTTTTTAAAGAACAAATTAATGGCTAGCTAGTCCTGGGACTCAACTAGACAGAAAAAGCTGTTGATGCATCATTAGCTTATCTCATTATGGCATGTCGTGATAGGGTACATATATCTAAAATGTGAGCTAACCAATTTGTATAACCTAAAATGACGAAACTTGAATTTTTATTTATTTCAATAGATTTCCAACTGGTGAGACCTACCTAGGGATTCTCCAGCACCTTTATTCAACCCCCCCCCCCCCCACACACACAACAACAACAACAACAGGGAATGTGGCGCAGCTGGCTGAGTGTCAGCTGCATTAAGATCACTCTGACCAAAAGGTCATGAGTTCGAAGCCAGCCCGGGTTGGAGTGGGTTTCCAACCAATTGTGTGTAGCCTGTTGTCGACCTTTGCAACCCAAAAGACAGTTGCATCTGTCAAGTAGGAAAATTAGGTACCACCTTAAAGTGTGGGGAGGCTAAATTAACTGATTTATGAGGCCATAAAGAAGACTCCAGCAAAGCATTCCACCGGGGAAGCATGCGGGGAATGCGGAAGTGCTTCATCAGCATCGCAGATGGACGATGAAAGTGACAGCTCCCCTGGCGGCCAGAAAAGTTAAATAGCCTCTGTGTATGTCTGTATATGTTTGTATGTCAAAAATTGGCATTGAATGTTTGCCATATATGTGTACACTGTAATCCGCCCTGAGTCCCCTGCGGGGTGAGAAGGGCGGAATATAAATACTGTAAATAAATAAATAATAAATAACAGCAGCTGTACATTTTGACTTAGATATTTGCTGTGGAATAAGCTGGTGTTATGTGTGTCTGCCAGATACTCATTGGGTGGGGTGCAGGTTTCTGGGGACCGTGGCTTCCTGGCTCTAGTTCAGCAAAATACTTCTGCCACTGAGAATATTTCAACTGCCAACACAAATATTCAGGGGAAAGGTTCAGTAAAAGCAAACAAGGATCCCATTAACAAAATGCACAGTACCTGTCAATTCACTCTCTAGCTTTTCCGTCACATTCATTAGGCAAATCAAATATGATCTGAAGCCATTATTAGGTGACATCTGTATAAACACATTTTCAAACTCTGCAAAGAGAAACCTGAGACAAACAAAAGTGCATGGGGTCAGCTTCTTAATGTGACGCAGCAGACATTACAAACAGCTTTCCAAGGATGTTTTAAACTAAGAAAATTCTGCAGCTACTCAGATTGGAACAACTGTGGCGCAATCATCTTAGATCTAGATATGTAAAGATTCAGGAGAAGAAACTGGCACTCACTCCCTTTTTTTCAGAGTCCTTTTCCCAAAAGAAAATTGAAACATTTTCAGCTTTTCTATGACAAGGAATATTATTTTCCAATACTCCTGGCCATGATAATAGGTACAATTCCCATTAATCCTGGGAACTGGCCATGCTGACTAGGATTTTTGGGAGTCTGAAGTAAACAAGAGCCTAAATTCTGTTTTAATTCCTGACTGGAGCAGACCCATTGAGGCAAGTCACAAATAAACCAAATTATTTCGTTGATCAATAATATATAGTCAGGTGTTATGTGGTTTCTGGGCTGTATGGCCGTGTTCTAGCAGCATTTCTCCTGATGTTTCGCCTGCATCTGTGGCTGGCATCTTCAGATCCTCTGAAGATCTGAAGATACCAGTCACAGATGCAGGTGAAACATCAGGAGAAAATGCTGCTAGAACATGGCCATACATCCCAGAAACCACACAGCACCCCAATGATTCTGGTCGTGAAAGCCTTTGATAATACAATAATATATGGCTTTGTGGTCTGAAATAAATATCATTTTTTTTTTAGAAATAGTTTTTATTGCAGAAGATTTTAATATATACAACATAAAATGGGGCGTGGGGGGGTGCGAAGGGGATAAGAGATGGAAGTGAGGAGGTTGAAAGGAGGGGAGGGAGAAAGGTGTGGGGGAGGGTTGAGATTGGAGGGGGTAGGGGAAGGGGAAAGAAGAAAGAGGGGGGAAGGGGAAGGGGATTGTCCCAGAGTGGATTGACTTCCCATAGTCTTCAAAGGTAAGAGTCTTTTGGTATTGTTTTCTTGTGAAGAAATAATACAGCGTGACTTAAGAAAGTTTAGTGTTTCTCTCAGATGCTGGCTAGGTCAATTGACAGCGTTAGTTTCTTGTTCGTTTCGATGTATTCCTTAAAGCCCGTCCAGTTTGTCTTCTTAGATGAGTTGTTTAAACGTTGTGATAGGCAGTCCATTTGGATTATTTCAAAGGATTTTAAGATCCAATCTTCCGTTGCGGGTATTTCTTTTTTCTTCCATAGCTTGGCTAGCGTTATTCTGGCTGCCGTGCTTAGTAGAAAAAATACTTTGTCCTGGTTGGTATTAAATTTGGCATAGGGGATACCTAAAAGATACAATTCTGGGAGTTGTGGGAAATTAATGTTTAGTATTTTTTGTATAGCTAGGTGTATTCCTCTCCAGTATTTCCTGACTTTTTTGCACGCCCACCATTGGTGGAAGTACGTTCCTGTCTCTTTTTGGCACTTCCAACATTTATTAGATAGGTTTTTACTGAATTTAGAGATTTTCACTGGTGAGTAATGCCATCTAAAAAACATCTTATGCCAGTTTTCTTTGAGATCGCTTGCTACTGTGTACTTTAATTTGGTGTTCCATATTTCCTCCCATTGTCTTGTTAAAATGTTATGGCCGATGTCTTTGGCCCATTTTACTTGGCAATCCTTAATTTGTTCGTCTTCCGTTTCCCAGCCTAGCAGTTGTTTATATACTATTTTAATTAGTTTTTTTCCTTTTTGTAGTATTGTTTCCCAAATTCCTTGTTTCCGGCAGAACCCTATCTTTTCATCTTTTTTAAAATGTTGGAATAATTGGTGGTGCTGTAACCATGTAAATTTGATATGTATTGTCGAAGGCTTTCATGGCCGGAATCACTGGGTTGTTATAGGTTTTTTCGGGCTATATGGCCATGTTCTAGAGGCATTTTTCCTGACGTTTCGCCTGCATCTATGGCAAGCATCCTCAGAGGTAGTGAGGTCTGTTGGAACTAGGAAAAAGGGTTTATATATCTGTGGAATGACCAGGGTGAGACAAAGGACACCTAGCTCCAGAAGACAAGAGTCCTTTGTCCCACTCTGGTCATTCTACAGATACATAAACCCTTTTTCCTAGTTCCAACATACCTCACTACTTCTGAGGATGCTTGCCATAGATGCAGGCGAAACGTCAGGAGAAAATGCCTTTAGAACATGGCCATATAGCCCAAAAAAACCTACAACAACCCAAATATCATTGATGTTTCTCAAACTGTTGCAATTTCTGATAAGGTCAAGAGTATTCGTAAGGTGTCATGTATAACTTTATCTTTAAAGACTAACATTAAAAATAACACAATATTTTAACATGGGGCAATTAGGTACCACAACTGCTGAATTATTATGATTACTGGCCACTAGATATGATCTGCAACTTCCTCAGTACTTATGCAAGCTTATACTATCTGCCCTAGATGCATTCACACATATCCTTCATCCATAACCCTTGGTTGTGGATTCTCTGCCCTCTCTATGTTGAAGTCAGCATTTTTTCTCCAAATAAGAATTATATTATGTTATTTATTATTATTATTATTATTATTATTATTATTATTATTAATAATAATAATAATAATAATAATGCTTTATTTATATACCGCTCCATCTCCCCGAGGGGACTCAGAGCGGTTCCCAGGTAACATCACAAAACATACAAAGTAAAAAAACATTAACAAAACAAAATAGAAGCATAAAAATTGTCACCATAACACACATATATTAAAAGTAATCCTGCCTGCTCAAGGCAATTTAAAAATTTAAAAGGCCGGGCCAAGATTTGTGCAAGTCCCAAAATTCTAGGGGGCCCGGGAATTAAGTGCAATGCTATGGCAGGCAACAATAACATTAGGTACGGGTCTGTGGCTGTTCATTCCAGAGCCGATTAGAGGAAACAATCTGGGAAATTGGTAGGAAGAATAAGATCGTATTCGACAATGTGCAGGGCTGAGTTAGAACTGGTCGTTTTCAAAGGCTCTTACGAAAGGAGGGGAGAGATGGGGCATGTCTTCTTTCCCTTGGAAGGGCGTTCCAGAGGCGGGGGCCACCACTGAGAAGGCCCTCTCTCTCGTCCCCACCAACCGTTTATTCCCCAAGGTTTTAGGATTGTAGAGATATTAAAAACCACTCACATCTAGCACTTTGATATGATTCATTTCTTTTTTTCTGTATATCTAAACGCTCAATTAAAGTTTTAAGTTGATGCAACTTTACACATTTGGGGATTGAAAGGTAATTTTATTTAGGAGGTGCAGAATTCTTATTTAGGGCATTGTAATCCTTTTGTCTCCCACCCACTTACACACATAACTATACCTCTTATTTATTTATTTATTTATTTATTTATTTATTTATTTCTCGCACTTCTACCCCGCCCTTCTCAACCCCCGAGGGGGGACTCAGGGCGGCTTTCATAAAGGCACAATTCGATGCCAGCACAACAACAAGATAAAACAACTTCAACATATAAACAGTAATTAACCAATTAAACAATTAAAACAATTAAACAGTCCATTATATATCACAATCCCTAAAAATAATCTAGTGCTCAACGTTTATCAGCTCAGAGTCCGTAAATTCAAAATCCACATTGTCCAATCCAACAATTCTAGTCTTGCTTGTGCCTTATCTATCCGCCAGATTATCCGAAGGCCTGGTCCCAAATCCATGTTTTTAATTTCCTTCTAAAGGAGAGGAGGGATGTCGATGACCTAATTTCCCCGGGGAGTGAGTTCCACAGGTGAGGGGCCACCACTGAGAAGGCCCTGCTCCTCGTCCCCACCAATCTCACTTGTGATAGAGGTGGGGCCGAGAGCAGGCCCTCCCCAGAAGATCTTAAACTCCGAGGCGGGACGTAGAAGGAGATGCGTTTGGACAGATACGCTGGGCCGGAACCGTATAGGGTTTTGTAGGTCAAAACCAGCACTTTGAATTGTGCTCGGAACTGGATCGGCAGCCAGTGGAGCTGACATAACAGAGGGGTGGTATGCTCTCTGTATGATGCTCCGGTGAGTAATCTAGCTGCCGCCCATTTGACTAGTTGAAGTTTCCGAACAGTCTTCAAAGGCAACCCCACGTAGAGTGCGTTGCAGTAATCTATTCAGGATGTAATCTATTCGGTAAGGTCGCTGTCCCCATGCTGATTCCTGAAAGGGGGGAAACTATAGTTTAATGGCCCATGATAAAATGGCCCACCCCCTTCTGAGAGCCTGGTAGGAGACTTTTTAAAAATCACATGTTGCACTTTTAGTGCTTGCCCCTACCTTTTCTGTAATAAATACAACCATAGTATGAGGCAATGAAAAAATCCTAATAATTATGCTATTCATTGCCCTGCTACCTAATAGATGTATCTGCATCAAGTTACATGCTGCAGCTTTTAGTAAGTTGCCCCTTGTTGCTATATCAAAACTCGCTTTTAAACATATTTTATTGCCTCTATACATTTTCCATTCTTTCTTTCTTCTTCTTCTTCTTATTATTATTATTAACTTTATTTATACCCCGCTAACATCTCCCAAAGGACTCGGTGTGGTTTACAAAGGCCAAGGCCCACAATAAAACAACAGCATCTTATGCAACTGAGGACTCACTGTGCAATCCAATTGCTTGGGGGCGGTGCCTGTCTACGTTGATTCATAAGCAGCATCTTGTTCAAAAATGTTTCCACCATCACGACAAAAGGATGTGTAATATGATCAAATCCATATTCCACATTGTTTTGATTTGAAAGAAAATGTTGATCCAGGCCTCTTTTTAGCTCCTTCAGCAAATCCAAAAGTATGCCTTTTTGAAGCATATAAACACTGCTGGCAAGTCCGTCTGGAGTTGACATGTTTTGACCCAGGACCCTTTCCACCAATTTCAGTCCAAACTGTGTGTACTCCTTTTCTGTCAGGTTCCACTGAGATACCCGGCTCCAGATTTGTGAAAGGTTACTCCACCCAGCTTCATTCATAGAAGGATTTAGATGTTCATTTCGCAGTAGACTAAAGTAGTCTGACCAATGTTTGTAATCTGTTAATTTACCAGTAAAATTTTGCCAGTTCAATTCAGCTTCACTGGTTAAAAAAGGATGGGCAGTTTTTAAAAGATTATACTTAAGTACATTATCTATACCACCAAGGACTGGAGTTGGGCAAGTTGCGTTGCTTGGAGGCAGCTCTTTTGAGATTACTGTTAGTGTTTCATAACTCTTCTGTATCCAAGGATGTTTAAAATTGAAGAGATTGTCCATTTGGGAAAGGAAGGCTGAAGAAAACTGCAGTGATTTGATAATGCACAACAATGCACTTGAAAAATGTTCATTATTGTTTCTGTAAAGACTTGCTAATTCTGGCATCTGCTCTACGTTACTTATCGAGAGCTGAAACAATTCAGGGAATGTTTGATTGGACATTGTTTGGTTTTCAAAATCCATGGACGTAAAAAGTAGCTCACAGCGGCTTTGTGGTAAGGACTCTTGAAGGGCACCATTTTTGAACAACCTTTTGAGTATCGTGTCAATTAGCTCTTGGGCAGTGCAGTTCTCAGCACTTCCTTCTCTATGGTTCCTAATATCTAAGAAAAGATTCAATGATAAATGCAAAATTTCTGCTATCTGGCTTTCTACCAAACTACTATGGCCTAACAAAGATTCAAACTCCTTTGGAAACAAAAAGTGTGAAAAATTGTTCAAGGCAGCCATTTTGCCCGTATCTGTCTCTTCTGCCAATTTTCTGTCAGAAAGTATCACTGTCCCTCGCCTCAATATGTCATTCATTCTCTGGATGGTTTTATTACTATCATTAGGCAAGGAAAAAAATGCTTCGAATTGGCTGATGTTAAATTGATGTTCAACACTTTTCTGATCTAATAGGCTTCTAAGGATGGTGTTAATTGTATCTGACATGTTACTTTGTGGGTGTTCATACTTTTTGAGAGCATGAGATAAAATTCTAGTAAACCTTTCCAGTTCTAGATTGAAAAGAAGACGAGAATCAATCTCATGTAAAGATAAATATTTGTGTAATGTATTTAAAATGTGTGTGTAGGTATCTATGCTTCTGTTATCTGCCTTAAGAAATCTTAGCTGTTCACGAATGGCAGTTGATATGTGCTCCCATGACTTGTTTGTAGCATTTCGAATTATTTGCATTATTTTTACAACATGTGGGGTCAAAGGATAGTGATCAGTCATATTCTTAATTGTTTCACTATAATAATCATTCTGAAGTGCTGAGAGCTTTTCCAAAATGTCTCCGGTAGTTATATTCTTAATTGCTTCACTATAATAGTAATTCTGAAGCGGCGAGAGATTTTTCAAAATGTCTTCAGGATTCACCAAAAAATGTAAAAACTGCATTGGGGTTTCCTGTGTTGCATTAAAATCCCATTGCATGCTCTCAGGAAAGAGTGGAGTTGCAAAAGACATCACTTTTTGGATTGTTTCCCAAAGTGTTGCTAATTTAATATTGGTGTCGTTCAAAAACAACATGTCTCCGGTAGTTATATTCTTAATTGCTTCGCTATAATAGTAATTCTGAAGCGCCGAGAGATTTTTCAAAATGTTTTCAGTAGTTACAGGATTCATCAAAAGATGTAAAAACTGCATTGGGGTTTCCTGTGTTGCATTAAAATCCCGTTGCATGCTCTCAGGAAAGAGTGGAGTTGCAAAAGACATCACTTTTTGGATTGTTTCCCAAAGTGTTGCTAATTTAATATCGGTGTCGTTCAAAAACAACATTGTCTTTATCGCCTCTGCGACCTTCAGTGCCTCTTTGGTTTCTTCCCAGTAAGGATTCATGTCGAGGCGGCTTTCAGCAAGGACATCAATTGGTAGTGAAAAAATATTTAAAATATTTCCAAGATAAGTTTTGTAATCAATGTCAGAAGTTGTGTTCAAGGGTAATTTGAATAAACCGAGTGCCTTTTTCACATTGGAAGCTTTCATTCCCCAACTTAAAGTTTCAAGAAACTCCAAGTTTTTAGTTTCATTGGGAGCCAATCCTGTCACAAGAAGAATTAGGGCCTTTCTGGTCTTTTCTAGTAATTGAACATACTGCTCTGTATTTGTCACATTCTGACTAGACCTCAACACTGTTGCAACTTCACTGAAGGCCTTGGAAAAATTCTTACCAGCATTTTTGCTCATTTCTAACAGCTTTGATACAGTGGCATTCTTACGGGGCTCCCTGTACAGTGAAATAAAAGATGCAAGTGCATGATTCCAGACTGATGGATTGCCAGAGACATTTGGTGCATACGTTTCATTCCGCATAAAATGGCTCAAAATGTGTAAAGCAGGAGATACATTTCTAACATCCATACTGCCAAACAATGGTACTTGGCAGGTCTCATTACTTTGGGACAGCTCATTAGAGATGGCTATTAGGCTTTTATGCATCTTTTGTATCCAGGGATTCTTGTAGTTATAGGCATTGTTCAGTTTGGAGAGAAATCCCGATGAAAGTTTCAACAATTTCACAAGACACTGAAATGCATTGGGAAAGTATTTCTTTTTGGTTTTAAGATGTGTATCCGAAGCTAGCAGATCTTTTACATTTCTCAGTGCAGGCTCAAATAATTCAGCAAATGTATGATGGTGGGTGGTTTTGTTTTCAGAGTCCATGGAAATAAAAAGGAGATCGCAGCTGCTGCTTCTTAAGGCCTCCTTGAGTGTGGCATTATTTAACAACACTTCAACTGTGATGAGATGGAAGTCTTTCACGGTGCAGTTTGCCAGCTTTTCCTTATACTGAAAGTCTTCCCTTAGAAAAGGGCTCAGTGTTAAATACAAAAGTTCCAACACATTTGCCTCCACTGAAGAATTCTGCCACTGTGGGGCTCCATATAACTCATGCAAAAGCAAAATGTGTGAAAAACGGAGAAGGGTATCCATTTTTTTAATACCAGATGCTCCTGTCAGCCTGGGATCCGAAAGTATATCTACACCTTCTTTGAATATTTGAAATAATCCTTGGATAGTTTCATTATCTACTTGCATTAGTGGATTAACATTCATGTACTTTTCCTCCAAGTCCTCTAACACATGTAAAGTTTTCAGAATGGCATCTAAAGCCATTGTAACATTGGACCCTTCAACACCATGCTCTTCCAGTAAGTGGTTGACATACTGAATCAGATGCTCAAGTTCCCCTTTCAAAGGTCGGTCTGAGCTATTGTGGGGAACATGCAGGTTGTGGTGCAAAATACCTAAAACCTGCCCATAAACAATGATGTCTGTGTCACTCCATTTTTCAGACCTCAGTTTTTCACCAATACGCCAATAAGTATTGAACTCCTTCCACAAAGGTTCACCAAGGAAATGTTGGATTTTCTGCATCATTCCAGTCATGATAGACATCAGTAGATAATTATGACTTGTGTTTACATTTGCAATGATATCAACGATTTCTTGAAGTGTCAGGAGTTTTTCGGGAATGTTCTCCATTGTTGTAGGTCTAAGCAGAGAATTTGCAAACAAAGACGGCACATCTTGAAGAGATGTTAAGTATCTTTCAAGCTTTTCAGAGGTGTAAGGGAAGTTGTGAGAAGCTAGCATTCGAATGGTTTGCCATGCATTTGTTTCCTTCAAGTTAGTTTCATTTGAAAACAACCGTTTCCAGCTGCTTGTGACAAAGTTGTGGATTTCTTGAACTTTTTGAACATTGGTCATTTTGTTAAATAAGGGCAACACTTTGAAGCCATTCTGAAGCAGAAGAGATGTCATATTGTGGAGTTTTTTGATATTATGTTTATTTAATAGCTCCTTGAAAGAATTATCTCTGCCATCTTCCATTTGCCACTGCAGGATCTCAGCCCATCTTGGTATCAAGCTGTTCTTTTCTTGTCTGAAGAGCCCTAAGTTTTTCAGATCAGCAGTACTAATTTTCTCTTGCATATTTTTGAGAAGTTGCAAAGTCATGTTCATCCTTTTTGAGAATTCTTTTGAAATATGATCTGCTTCAAGAGCCCAGTCTTCACTCATGAAATCAGCAGGCAATATTTTTCTAAGTAAAGAAAATGTAGAAATACAGCAAGTTAGAAATTAAAACAACAATATCTAGAGGAAAAGTGATATCAATCTATGCAGCAAAACCAACAGGTTTTGGACATCTTACTTATGAATACAGTTATTATGGTGCAAGGCAGAAGTGGGAGAACTATGGGTTGTAATGAATCCCTTACCTTAGCTGGCTGGCTGAAGCCTAAGGGAGTGGGCCTGGTGAAGCCACGGCATCCATTTTAGAAAAGGGAGCCGGTGGAAACCATTTTAGTTAGGTTTTCTTTGAGGGGGCATGTTCAAATCTTGGAGGGAAAATAAGGAGGCTAGGATTGGCTAGAAAGATGGGGTCTAGAGAAAAAATAGTGTCCTTTTAAAATAGAGGCTTGAAGTCCCAGTTAGTCAGTTGGAGTTTGGGTGTTAGAGAAAGTGGAAGAGTTGGTGTTAGTCAGAGCGAGTTTGGGTTTAGAGAAGAAGATTGAGTTAGTCTTTTGTGAGGTATTCAGAGTAACTATTAGCAGATAGCTGGAACACCTCAGCAAGCGAGAGTCCAAAAGTGGCAGGCTCAAACCCAGAACCTCAACCAATGGTTGATACCAGATGAGAGACTCCCCCCTGGGCACACAGAAGACTGGGCGACTTGGAAGGCGCTGAACAGACTGCGCTCTGGCACCACGAGATGCAGAGCCAACCTTCAGAAATGGGGCTACAAAGTGGAATCCACGACATACGAGTGTGGAGAAGAGCAAACCACTGACCACCTGCTGCAATGCAACCTGAGCCCTGCTACATGCACAATGGAGGACCTTCTTGCAGCAACACCAGAAGCACTCCAAGTGGCCAGATACTGGTCAAAGGACATTTAATCAACTACCAAACTCACACATTTTGTATTTTGTCTGTTTGTTTGTTTGTTTGCTTTGTTCTGTTAGAAATGTAATATAATTTGACTGGTTGTCCTGACACGACAAATAAATAAAAGCAGATAGCTAGAATACTGTGGTGAAGCAGGGCCCAGTTAGTGGACTGTTCAATTCTAGGGAAATCTAGTTCAGGGTATTTTTGGCTAGATTCCTACCAGCCTCAGGGTAGGTACCTTTGTGGTCAAAGTATTTCTAAAGTCAGCCTCACAGCAGCCACTAAGAAACTATAGTGGCACAGTGTTACAGAACAAACTCACAATATTACCTCAGCCTCAGCCGGGGGGGGGGGGGGCTTGAGGGGCTTCAGCCCCCCCCCCCGAAATTCTCATGGTGGTTCGCAAAAGGCCTTACTGGTGCATTATTTAAACTGTTATGTTTATTCATATCATGATCTGATCACCATACTCAATATATCCCATATGCATGGGGGTATTGGGGTAAATACAAAAGGTTTGCTAGGGTAGACCCTCTTTCCACCCCCCCCCCCCCCCCCCCGAATCAAAATCCTGGCTATGGGCCTGCTCAGCCTGATTAATACTGGAATGTTGGCAGCGGAATTCATTTGAAGAAGCATTTTGAGCCTCTCAGTTCTAGTGTTTCCCAGTTCCTTTTGACGGCTTAGGGATTTTGCCTGGGATTAGGTTGACTTAATCCCAGGCAAAAAAAAAAATATCTTGTACCAAGTGTTTAAAAATATTGGCTTGTCTATTAGATATTACGAGGGGTATTTTTTTAAGTAAGGTCCGTTTTGTTGTAGACACTAGTAGTTCGCGCGCATACCGCAACGAGCGCGTGCGTCGTGTACCGGCATGCCTCGGGAACAACTGTGCTCAGTTTCCGCTCTGTAGCTAACCTGTACGGTTCTGTTCTGTGCTTTAAAAATGTTTAAGACTATCAACTCACCCTCCGCATGTGAGGTTCGTTCAGTGATACGGTTTTTGTCAGCAAGGAACCTGCCTGCTGCAGAAATTCATCGACAGATTTGTGAAGTGTACGGTGATACTGTTATGAGTGAAAGAAAAGTGCGTAAGTGGGTACGACAATTCAAAGATGGCCGTGACAACGTCCATGATGAGGACTGCTCTGGTCGCACTTCTTTGATTACAGTGAACTCTTGGTTATCGGAGCAGGTGGCAAGTTTTTATGAAGAGGATATTTTAAAATTGGTTCAGAGGTATGATAAGTGTTTGAACAAACTTGGCAACTATGTCGAAAAATAGAGTGAAGTATGTACTTTCTAAAAATAAATTTACTTTTTTGAAATAAACTTTCGTTGTGTACTTATGTTCAAACGGACCTTACTTAAAAAATACCCCTCGTATATTGAAGTATGTGTTAATGGCTAAATTGCTAAATTATGGTGCAATTTATAATGAACACATGTCCTGCTCTTAGTTTTCTCTGTGCAGATGGCAAGGAAAAAAATCATCTTCTGTTTTCAGTTTCGACTGGTCACAGTTTGCTATTAAGTCAAAACTGTGGTCAGTTTCAGCCATGATTTATGGAAACAAGTGTAATTTAAACCCAGTTTACTTTCCAACCATTGTTCCAGATTTGCAAATAACAACAAGCCATAGTTAATTGGAAATAAAAATGTGCATTGCTCATCTCTTACTAACAGTTGGGAATGAATGAATGGGTCCAGAGCTCATGCATAAAACATAATATTATGTTAAGCTGAGTCATGGACTTATTATAGGATGAAAACTCATGCATGTTTATCTGGGAGTGAGATCTACTGGCGCCATGCAGCTTATCACTGAGGAAATTCTACCGTTAATGTTGTATCAATGATGTGCAAACACTGCACTACTAATGCATGCACACTTCACTTGATGTTACAATGCACAGGTTTGTACAGAGATCTGTTTAACAAAACAATACAACAAATGAGCACTCAGATGATCTGGAAAACAATACTATATTTTCTACAGCCTCATCTACACTGTCCATTTCATGTAGTCCAAAGCTGTGACTGCCAGAAAACAAACTCCCACAAAAGTGCATGAAAGAAAGCCCTTAACCAGTGCTTTGTGGTTTATGTCATCACTATCTGGGCCTCAAACTGGTTCCAGGATTTCCTATGTACATAGTGAAATAACTTTCTTCAATACCTGTTTGAAACTGCATTAAATGGTCAGTGTAGATGGGACCTAACTTTTCCTTTTATCTCTCCTTCCCTCCATTGTATAATAGGTTTCCACATTAGAAGAGCCCAATTTTTCACCCGATACAGCAATATTATTTAAAATGGTGGCTGACTGTTTATGCAAAATTTCCAGAGAAGAAAGACACAGTGTAGCTAATATAATGCAAATATTGTGCTGATTCCTGAAACACCGTGGGAAAATTGTACTGCCTTCCAACATAAGCGTTTCTTAAACACTGTATTGTTGAAGGCTTTCATGGCTGGAATCACTGGGTTGTTGTAGGTTTTTTCAGGCTATATAGCCATGTTCTAGAGGCATTTTCTCCTGATGTTTTGCCTGTATCTATGGCAAGCAACCTCAGAGGTAGTGAGGTCTGTTGGAACTAGGAAAATGGGTTTATATATCTGTGGAATGACCAGGATGGGACAAAGGACTCTTGTCTGTTGGAGGCAGGTGTGAATGTTTCAACTGACCACCTTGAATAGCATTTGATGGCCTGGCAGTTGTTTGGTGTGGCTTGTTGGTGCCTGGGGCAATCTTTTGTTGGGAAGTGATTAGATGTCCCTGATTGTTCCCTCTCTGTTGTTTTGCTGTTGTAATTTTAGAGTTTTTTTAATACTGGTAGCCAGATTTTGTTCATTTTCATGGTTTCCTCCTTTCTGTTGAAGTTGTCCACATGCTTGTGGATTTCAATGGCTTCTCTGTGTAGCCTGACATGGTGGTTGTGAGAGTGGTCCAGCATTTCTGTGTCCTCAAATAATATGCTGTGTCCAGGTTGCTCTATGGCTGACTTCTCTGGTTGAATTACAACCGCAAAATTACAACAGTAAAACAACAGAGAGGAAACAATTAGGTACATCTAATCACCTCTCAACAAAAGATTGCCCCAGGGCTATTTAAAGGCAAAATGGCATTTGCTCCTTCTCCCCCTCCTTCCTCCATCAGCCCTGATTGGCTGAGAGGCATGCCAACATTTTGGCTTCACATCTCAGCAGGACTTGGTTGTCCTGTGAATTTCTTGCTGCATCACAGGCAGATCCAAAAAGAAAACAAAACTTTAGAATCAAAGCAAGGAAAAGGTTCAAATTCTAAAATGTATGTGTGCACTACACATGCACGTCATAAGTCAGAAACATCCAAAAAACTTATGACTTCCGATGACTTCTGGAACAAACACACATGCGTCGCCTCCCCCCCCCCCCCACACACACACACCAGTATGATGTGTTTCTCCATTTCTTCCCAATGCTTTATTTCCCTTACAATATCCACTGCCCATTTGAGAACTATGGATGAAATCAAAACTTTTCAAGGTTGAAACTATGAAGCAGCACACTTTCATTTCACACTTCCCTTTACAATAGTCAAAGCAACCCATCATCATCGTCAACAAAATGCCAGACACATTGTTTATAACAACAGTGCAAAGCTTTCCTTTTCTTTTACCTGCTTGTGTTCTGAAGAGCAGCAACCATGTCCTTCACACTGATGACACCTTGTGTAATATCTGGGGCCAAGAGAAGTGTGCTCCACAGAGATGTTTCATTCTGCACTTGCGAGACGAGTGATAAGAACGAAATTGTTTCCTTGACAAAAGCTACCTGGTACTGAGGATCATTCTGTAACTAAAAAAACGAAAGGGAAGACAGAACCATTGAAAAGAACATTATACTTGTGTGTATGCAAGAGAGAATAAGAAGCAGATTTAGACATTTCTCATGTACTGCTAAAAGTTATGTAATGAAGGAATGTTTTTTTTCCATTTTTGCTTTTTATTCTTCTCTATATTTCTATTATGGTTTCCTATCTCTAGAATTTCAGTCTTACTTAACATCTATGTGATGCTGATGCTCCGTTCCTTTATGTAACACTTTTACAAAATAATTTCACTATGGATGGAGTCACCCAATGAAACACATCATGGTGTTATTGTTCATTCGTTCAGTCGCTTCCGACTCTTCGTGACCTCATGGACCAGCCCACGCCAGAGCTCCCTGTCGGCCGTCACCACCCCCAGCTCCTTCAAGGTCAATCCAGTCACTTCAAGGATGCCATCCATCCATCTTGCCCTTGGTCAGCCACTCTTCCTTTTTCCTTCCATTTTCCCCAGCATCATTGTCATCTCTAAGCTTTCCTTTCTTCTCATGATGTGGCCAAAGTACATCATCTTGGCTTCTAATATCCTTCCCTCCAATGAGCAATCGGGCTTTACTTCCTGAAGTATGGACTGGTTGGATCTTTTCGCTGTCCAAGACACTCTCAGAACTTTCCTCCAGCACCACAGTTCAAAAGCATCTATCTTCCTTCACTCTGCCTTCCCTATGGTCCAGTTCTCACATCCGTAGGTGACTACGGGGAATACCATTGCTTTTACTATGTGGATCTTTGTTGCCAGTGTGATGTCTCTACTCTTCACTATTTTATCGAGATTGGTCATTGCTCTCCTCCCAAGAAGTAAACGTCTCCTGATTTCCTGGCCACAATCTGCATCTGCAGTAATCTTTGCACCTAGAAATACAAAGTCTGTCACGGCCTCCACATTTTCTCCCTCTATTTGCCAATTATCAATCATTCTTGTTGCCATAAGCTGTAGAGAAAGAGGGAGGGAAGGAAAGAGAAGGAAGAGAGAAAGAAAAAGGGGGAAGGAAGGAAAGAGATAGAGAAGGAAGGAAGAAGAGAAGGAAAGATGGGAAGGAAGGAAGGACACAGGGAATGAAGGAAGGAGGGAAAGAGGGAAGGCTGACCACAGCAACACGTGGCGGTTACAGCTAGTCAATAATAATAATAATAATAATAATAATAATAATAATAATAATAACAACAACTTTATTCTTATATCCCACCACCATCTCCCTGAAGGGATCCGGGGTTGCTTACAAGCCCAATATAAACAAGGTTGCAAAGTAACCCAATTAAAAACATATAACAATCAACTATATTAAAACAATAAAACCAATACAATCTAAGACATCACAAAACATAACCAAACAACAAACAACCAATGACCTAGAAAAGTGGGCATGTGCAGATTTGAGACTAATAGGACAGGGCTAGTGCAACATAAACTGTCACAGGTCCGCAGTTTGGGGGTTCTCCTGGATTCTTCACTTACATTTGAGGCTCAGGCGTTGGTGGTGGCCGGGAGGGCCTTTGCACAATTGAGACTCATGCGCCAACTGCGACCATACCTTGGGAAGGCGGATCTGGCCAAGGTGGTCCACGCCTTAGTCACCTCTAGACTGGATTACTGCAATGCACTCTACGTGGGGCTGCCCTTGAAAACGGCCCGGAAATTTCAGATGATCCAACGGGCGGCAGCCAGGTTGTTAACTAGGGCTCCTTACAGGGAGCGGTCATCCCTCCTGTTCAAAGAGCTCCACTGGCTGCCATTCATTTACCAGACCCAATTCAAGGTGCAGGTTCTTACCTACAAAGCCCTAAATGGTTTGGGACCCGCCTACCTGCGTGACCGCATCTCCGTATATGAACCCACACAATCTCTTCATTCATCTGGAGAGGCCCTGCTCTCGATCCCGCCAGAATCGCAGGCGCGATTGGTGGGGACGAGAGAGAGAGGGCCTTTTCGGTGGTGGCCCCTCGACTCTGTAACTCACTCCCTAAGGACATCAGGCAGGCCCCAACCCTGGCAGTTTTCAGGAGGAGCTTGAAGACGTGGTTGTTCCAGTGTGCCTTCCCAGATTAACGATACCATAGCACTTTGCCCCTCTAAAGCACTTTACATTTTTTAGGTCTGCTAATTTGTCTCTCCACAAACACCACTATTACTTGTTCGTCCATGTTCAGCATTATTTCCAATTTTAATTTTACATTTGGCCTTCCCATAGTTTTAATTGTATCCTGTCTTATTGATAATGTTATATGTTTATGTTTTATTTTAATTGCTTGTATTGTTGTGATTATTGCTTGTATTGATGTGTTTGGGCTCGGCCTCATGTAAGCCGCACCGAGTCCCTTGGGGAGATGGTAGCGGGGTACAAATAAAGTGTTATTATTATTTATTTATTATTATTATTATTATTAATAACAACAATGTATTGTCGAAGGCTTTCATGGCTGGAATCACTAGGTTCTTGTGGGTTTTTTTGGGCTATAGGGCCATGTTCTAGAGGCATTTCTCCTCTAGAGAAATGCCTCTAGAACATGGCCCTATAGCCCAAAAAAACCCACAAGAACCTAATAATAATAACAACCTTTATTTATAACCCGCCACCATCTCTCCGAAGGGGACTCGGGGCAGCTAACATGAGGCCGAGCCCAAAAATAATACAGCATAATCAGACACAAAACAACAGAAAAATTACATCATGACAAAATACATAAAATGACAAAATAAAATGTTGTTGTTCATTCGTTCAGTCGTCTCCGACTCTTCGTGACCTCATGGACCAGCCCACGTCAGAGCTCCCTGTCGGCCGTCACCACCCCCAGCTCCTTCAAGGTCAGTCCAGTCACTTCAAGGATGCCATCCATCCATCTTGCCCTTGGTCGCCCCCTCTTCCTTTTTCCTTCCACTTTCCCCAGCATAATTGTCTTCTCTAGGCTTTCCTGTCTCCTCATGATGTGGCCAAAGTACTTCAACTTTGTCTCTAGTATCCTTCCCTCCAGTGAGCAGCCGGGCTTTATTTCCTGGAGGATGGACTGGTTGGATCTTCTCGCAGTCCAAGGCACTCTCAGAACTTTCCTCCAACACCACAGTTCAAAAGCATCTATCTTCCTTCGCTCAGCCTTCCCTAAGGTCCAGCTCTCGCATCCGTAGGTGACTACAGGGAATACCATGGCTTTGACTAGGCGGATCTTTGTTGCCAGTCAAAATAAAATAAGCAGTGCAAAATAACATAATAAACGAAGGACTAAGATTTATAGCTGAACAAATCCTGCAAATATTGCCTGTCTTCAGCCTTGACCATGAAGAGGTTGGCCTTGCCTGTTTCACATCTGTGAGATCAATAGCTCTCTTTCATCTTGCTATGCTTTTCACTTTGTGCTATGGGAGTTCTTGGAGCATAAAGCAAAGCAACATCTCTCTGAAGAGTGATGCCAGCTGAATGGTGACAATGCAAAGCCAGTTGAATGGAGAACTGCAGAGAAGGGAACCTAACCAGCTTGGTTAGGGTCATTGCTTAGCAACCTTTGTCTCTGCTACAGAAATATGAAGAGAGAGGGGAAAAGAAGGCTAGATACTCACTTTAGACATTTGATATCTGAATTCCTGAAAAAACGACTCCACAAGAGACATATTGTTGAAGCAAAATGTCTGATAGATGTTTCTTCCAAAGACTTCCCAAAGGAGACACTGAGCAGGTACATTTGTTGTCATAGCTTCACAGATCTCTGCTTTAAGCTCTGCTACAGATGATTTTTGCTTCTATAAAAGATGTGTTGTGCAATAGTTGAACAGGTATTATTAATATTATCTCAAATACTTTGAGCAAAAAAAAAAAAAAGCCACCACCCTTGATGTAAAACAATGATGGGAATCATACAACCTTAGAGTGAGATTTGGAAGGTCTGTGTAGCTTTATTGTGTAGTAGTCTATACGCTCTGGTTACATCCCGTATAGACTACTGCAACGCTCTCTACGTGGGGTTGCCTCTGAAGACTGCTCGGAAGCTTCAAATGGTCCAACAATCGGCAGCCAGGATGCTAACAGGAGCGGCTCTCAGGGAGCATACCACTCATCTGTTGCACCAGCTCCACTGGCTGCCAATTTGCTACCGGGCACAATTCAAAGTGCTGGCTTTAGCCTTTAAAGCCCTAAACGGTTCTGGCCCGACCTATCTGTCCGAACGCATCTCCTCCTATGAACCAGTTAGGACATTAAGATCGTCTGGGGAGGCCCTGCTCTTGGTCCCGCCGGCTTCTCAAGCACGCCTGGCGGGGACGAGAGACAGGGCCTTCTCAGTAGTGGCCCCCCGGCTGTGGAACGCCCTTCCCACAGAAATTAGATCGGCCCCCTCCTTATTGGCATTCAGGAAGAGAGTGAAGACCTGGCTCTTCGATCAGGCTTTCAACTAAGCAGCACAATTGATTGATTACTGGAATATGGATTAATGGACAAGATCGGATGCTGATTTTATTGATGAGACGTGATGGATTGTTGTTTTCTGTACTGCTGTATTGATGTTGATGTTAATTGATTGATATTACTGTTTTAAATTATTATGATTTTGTACTGTATTGCTGATACTGGTTGTTAACCGCTCTGAGTCGCCAAATGGCTGAGAAGAGCGGTATACAAGTAAAGTAAATAATAAATAAATAAATAAATAAATATTTTGGCTAGGAGCCCCCGGTGGCGTTGTGGGTTAAACCCCTGTGCCGGCACAACTGAAGACCGACAGGTCGCAAGTTCGAATCCGGGGAGAGGCGGATGAGCTCGCTCTATCAGCTCCAGCTCCTCATACAGGGACATGAGAGAAGTTTCCCACAAGGATGATAAAAACATCAAATCATCCGGGCATCCCCTGGGCAACGTCCTTGCAGACGGCCAATTCTCTCACACCAGAAGCGACTTGCAGTTTCTCAAGTTGCTCTTGACACGACAAAAAAAAATTGCCATGGCTCAATACTATGGAATTCTGGGATTTGTAGTTTGGTGAGCACTTTTTGGCTTGTAAAACTACAAAGTTTGCAAAATAACAACCCCCATGAATCCACAGCATTGAGCCATAGCAGTTAAATTGGTGCCAAACTGCATTAATTTTACATTATAGATGCACTCTAAGATAATTTAATTTCCATCCTTGCAAGACCAGTGTGACACAGGTATGCTCTGCTGTTTCTATGCTGTGGAACATTAGCACATACTCAAAATCGAATCACATCAAATTTGGATGTACTTCCATTGCTGAAATCTCTGTCTGTACAAGACTTCCATGGAATTATCAGGAATAAGATCTGTCACTTATTCATGCAAAAAGATTGCACTGGGAAACTAGAATCACGACTGCGCTTTTTTCATCAAACAAAGCACAAAGTAACATTAGCTTGAAGTGCTGCATTTTGAAAACAATCTCATTAAAATGAATATATAGAGATTTACCTCTGCCAGACTGAGAATCTTGTTGAGGAGATGAATTCTGGCTGATAATGACTTATTTTTGTCATGGCCTTCCAAATCAAATGTTGAATTAATCGACTCTGCAGTGATTTAAAAAAACCAAAATGACACATGCAAATGTTTCCAAATGTTAGAATATGGTGATTCTGTCAAAGCATGTCACTCTTGTGACTCTTTTTCTCTAAACATTGCAGAAAAGAGCAGAATGTTTTGCAAATACTAGTTTAAAGGTCTGCCAGAACTCCCAAATGCCAATCTAAAGTGTCATGCATCACTCTTCCACCAGAGCCAATTGGCAGACCTTTAAACCAGACCTTTAAACCAGACTGGCCTAGACTTTTATCTTATCTACCCCATAAACCAATTATAAGAGAGAGGCTGTGTTCCTAAACATAGATAAAAGTACTGGAGGATCAAGTCCAATTTCCTACTAATTTCCTGAAATTATTACTTTTTGAAATATGCAACTAGTACTTACTTAACCTAAGCCTCCCCAATAGGAGATTACAACAATGATAGTGGTTACAGCACGTTTGTGCAAGATATAACTATTTACCATAAAATAATATTACATTTTCATAATCATCACTCATGACTATTTTACAGACAAATTATTCTAATTTTTAAAAGAATCAAAAAGAGACACAGAGGTGGCACAAGCCAACAAAACCTGACTCCAAATGCATACAAAAGTCCTTGAATGGATTTCAGCCCTTCAAAAAATATTATTTGTAATCCAATGTTATTGGCGCAATGAGTCCATGATGAAGACAGACATGATAAGATAATCTATTTAATTTTGGTTTTAATGCAAGTTTTTAAAAGTGGGAGGATGGTTAAAAAGCTACCACTAAAATAGAATAATGTGATTGAAACATATTTGGGACAATATGTCTTGGTTTTGTGAAAATCATTTAAGCAGACTTTGGCCCCATCTACACTGCCATGTAATGAAGTTTCATGACTGCATTGAACTGGATTATATGAATCAGCACTGTCATATAATCCAGATTATTAAAGCAGATACATTACCATATAATACATTTCAATCTGGATTTTATATGGCAGTGTAGAAGGGGCCTCAGGCTGGATCTACACTATCATAGAAAATCTATATTATCTGCTTTGAACTTGAATTACAAGGCAGTGCAGATTCAAAGCAGATAACTACCTGCGTCGTTGTTAAATTTTCATTACACTGTTACAATACAATACAAAGTGTATGTTATTACCTATAAAGCCCTAAACGGTTCAGGACTTGACTATCTTCATGATTATTGACTATTTCTACGACCCGAAAGCTCCATATTGTCCAGAATGCTGCAGCCAGGTTACTCAAAAAAACGCCCATGAAATGCCATATAACACCAGTGCTGCAACATTTACATTGGCTTCCAACTGAATACCGCCGCCTGTATAAGATGCTGGTCCTGACTTTTAAAACTTTACATGGCCAGGGTCCATTGTATCTTAGAGACCGTCTCTCCTTCTACCATCATCGGAGGTTGCCACGACCATCCCAACGCGATTTGCTCTATATACCGGGTCCTTGAGAAGTGCACTTGGAAAGCACCAGACGCAGGGCCTTCTCTATTTCTGCCCCTGCCTTATGGAATTCCTTGCCTCCCTATTTGAGAGCCATGCGTGACTTAGGGCATTTTATCCTAGCACTTAAGACCTGGCTTTTTACTAGAGCATTTCACCCATGTTAATTTTAATATTTGTATGTATGTGTTTTATCCTGTATAATTTCTGCAATGTAAATCGCCTGGAGCATCTTGGATGGAGAGCGATTAATAAGTAATTAAAGATGATGATGATGATGATGATGATGATGATGATGATGATGATTGCATTTCCCCCTGTGAGCCAGCATGTACTTTAAGATCATCCAGGGAGGCCCTTCTCTCGCTTCCACTACCTTCATAAGCTCGGTTGGTGGGGACGAGGGAAAGGGCCTCCTCTGTAGTGGCCCCTCAGCTCTGGAACTTCCTCCCCAGGGAGATCAGACAGGCTCCCACTCTCTCCATTTTCCGCAAAGAATTAAAAACTTGGATGTTCTGTTGTGCCTTTGATTATGCAGCTCACCACAGAATTTCCCAACCTATCCAGCCCCTGCACTTTAACACGGTCCCTTCCTGGCACTTCTAACACCTTAATAGTCTAAGGACAATAGCCTCCTAGCCCAGCCCTCCAATTGCTGCACTTTCCCCGGACACTACATAGGAATCGCTGCACTAAGCAATTTGAGCCGTATCCAGCATTTGTTTTTTATTGTTTTTAAAATGTTGTTTGATTTTATGTTTATTGTTATTTGATATTGATTGTTTTTGTGATTGTTTTAACCTGTACCTGTTCGGGCTTGTCTGAGTCCCTTCGAGGAGATGGAGGCAGGGTATAAAAATAAAGTTATTATTAAAGTTATTTTTACATCTCCCATGACTTATTGTGCCAACTTGATTAGCAAAGAAGAAGAGACTTCGACTAAAATGAGCAAAACCTTTGCATTACCCCCTTGTCCTTTGGCTCTCTAAGAGCGCTTCCACACAGATATTCACCGGGATTGTGACGCAGCTGGCTGAGTGTCAGCTGCATTAAGATCACTCTGACCAAAAGGTCATGAGTTCGAAGCCAGCCCAGGTTGGAGTGGGTTTCCAACCAATTGTGTGTAGCCTGTTGTCGACCTTTGCAACCTGAAAGACAGTTACATCTGTCAAGTAGGAAAATAAGGTACCACCTTAAAGTGTGGGGAGGCTAAATTAACTGATTTATGAGGCCATAAAGAAGATTCCAGCAAAGCATTCCAGCGGGGAAGCATGCAGGGAATGTGGAAGTGCTTCATCAGCGTCGCAGATGGACGATGAAAGCGACAGCTCCCCTGAGGGCCAGAAAAAGTTAAATAGCCTCTGTGTATATCTGTATATATTTGTATGTCAAAAATTGGCATTGAATGTTTGCCATATATGTGTACACTGTAATCCGCCCTGAGTCCCCTGCGGGGTGAGAAGGGCGGAATATAAAAGCTGTAAATAAATAAATAAAAATAAATAATTAAAATGGTATTCAAAGCTAGCTCAATGTCAGGATGTCCATAAAAATATACACCCCCAGTGAACACTACAAACCACATTCAGCCAGAAACAGCATGAAAAAAAACTTCGCTAGAAATTCCGGTTCAAGCCACAAAATCTATTGCAGATGTTTAGCATATATTCCCGACAGAGCTGAAACTCAAGACCAATATACAGAGCACTTGGACAGGGATAGCACTGAAGCATTCAGGGGAAGAAGCTGGAAACACAGTTCCAGGAGGACTGAGGAGCTGATCTTGGACTTTGATTCTGCGGAACTTTTAAATGAATGTTTAAAACTGTTTTAACTGTTTGTAACTGTTTATTTTAATGTATGTGTTTGGCATCTAATGGTTGCCTGATGTAAAGCCACCCCGGGTCCCCCTCCAGGAGTGAGAAGGATGGGGTACAAATGCGTGAAATAAATAAATAAGTATTTCCCTTTCTTCCTGTGCCCTGCTTTCATTTAGCACTGGTCATAATCTGACAGACTTTTTCTTATCAGTGCATCCCATCGGAAGAGAAAGGGGGAAAATAGTCCTAGTTTTGAACTGATCCATAGTCAACAGATCTTTGTGGCCATTATCCCAGCCTCCAGCCGGTTTCTGAAATGCCTGTATGGGTGCTTCACAGGGAACCGAGTCTCTTTAATCTACATCCTGACTTGGATCAAATGACTGTACAGATGTTGGCTAAGGCATTTTAACTCTACTGTAGCCTGTGGTTATTATTACTATCACCATAACCACCCAATCTAGATGTACACATGACTTACTGAACCAATTGGAAGGTATTATGAAAAAATAAGATCTGCAAGGAAAGGAGGATGGGTAAGTTTGCCCCGATTGCCTCCTTCCTGTCCACACACATTTCTTGCTCTGGCTAGTATGAGCATCCTTCATGCCCCCAGTCACTTTAAAGACTGCACTTTTTATAGTGTGCTAATCCTAATTGACAGAGTTGGCAGTAAAGGAAGCCATGTTGTTTGGGACTGTGGTGGTTTTGGTTGTAACTTTTGGCCATTCGAAGGTCTTAAGGCAACCCTATCACAAGGTTTTCTGGTGTTGAATGTAGTGGAAGGTCATCCAATGTGTTTCCATGGCCAAGTGGAGAACTGAATCCTGGTATCAAGAATTGTAGACCGATGTCCAAATCATGTTAAGGCAGAATCAGATCCCATATTTTTGCAGATCAATGGACCTAATAGTTGTGATGGCAAATACCCCTCAATTTTGTTCTGTAGGCTCTTCAGAAAATATAGCTTTAGTTTTACAAAGTGCCGGAGTCTTCATGTAGAAAGGAGAACGGATATGGACTTGACCATATATGGGAAACAAAGACGGGTTTTGGTGCCAAAGAGAAGTTTTTTGTGCAAGGGTGAAGTATCGGTCAAGAGACATGCTGACCTTGCAGAGAAAAACTTGCCAAATCAGCAGCTGTCTCTAGCTGTATTCAGCATCTTGAGATGTTTCCAAAAAGGGGTTTGCTTATTGGGAAACGAAACTTAAAAGTATATGATCTAATTGCTTAACATAAATATAAGATTGACAGCTCTTTTAACCAATGATTTAATCTTAAAGCCGAACCCCCTTGTATGTATAAAAGTAACTCTAACCCTTTGTGCTGGGTGACTTCCCCCAGAGACGCCTTGTTGCGTCGGAAGTCAACTAGCAGCTGCTATATAAATAAATAAACTTTGATATTCTTGCTGAACCCAGTTGGCTGTTTTTCCTGACTCATCTGCGTCCGCAACTGAACTGGAACGGAGCATTTTGGCTAGGCTCCTGAGCAATTGCTCAGGGGAAGGGAAAAGCCTGCTTCAATGTGGCTTTCAACATTGTACTATTGGGTTGCAATCATATACATACATATTAGGCTTGGTTGATCCAAATAAAAAGGTTCAAAACTTGTTTCTGATGTAGAGAGCACTGGTGGTTTGATTCTAAAGTCTCTTCTGGATTTTTTAAAAAATCAAAACTTTCCAAAACTTCCAAAACTTGCGAATCAATTCATTAAAGCATGCACACTAGGGGGAAAAAAACAGCACTGGTACTGTTTTAAACATTTGTTTAAGAGTTCCGCCAGTTCAGAATCAAAGTACAAGATCAGCTCCTTAGTCCTCCTAGGGAGCTGTGTTTCCAGCTTCTTCCCCTGAATGCTTCAGTGCTATCCCTGTCCAAGTGATCTGTATATTGATCTTGAGTTTCAGCTGTGTAGGGAATATATGCTAAACATCTCCTTCCCTCATTTTGAGACCAAGCCTGATGAAACTTGCTACAGTGGTAAAACACATGGACCACTGTTAGCTCACCAACACTTCCATCCATTTATTCCTTTTTGCAGATAAAATCAGTCATTTTATCATTACTTACTGACTGTAAAGGGCTGGCTGGCTGGCTGTGGCTGGCTACCCCAGTGCCTTGTCCATGGCAATCAGGCAAAAGTAAAATGATTGGTTTTAGGCAGTCTTGGCTTTGCAAAAGTTGCTTATTGGTTTTCTACCTTCTTTAGACATCTTTGCAGATTCAATCAGTTTATTTTATATTTAGACGAAGACTGCTACAGACAACTATTTTTGGGTCCTTCAGCCATTTTGGCTAATGAGCAGGTGAGCATTGTGGGAAATGCAGTTTAACACCAGGACTTTTTGCAGTCTCTACCATTGAGGGCCTGGCCTTAACAAACTACTACAGCTTTTTTTTTTGTTGCCCCGGTGGCACAGTGGGTTAAACCCCTGTGCCGGCAGGACTGAAGACTGACAGGTCGCAGGTTCGAATCCGGGGAGAGGCAGATGAGCTCCCTCTATCAACTCCAGCTCCTCATGCGGGGACATGAGAGAAGCCTCCCACAAGGATGATAAAAACATCAAATCATCTGGGCATCCCCTAGGCAATGTCCTTGCAGATGGCCAATTCTCTCACACCCGAAGTGACTTGCAGTTTCTCAAGTCGCTCCTGACACTACTACAGCTAAAGATGGGTGAAATTAGCCACGCCCACCGCTTCCCTCCTTGCATTGCCAGCGTCACGGAAGGCATGAGATTTAAAAAATTCCTTGCCTTTACCAAAGTTGCTTAATGGTTGTGAAAATTTAAAAAAACCTTGGGAGACATCTGAACATTATGGGATATTTCCGAAAAAAGGTAAGTGGTTCAAATTCGGATCCCCCCCCCCCACCTTTCCTGCATGATTCAAAACTACATCGGATTTCCTAATTCGTATGTTTTGTTCTGAATTTCAGTCTCTTCCGAACGAACCTATCCAACCCTAATACATATCTAGATGAAACCATTCCATGTTTTGGCTGGTTTTAAACTGGCTATCCCAAAGTACTCGGGCACCAAATATCACTGCCAGACATTTATGTTGCTCACTGAAGTATTCTCAACAGTTTAAACAATTGCTTGCTCATTTGAGTACTCATAGCAAGCCCAGCAATCATTTTAGCACAACTCTCCCAGGCCTTTGTCCAAAGAGTTTCCCCTGATTAAAACTTTATCTGCAGCAAAGAAAAGAAGTCCACTAAATGCTTTAATAGAATCAAATAACCTACCCAATGATCCATTCCTGCTTTTAGGAACATCAGCAGTCTGGGATGATGGATTGCTGTCCTTCTCTGGGTTAGCTGACCTTCTCTGTTTTCTGATAAGGAAAAAAAAGGAGTTAGAAGAATCCTGCATCATCGCTTATAATTACCCTCCGGCTGATGTTTCTCATATCAAATCTCACGCAAGCTTCCTATCAGAACATGGATTTCTTTCTAAGTCTATTTCATGGCAGAGGTTTTTTTTCCAGACCAGCTATTAAGTCTATTTTGATCTTGCTTCCACTAAAACAAAGCTATTTTTATCAGATTTCTTCTCCGTCAGAATGGAAAGAAGGGAGCAAAACAACTTTTTATGGCAAGGATTCTACTTGGCTGACCATAGTGAAAGTCATCCTTTGGTGATAGGAAGCATATTTCAGTCCAATAAACTACACAAACATTTACTATAATTAAATGAAGGAAGTATACTGAAATGAGAGTGGCTTCTTAGCTTGTGGGTGTATTTGAGTCACAAATACAAATCTAATTAAGAAAGAATTTGTCCCTTCCCTGGCTTAGGTAACAATGTCCTTCCTACGTCACCTGCAGCGTGAGGCAGAGGGTGGAAATGGCCAAGTTGTATTGCACCAGTGTTGCAAAACCGGCACAGCCAAAGAATCTAAGATTTCTGTGGTGGGCCAAATTAAGTCAATGCAAATGTGGTAGTGCTTATCTGAATGAGTTATGAGTCAGATGCTGGCAGACGTGGGAGTTGGAAAGGATTAAAAATGTATATCTTTTAAGTTATTTATTCTTGCATGTGGGAAGGATTATTTCCAACACTTTTCTCCTTGCTGTGGAAAACTATGGAGCTTTCTAATTGGATTTCGATGTTTGTTCACTTTTCCAGTTTTGATTTTAAAACAAAACTTTCTTTGCACACAAAACCTGATTTCTGTGTTTAAAAAACACATTTTTGTTTAGAAAACAGTTGCTTTTGTGCAAAACATGTTTTTCATGGCTCAAAGCTTCACAAAAAAAGGAAGAAAAAGGTCACAGAGTGCAAAGAATTATCTGGCTGTTTCTCTTTCTTGGCTGGGTTTCTTAACACTTGAGAAAAAGGAAGAACTGTTTTGAGAAAATTCACAAATATTCATTGTATTCCTGAGTAAGATAGGACACTGCCATATAAAACCCAGATTGTTCACTTTGAACTGGATTTGAATAAGATTTTCCTGCATCTTGGCAGAGGTTGGACTGGATGGTCCATGAGGTCTGTTCTGTCGCGCGCTGGGCCTGTAACAGCTGTACTTTTCTATAGGACGTATATTTTAAGCCCAGTGGGAAGCCGGGGGCCTCGAAGAGAGGTTCTCAGGGATTTTCTGAAGTGATGGTCTTTAGAGTCTTTAATGGTACAACAAAGTCTATATTATGGAACAAACAACAAATCTTCAAAGGTTTAAACAACACTTTAAGGCTTTCTTAGTATAGTCTTCAATGGACTGGCACCTGACTTTGATCAACTGAACCTTCTCTGTAGGAAAAACCCTTTTTAACCTCTCCCAGGCTGCTTTCTATCTATGCCTCATCCGTGTGGGTGCTACTACCGAATCCAAGTGCGTCTGGGTATCGAGCAGACCTTACCGGCTGAGGCTTGAAGATATTTCAGCTGAGTTCAGTGAATTTCAGTTTCCCTGGATGGTCAGTTTCCCTGGAAGCTCTTAAAAAAAGGAAGCTTTTCTACGGGACGAGCTGGTCTACATCCTATAGCTTAGCTACCTTGTGTGACTGCCCAAAATGGCTCCTTTCCCTCCCAGAAGCCTGAACAAGGGGCGGAACCAGAGCTTAATTAAAACGGACACGAGGCCTGCCCTATAATTGCAAACATTAACAGAAAGAAATAAAGTTGGAGCTCCTGGTACAGCCGTACCAGCACAAGGTCTCTTCCAACTCAATGATTCTATGATTCTATGGATGATATGGCAGTGTAGCCTCATATAATCCAGCTCAAAGCATATTAAGTGAATTATCTGCATTGATAATCTGGATTATATGACAGCGTAGATCCAGCCTTAGTGATAAACATACTGGCAAGATCAAGACTTTTCAGCCAAAAGGTCTTGATCACACACAGAGCAAGATTGTCATTGCCTTTTTCTAAAGCTCAGAAATTTTGACTTGCCCGCAGCCACCCAGTTGCTTTTTATGCCTTTCGACCCATGCCTGGGTGCTGTGGTTTTAGCTTTGAATATGTTTTTCATTTGTTTAAAAAAAATTAACTGTTGCTTTTTAAGTAATACCATTGATGTTTAATTTTGTTTCAATGTTTGTATATTTTTGGATGGTATAGAAAAGTTTTTAATGTAAGCCATTTTGAGTCTCCTTTGTGGACAGAAAAAGTGATGATGATGATGATGATGATGATAGCCCTAGGCCAGCACTCAAACCACTACACCATGGTTTAAACCAGGGGTCCTCAAACTAAGGCCCGGGGGCTGGATACGGCCCTTCAAGGTCATTTACCCAGCCGTCGCTCAGGGTCAATCTAAGTCTGAGATGACTTGAAAGCACACAACAACAGCAACAACAACAATCCTATTTCATCAGCCGAAAGTAGGCCCACACTTCCCATTGAAATACTAATAAGTTTATATTTGTTAAGACTGTTCTCCATTTTAATTATTGTATTGTTTTAAGTATTTTTGTACTACAAATAAGATATGTACAGTGTGCATAGGAATTCATTCATGCTTTTTTCGAATTATAATCTGGCCCTCCAACAGTTTGAGGGATTGTGACCTGGCCCTCTGTTTAAGAAGTTTGAGGACCCCTGGTTTAAACCATGACATTGGTTTTTTTTAAAAAAAAAAAACTTTGCAAAAGCCCTAAATCTAATCCATGATAGTGCTAAAACCCCACCTCCCCACTCAATCATTGGTACAATGAAAGAGCCCAAGTATCAAAAGTGTAAGAACTTCATCAGCGAGACTATACCCTGTCTGATTTTATACTAAATGCTCCCATTAAAATCCCTCCTATTAAACTGTATACTATGCCCTTCTACCAAAATTTCAATTAGGCACTAAACCCATGGAAAACCTTAGATTGGGATTTATGTGGTTTAATGTTCCCGTGTTTAATATGTTTTTTTTAATGCAACAGAAATAGTATATATCAGGAAGAAAGGCTTTATCCCAACATTCTTTGTAGGCCCTTCCAGACAGGTAAGAGAGCTTATCCCAGGTTTTTAGCCTAGATTATCTGGCAGTGGTGACTCTTACAATCCAGGTTAAAGCAGAAAACCTGGGATCAGATCCTGGGATATAGGACCTGTCTGGAAGGGCCCATGTCTTCATATTGCAGTGTGCAAGATCCATCTTTGTTCTCTATTGATCAGCATTGAATCATCTGACCTTTGCCTAGAACTTGAGGTTGACCAGCTGTACATCAAGTCTACCATACCAGTGAGAACTGGGCTAGAACCATTTCTCTGTGTCATCAGCTACAATTCATTCAGTGTTCACGAATGACATCTTTGTCTTTCAGTCAGACTTGGAGCACTCTCTTACAGCAGCAAGGCAATTTGCTCTCTTACCTGCTTATTAGGGGTGGGATGCCATTTAGTTTGGGTAGCAAGTCCTCAGGTTTATATGCTGTGCGTTTGCAGGTGGCATCTGAACTACATAGCACAGTTTCGAGAAAAGGGAAAAAGCCTGCACTAGGAAGGTTCCGTGGAGCAAGGTAACCTGAAAAGAATGAAATGAAAAAGTATATGTTAGTAGAGCGAAGCAGATAGAAATCCATACAAAAACGAATATAAGTAGAATGTATTGTCGAAGGCTTTCATGGCCGGAATCACTGGGTTGTTGTAGGTTTTTCCGGGCTATATGGCCATGTTCTGGAGGCATTTTCTCCTGACGTTTCGCCTGCATCTATGGCAAGCATCCTCAGAGGTAGTGAAGCCATTAAATGCTAATCAAGGTGGTCAGTTGAAACATTCACACCTAGCTCCAGCAGACAAAAGTCCTTTGTCCCACCCTGATAAATAAACCCTTTTTCCTAGTTCCAACAGACCTCACTACCTCTGAGGATGCTTGCCTTAGATGCAGGCGAAACGTCAGGAGAAAATGCCTCCAGAACATGGCCATATAGCCTGGAAAAACCTACAACAACCCAATATAAGTAGAGTTTCCCTTATCCAAAATGCTTGAGGTCAGAAGTGTTTTGGATACCCCCCTCCCCCAGATTTATAAATACCTATATTCAAATATATGTGCATAATGGGATATAAGCATAACATTAATTTATCATTCATATATACTTTATATGTATAGTTTGAAAATAATTTTAAAATTGTGCAGAAATATCTATGTGCATTGATCCATTAAAGAGCATAGGTGTCACTATCACACCTACTCATGTAGTCAGTTTTGGAATTTGAAGTATTTCTAATTTTGGAATTCCAGATAAGTGATACTCAACCTATATTAGACTTCATATTTTTATGAAATGTTTTGGACCACAGAGAAAAAGAGAAGCATTAGAAAATGAAAATGGAATTTGTTTAGGAGCAAATTGAAAGGTGGGATGGAGGCAGGCAAGTTAATTCTATTTTTTAAAATTTATTTACAGCTTTTATATTCCGCCCTTCTCACTCCGCAGGGGACTCAGGGCGGATCACAGTGTACACATATATGGCAAACATTCAATGCCAATTTTGACATACAACATATTCAGACATAGACAGAGGCTATTTAACTTTTTCTGGCCACCAGGGAAGCTGTCGCTTTCATCATCCATCTACAACGCTGATGAAGTACTTCCGCATTCCCTGCATGCTTTTTGCTGGAGTGCTTTGCTGGGGTCTTTTTTTTATGAGCTCATAAATTAGTTAATTTAGCCTCCCCACACAAGGTGGTACCTAATTTTCCTACTTGACAGATTTTGTTTTATTTATTTATTTGGAGTGCTTCTACCCCACCCTTCTCAACTCCCTAGGGGGGACTCAGGGCGGCTTACAACAGGCACAATTCGATGCCCAACAGTTCACAAAATACAATGTACAAAATACAATATAACAACAATATTTATAACTAGTTAAAACAGTCAAATTAATACAATAGCAGCAATAAAATCATCTTGTGGTCAGCATTCGCCAATTCATAAATCCATAATCCATCCAGCATTGTCATTGTCCTTTCCTACGCTGGTCGTCATTGTCTTTTATCCATCTGCCAGCTTACCCAAAGGCCTGGTCCCATATCCAGGTTTTTAACTTCCTTCTGAAAGAGAGGAGGGATGTTGTTGACCTTATTTCCCTGGGGAGTGAATTCCACAGGCGAGGAGCCACCACCGAGAAGGCCCTGTCCCTCGTCCCCACCAGTCTCACTTGTGATAAAGGTGGCGCCGAGAGCAGGGCCTCCCCAGAAGATCTTAAGCTCCGAGGTGGGACGTAGAAGGAGATACGTTCGGACAGGTACGCTGGGCCGGAGCCGTATATGGTTTCGTAGGTCAAAACCAGCACTTTGAATTGTGCTCGGAACTGGATCGACAGCCAGTGGAGCTGACATAGCAGGGGGGTGGTATGCTCCCTGTATGATGCTCCGGTGAGTAATCTAGCCGCCGCCTATTGGACTAATTGAAGTTTCCGAACAGTCTTCAAAGGCAACCCCACGTAGAGCGCATTGCAGCAATCTATTCGGGATGTAACAAGAGCGTGGATCACCGTGGCCAGATCTGATGCAACTGTCTTTCAGGTTGCAAAGGTCGACAACAGGCTACACAATTGGTCGGAAGCCCACTCCAACCCGGGCTGGCTTCAAACTCATGACCTTTGGTCAGAAGTGATCTTAATGCAGTTGACACTCAGCCAGCTGCGCCACAATCCCCGGTGCATGGGGAAAGCATCACCATCACAAGGAAGCCCCGTGCTGGTTCCATTTTAGCCAGTACAACACGGGAAGCCTCCTGTGTTGCTGATGAAGTGTCTAGTGACACTTTCACCTTGGTTGGAGGCAGGGCTTCTAGTGGAAGCTTCCTTGCATTGTCTGATGGGCAGAGAGCATATCAGTCCTCCAGATGGGGTAGAAGCATCCTAGTATGATAAAATCACCCCATCTGATGAGGTGTTAACTAGAAAAGCACAGAATATATACAACCCCAAAGGTATCACAACTTGAATTCATACTGACAACAGGGCATGTCCCAATGAAAGCAATGGCACTTATGTAACTTGTGACTAACAATAAATGGGCCTACTCTAATCCATTCTCTATCCACCTCCACATTCTGAAATATGACTCTGCCTCAGTTTCATGGATAGCCGCAGCAGATTAAATGCAGCAGAGCTGTGGGAACAAATGATGAAACTGACTCTCATTTATGCTTTTTCTCTTATCATTCCATTCCCTATAATTGGGTACACTTTGGTACCAAGGACAAGCAATAAAGAGGGTTTAGCATATATGTATATGTGTATGCATAGAGAGAGAGACTACTAGCATTCTCATTTTTCATGATTAATCATACCCCAATGTCTATTTTATATGGAGACTAGCTGTCCCCTGCCACGCTTTGCTGTGGCCCAGTCTGATGATCTGGAAAATAAAGTAATGCAAAAGCGTTGGTTTTTAATATATGTAATTTCTTTATGCTTGTGGGTAAACAGTATTTGATTACGTTTTCTTGCCCTGGTGAAGGGAGTTGGATTGGATGGCCTTAAGTATTTTCTATTGGTCATAGGGGTTCTGTGTGGGAAGTCTGCCCCAATTCTATCATTTGTGGGGTTCTTTGATTGTAGGTGAACTATAAATCCCAGTAAAAAAACAACTCTCAAATGTCAAGGTCTATTTCCCCCAAACTCCATCTGTGTTCCTAGTTGAGCATATAGAATATCCATGCCAAGTTTGGTCCAGATCCATAACTGTTTGAGTCCACAGTGCTCTTTGGGTGTAGGTGTACTACAACTCCCAACCTCAACTTCACTGCCCAACAAATCCTTCTAGTATTTTCTGTTGGTCATGGGAGTCCTGTGTGCCACATTTGGTTCAATTCCATCTGCCCTGAGTCCTTTGGGGGAGATAGAGCAGAATATAAATAAAGATTATTATTATTATTATCGTTATCGTTATCATTGGTGGAGTTCAGAATGCTCTTTAATTGTAGATGAACTATAAACCCCAGCAACTATAGCTCCCAAATGACAAACTCAATTTTTTTTAGTGGTGGTCACTCCTTGGGTTAGTAAGTGTCTTGTGGCCAAAATTTGGTGGCAATTCGTCCAGTGGTTTTTGAGTTATTTATTTATTTATTATTTATTTACTTTGCTTATATACCGCTGTATCTCAAGCCCGAAGGCGACTCACAGCGGTTCACAAACAGTAAAAACAGTAGAAACAGCAGTGGTTCCATACAACATATAACAATTGACTTAACACATGATCCATAAATTACCAATAAGCCATTACAATGCACAATTATTACAAAAAACAACCGTACCCAATCTTCTCATCATCCAAGCGTAGTCCAGGTTCGTCGTCCATTGTTCCATTCCTATGTTCCATTACCAGATTGTACTAAATTACTCAAACGCCTGCACAAACATCCAGGTCTTCACCTTTTTGCGGAATACCATTAGAGATGGTGCTAGTCTAATGCCCGTAGGAAGGGCGTTCCACAGCCGAGGAGCCACCACCGAGAAGGCCCTATCTCTCGTCCCCGCCAGCCGAGCTTGAGAAGCAGGCGGGATCGAGAGCAGGGTCTCCCCGGAAGATCTCAAACTCCTGGTGGGTTCATAGGCAGAGATGCGGTCAGATAGGTAGCTTGGGCCGGAACCGTTTAGGGCTTTAAAGGCCAACGCCAGCACTTTGAATTCAGCCCGGTAGCAGATCGGTAGCCAGTGGAGTTGGCGCAACAGGGGGGTTGTAGGCTCCCTGCGCTCCGCTCCTGTTAAAATCATGGCTGCCGAGCGTTGGACTAGTTGGAGCTTCCGAGCTGTCTTCAAAGGCAACCCCACGTAGAGAGCGTTGCAGTAGTCTAAACGGGATGTAACCAGAGCGTGGACTACCGTGGCCAAGTCAGACTTCCCAAGGTACGGGCGCAGCTGGCGCACAAGCTTTAGCTGTGCAAATGCTCCCCTGGTCACCGCCGAAACCTGGGGTTCCAGGCTCAGCGATGAGTCCAGGGTCACACCCAAGCTGCGAACCTGCATCTTCAGGGGAAGTGCGACCCCATCCAACACAGGCTGTAACCCTATGCCCTGTTCGGCCTTTTGACTGACCAGGAGTACCTCTGTCTTGTCTGGATTCAGTTTCAATTTGTTCGCCCTCATCCAGACCGTCACAGCGGCCAAGCACCGGTTCAGGACCTGGACAGCCTCCTTAGTAGCAGGTGGAAAGGAGTGACAGAGTTGGACATCATCCGCGTACAGATGACACCGTACCCCGAAACTCTGGATGATCTCCCCCAGCGGCTTCATGTAGATGTTAAACAACATGGGAGACAATATTGAGCCCTGAGGAACCCCACAAGACAATGGTTGTGGGGTTGAACAGGTGTCCCCCAACAACACCTTCTGAGATCGACCCTCCAGGAATGACCGGAGCCACTGCAAAACAGTACCTCCAAGACCCATCCCTGCGAGGCGTCCCAGAAGGATACCGTGGTCGACGGTATCGAAGGCCGCTGAGAGGTCCAGCAGCACCAACAGGGACACACTTCCCCTGTCGAGCTCCCGGCGCAGATCATC